AGAGAGAGAGAGAGAGAGAGAGAGAGAGAGAGAGAGAGAGAGAGAGAGAGAGAGAGACGGAGTTCCAATGTTCAAGAGAGCCTACGACCAGCTCACCCAAGTCAGCTTGACAAAACGGTCTTCTCTGCTGCTACATTCTGTTGTACATGTATTGGCACAACATTGCGACCACAGTCATAATGATTATCTTCACGTCACCAGATCATGCATGTGCGTGTCATCCACATGTATATCAGATACATGTGGATGTACCTTCTCTGTACTAATACGGATTGCGAGCATTTTGCTAAGACGAACCCCTGGGCGGTTTATGTAGTACACACTCTTGGCTCGTGCCAAGATGGTCGATCCACAGCCAAGGGGGCTCATTCAGAATCACCTGTTTCGACTCCGGAGCTCCGAGAGTGAAAAACACAACATGTATGCAACCACAAGGCGGTGGTCTCGCCCACGCACTCAGCTTCATGTACTTCAAGTACTAGTACATGATCGATAATGGAAAGGTTGCTGGTCAGGATCAATGCATTTTCTTATTTTAATATTATTTTGGCTGGTGCATGACGTGTTGCCAACGACGTCTAAGCACTCCGTAGTCCTAGGCCGTAGCCCATCGCCCCGGCAATGTGTGGGTGCGTATTTTGTGAATAGTCTGCACGTTACTATTGTCAATGGTCATGTGGCTCCACAAAGTGGACTACAGTCATGTACAATGTAAATGCATTCCTGCGTATAATAAAGCATAAAGGGAGGATAAATGAACGCGAATGCCCATTGCTCAACGTACAGGTGCACATGTAGTCATGTACTTAAGTTAGAACACGTACTTGTTTCTCTTCCCCTGAACTTTACGCTCTGGGATTAAGCTTTGGGGAGTTGAAAAGGACAAGGTCCGAAGAAACCATCAGGACTCCAACCAAGCATGCTCGCTTCGGGGCAGTGATGCTCTACCGCCAACTTATCCTCCTTGTCTTCTCCCTCCCTCCCCCCCCCCCCTCTCTCTCTCTCTCTCTCTCTCTCTCTCTCTCTTTCTTTCTTTCTTTCTTTCTCTCTGTGTCTCTCGGGGTGTGTCTCTCTCTGTCTGTCTGTCTGTCTCTCTCTCTCTCTCTCTCTCTCTCACTCTGCGATCACAAAGCAACCTGTCCGATTCTGCTAAGGCAAAGTGCAAAATGCCATAAAAATATTGATGAGAGGCCAGTATAGTATGAGACTTGTCATACTGTATTGTTCCATGCATTGCAAGATAATCACAGTATAGTCATGTATACTAGTACTTCAAGGACTATCTGACTGCCCTTCACGGCTTCAGGCTTGGTCCGAAAATACCAACATAAAAAGGCGAAACGTACACTGTAGATGAGAAGGGACCGTAGACATTGAAATCCCCAACCGTGTATACATTTCTTTATCTGACTGTGGGTGTAAATTATTATGTCACGCACCGGTACTTGTGCTTGGGCATTGTTTACAGATCGCCAGGAGAAATACAAACTTTGTGAGACTGACTTTAGTACACTGTTGCTGACACTAGTCATTAGACGGCAGCCTATAAGTATAACCATGATAACACTTTACACAGAATCTGTAATCGTCGTCGTGGATTTGCGTACATTGTATGATTTGTGATGCAGCGATTAAAATAATAAATAAATTTCACGGTTCGCGTGAGACTCGGCTGGAAGCCGAGTTTTCCGCCGTGGGAACGCCACCACCCTCTATGTAGGATCAAGGCACAGATGCAGCGATTATCACTATCATATCAGGATAATTCTCTACCGCCGAGCAGCAGCTGCCAGCATGCACCAGTCTAGGATTTGACGGCAGAGTTAGTAAGACTACTAAAAGTAAAAGCGAATGAAACAAGACTACAACATCGCCGCTTTGTGACTACCATCATATAATTATTCATAATACCGGTAATTATTATTATGTTCATGTACAGTGTACCGTAGTTCTTTTGTGGCCTGGTCAAGAGTACCTGAACGCAGCTTACAGTCAGAGAGCTGTGTACATGTAGTGTGATCCGGACCAGTTTGGGTCTGGACTAGACTCTGGAGTCTGGACAGCAAGTCATGTTACGGTTTTCATTATTATTTCACATTAAATTACTCATTACCAACTGTTTTTATTCATCATTCCTGCACGCAAAGTGAGCAAATCCACAGCTGTAGTCTTCGGAGTCCTGACGGCTAATGGGTTCTACGGGTAACTTCTACCACATCTCTAGATTCTTAGCCATATCGTGTCCTATTTGGTATGGCGATTGTGCCTTGAGTTTCCTCCTGTTCACGCTTGTTGAACAGATGAAAGCGCCATCTTCCGACGCATGTCTTCCTTCGGAGGCCTTTCTGGGGCGAGCGGCAGCCACAGAGTGTCACGAAGATATAAAAATAGCCACCTGTCCGGAAACTCTACACTGTACACGCTTTATTTAAAATTACATAATTTGGGGGCATGTTGGTCTTGGCAAAGAGCTCGCAAAGGATAAAACTGAGGAAGCAAATCCATTCCTTCCGAAGTTCCGGACTGATGTAACCCGTATGTCACCCAAATCCAGTCGCCGGTCTGTGTGTGCAAATCTGATTGCCCGAATACAATGTTCTGAGTTTCACTGAATGTTGCGCCTCGCCGGCAGCGTTCGTGGCCAGCTACATGTAGGAGAGAAAAACAAAACAGGCTGTCAGCTAGCATTCTCAGCATTTTCAGTCTGTCCGCGTCTGAGGTTATGCAAGACCACGGGCATGCCTGGGCCTTGGCATCGCTGCCAGCAGCACGAGCAACAAACAGAACTGTCTTCTTAGCGTGGCTATTGAGACATCTTGAGGACTTCCTGGCTATATCGTGCTTGTGATTCCTAACATGGTGGACTGCATCAGAGTGCATGCCTACATTGTAGAGACGCGATTGATCGTATTCACAACACAACGCTGCCAAACTCCTTAAAGACACGACATGACATAACATTGGGGGGGGGGGGGTAATATTGCTAGTATAGATCTACCGTTTTACAAAACTTTTCATTATTCAGTTACTGGTAGACTCACTGCAAAAAGGATGGATTCCACGTTTACGCCGGTGCACCGGCGATCATCACACAAAAGAACCCGCGTTCAGAGACCGGAAGATCCGGGGAAAGATGGAGAGCGTTTAGCTGTGTTTTGCTTTCAAGAGAGCAATTTGTGCGTCTGAAAAATGAAGACAATGACCTGGTCATTACATGACGCAGTGTATTCTTAGAGCAACTGCGCTTTTCAGTGAGATTTGCTGCGACCAGGTAGTAGGGGTAGTAACACGGACGACAAAAACCAGTAAAGTAGGAACTGTCCTTGCGACACTACAGCGGTGACACACCTCCACAACACCCACAGTGCCACACCGCACAACAATGTCAACACTCGACAACAGCCACAAGTCGTGAGCCAGCGGCAGCGTGTAAGTAAGTACCCCGTGCGCGTGATGTATCAGCTGAGCTAGCGTGACTGATACTACTGATAGCTGATACATTACCATTAGGACAACGATCATGAGTACTCAACGCAGCGCGTTCCCAGTGTGGGGCTGCAATGTCGCAGTGTCGGCGCCAGATCTCTTGTTGGACACCGGCCTGGGTCACAGTGGGTGCCTAGCGCCTGGCGGTCCTGGTGAACGAGGAGTACGGAATGTCCGCCAGTCCGGACCTGTGTGTTCGTCTGGTGAGCGCCAGGGCTAGGCCACTGTACTGTGTCACGGGTCCAACACTGAGGTCTGAACTAAAGCATACAGTACTGCCACTGGTGGTCAGTGGTCAGCGCGGTGGATGCTGCATCATCATCATAATCATTCACGCCTCCTCCTCCTCTGAGATCCTCATCATCATTTTTTGCCGTTGTCCTCAATTCAAGCTCAACTGGCTCTAGCTGTGGTCGCGACTTTACGGCAAACAAGTTACATATAAATCATTGCAAAGGCTTGAAAAATCACAGCGGACATACCAGCCAGGGGCCGCAGTTGTCTCATCGACATCCTCTCGGACTCGATCCAACAACTGACTGCAACTCTTGCACTGTGAGTGGAGCATGCACCCATGGCCATGATTGCAGTTCCTGGTTCGTAACAAAGCAATCACCAAACAACAACCCCCAAAACCAGACACGGTCACGGGTGCCCGTAGCTGTGCTGCCTCTTCATCTTGAGTTGTGACGTAACGTTGTGTGCATGTCTATGACATTGTAGATACGTATGTATATTGTCTGTAGATTCACCTACACTATGTTCAGCGCTGAGCGTATTCCCCATTCATTCTGTTTCGCAACGCCCTACTCCGCATTCCCCACTCCATCCGTATCCGGGCTGCGCTCTCTCTCACTCTCACTGCGCGACGGAGAACGTAAACGTTGCGACACCAGCATGCCCATATTAGCGTTACGTGTGGAGAGGTTCGTTGTGTTAGCGAACATGTTTTTGTAGATGGTGGGCATGAATGTTTGGCTAGTCTCTGTGCGGGTTCACACCATGCATAATGCATTACTAGTACTAACCCAAGTCCCAATGCTCACAACAGCCTGAACAGGCTGGTACTCATGCCAGCTAGCTATTTGGTGCATTCCAAAGAGTCTTGGCGATCAAGTGACATTTTGACACTATCCGACCGCTAGCACTGCCATTCGGAAACATAGCATCTGCTTGTACGTAGACCTACGTATCCCAGCGAGTACACAGCCGCCTTCCAAAAAAAATTTTCTGGCCAAGTAATCGATCGCGCGTACGGCGACACCAAGTACGCACATAGGGGAAAGCCGCGTCGATATCGGGATGGTGCACTTGGTTATCGTTTGGCACAGGGCCATTTTCTCATCTGCACGTTTCCCGCCCTACACTAGTCTTGTAGTCAGCTTTTACTGGCACCGATCCCTAGCCTTCTGTGGTGTTAGGCGCTAGGTACTCTCTGTACACGTCGCTGCATTCCTCTGGTCGTCAGGGCCATAGGGGTGTGTGGTGGTGTGGCAACTTCTTATTCGGCGGCAGCCCGCGAAAATGCTCAGTTGCGATTCGAGCTGGCAGTGGAGAGGTTGCGCTGGGCCGATAATTTTTTTAGTGTACTTGCAGCGTCTGCTTAGTGGATGTGGTGTGTGGAGAGTCGAGAGCAGGAATTTGGTGACATTCGTAGGAGCTACCGGATGTTGACGTCGTTAGTACGCAGTTTAGTCCTAGTGGATACGTGTGCTGTTTGCTGGAGAGACTGTCCAAGATGAGAGGATATACTAGTAGTAGACGAGTTGGAGGCTGTGGTCCGCAGTTTGGACAAGTTTGGGTTGCGCTCTTGTCCGTAGTTTTATTATGCTCCTGGAGTGGTAGCGCAAGTGCGGGTAAGGACTGTCCGACACCCATCGCATAACTAGCTGGCCGAATACGTATTATCAAAACTACACACAAGATTTTTGTTGACGTTGTTAGCGTTTAGCGCTTTGAGTTGTGCCTGTCCAACCCTCCTGCAAATGAGTGTGTGAGCGAGTGGTTGCGAAGTGTCCCACGCTTCCGCATAGGGTCTTCGACCTCGTCATGTAGCGTAAAAATGGTACTATTTTTATAGCTCATAAAACCAGAATATCGTGTTTGCTTGCTTGTTACTGTTATTGGTGCAGAATGCTTCGACTTCTTTGAGTTTACGTGTGTGAATGACGGCGCATGCATACCCAAGATGTGGCGTTGCAACAGAGCCATCGACTGCAAGGACGGCTCTGATGAACAGGGCTGTCCTGGGCGAGGTGAGAACTGTTTGAAGTTAGGATTAAGTCTCTAATAGCAGTGGGTATGAGAATCGTGGACCCAATTGTAACAGTTTTACTCGGTGCGTGTACTGTTTGCTCTCGTCGTGTAGTGCGTGTGAGGTGAACAGTCTGAAAAAAATTTGGTCTTCCTGCTCCGTGTGGCAAATGACGCTTTTGTTTTCGCCGAGGCTTCTGGGATGCATTTAGCTTTGCTGCTTGGCCTCCTTCCAACACCAAAGCCATGCACTGGTGTCGTACTACAACTGTAGTGTAGATCTACGCCGAAAGCGAGAATAGCAACAGTGTCCGAGTTGACAGCGTATTTAGCATTGGCGGCTCTCTCCCCCCCCCCCCCCCTCTCTCTCTCGCCGTGGGTTTGCGTGCTTCTTGCGTTCTTCGTTCTGTGACTCCGCGGCTGGATGCCGTTCACTGCTGTTGCTAACTGCGCTAGGAATGTACACTGGCGGAGCTGCTGCCTTTGCTTTACATTGGAGAGGATCTCTTGACCGACCGGTCTTCATAGGCACGATGCCAAGACCGCTTTGGCCTGGCTGCTTCGTTGCTCTGCGCGTCGAACCCACCATCTTAGAATGTCTGGCGACCATACTCAGTGCACACAGTGACGGACGTCGCGCTCGCCGGCTTGCATGTCGTCGCAAATGCTAGTGGTCATTGCTGGAACTAATCTGTTTGGCCGCCGCTGCTACCTTCAAGGCTTGCAGCAGCAGTGAAGATGCGATGGATGTTGCTGGTCATGGCTGAGTGCGCACGACGTCCGTGTACTCTTGAGTATTGTGCCAACCACCTCCAGCGTTCTCACAGTATTGCATGGAAGGCTTTTTCCGCCTTGCTCATGACGGTGAACACGAGTAGTTTTCAGTGTAACTATACCACAGCGTGTCACGTCTTCTTATTTTTAGAAAGAAATTTTTCGAAGTGGAGGTGATGAAGACGACCGGCAGAATATTTTCTTCCTCGCGTTGCCTCCGGATCCTTCTAGACTAGACCAGAGAGTACTCTCACAATTTTCTATTGACATGTAGCGAACGTACATTACCTTGTGCTGTCTTTTATTTCCGGCATAGGTATAAACACGAACCGTGTCAGTAGATAGAAGTTAGCACCTATGTGTTCCGCGAGAATGTTTCGCGCCACTGTTGCGTAACTTTTGGGTCTGCCAACGTGGAGGTGTTGTCCGTGCTTTCACAATTTCGCAGCAAGATGAAAATATACATGTACTTGCTTGAACTGATTGCAGTAACAGATCGTAGCTGTGACAATGCAAGCACAATCATAATGACATTACATTGTACTGTTGCCTGCTACTGGAACGTGTTTCTGCTACAGTACTACTTCGTATGACAGTACAGTACTGCTAAAGCCTCTTGTACGGGCAAAAAGAAATATATCGTGAAATAAATAGTGATGGACAGGAGAACAGTGATCTGTGGCTATTGGTTTTGCTTGAGAGGCAGCTACCATGCTTGCACTACAGTGCACAGTTGCAAACAGAGTTCAAAATGTTTTTCAAGCCCCAACACTCCACAAAAACTGCTTTGTAATGCTTCCTGGAGAAGTGACAAGCTTTGCACCCACTACTTGTACCGCTATTACCCAAGTCTTTCCTTGGAAATGTATGGGTTTTGTAGTTAGTACGACAGGTGATGTATGCAGGGCTTGGAACGGGGTGGTGCTGTTTTGAGTGGGCCGATAAGTAGTTTGCAAAGTGAACTGCATGCCAATGATGTTCTTGGCACGTACTGGAGTACTGTGCTGCAATGTGTTGTTCTGCTACATGACTGCACAATGTACATGAGTGTATCTAATCGTGGAAGCCATCCTGTACTGTGCATGTGCTCTACTGAAACTGTGAAAGTCAAAAGCTCTACATGTAGTCCTTAGTCCTGACTTTCTCACTCCAGACCAGTTCTGCTTGCGCACCCCCTCCCCCCAATTGGCCCTCCCGCTTTGCCACATCTCTCACACGCCAGTCTGTTCTGTATCCATGGATGTTAGTGTACCAGCCAAGCACACCGTATGACTTTGGGCAGCTTGTCACAATAGAGACAAAAGTCACAAAACACATGCATGTAGAACCTTTCACCACATACACAGACTTCCTAATTTGGACTTCTGTGCAGGAAGAACAATGAGTTCGGTATTGCAATTTACACTTCCCAACCCTGAGTGATTGGCACCCCGGATGATACGATCGTGGCCATACTGCTTGTATTGCTTATCTCCAGACCCAGTAACCACCGCAAGCCCCACGACCATTCCGACTACTGCTCCGTCCACTGCCGCCGCCGTGTCTGATGTTGTTGCCGCGTCGTCGACGGCGCAGCAGGTGAACACCGACAATGCACAGCCCGTCGAAGTGGTTATAGACGCAGAGACTGCCGCCGTCATGGATACCACTGGCCTTGAGCCCACAGCCGCCGTCACCGTCCCCGCTAGTGTCCGCAGCACGCAGGCAAGCGCGACTGAGGAGGGTGTTGACAACCGCTGTGGAAATGCACTCTTCTACTGTGAGTTCACTGAGAAGAAGTGCCAGCCAGAGGCGTGGCTCTGCGACACGTACCCGGATTGCGTCAACCCGCTGACAAACATTGCCGTCGATGAAACTGATGCGTTGTGCACGCCTCAACCAGGTAGGTGGTGGCATGAGATTCTTTTGGTGGTCTGCAGCCTCTGTCGCTCGTATTTCGTGTGGGTTGCATCATGTCTCTGGGATTTCGAACGTGTATCTTATTGGCCTTGCCTTGCTCTCCTTGTTTTTGTGGTTTGTTTCAGCAACGTCCAGACGTGAAATCCAGACCACGACGACAAGAAGACCGGTAACCAGCACGGGACCGGTGACAACCGTCGCGACTACTCGTACGTGTCTTGAAATGTTTTGAAAGTGTTGTGTTTCCCATGAAGTAAATTTCACCTCCACCACATGCGCTCTCCGGCCGACGTCATCACACCAGTAATAGGACTCCCTCCAAGTTGTAGATACTGACCAATAAAACTACTTCGTTGATAAACAGGCCGAAAGCCGCTGCTTACCCGTTCAGTACAATGTTATGTGACCCATGGACCTAGAGCCACGCTCTATTGAGATTCCCGCTTTTGGATGCTGCTTTCTGGTCGGATTGGAGGGTGTTGCGAGTGCTTGCTTGGTACTGCCACTGCCCCCGATGCTGTGAGGGTGGAGCTGCTGTAAGGGCACAGACCCCCCGTAGAACACTGCTCAGTGCTGAGAATTGTGTGGCCGTGTGTTGTTGTTTGACGTGTTTGTGCACAGGACCCACTGGTCTGTACCATCCACCCACGGCGTCTGTGAAGAAGAACCGGCAAGCCTGTAAGTATGCGTGTGAATGAGTGCAGTCTAGCCGAAAGGAATGGCAGTGGGTAGTTAAGGCCATGAATGTTTGTATGTGTGTGTGTGGGGGGGGGGGGGGGGGGGGCATCAACGCACTGTCAGTGTGGTTATAAATGCAGGCTGTGTGCAGGAACTGAGCTGCATTCGTGAACAGAAGTGGTACCTTTGCATAATACTTATGGTGTTTACCATAGTTGCGCATCTTACCATAATAATACTTGTCTCGCATTTTGTGTGTGTGTGTGTGTCCTTTAGCTGACAACTCGCTGCTGATTGCGGTAGCGTGCGGGGCCTTGGGTGTCGTCTTTGTCGCCCTTCTCCTTCTTCTCCTTTACATTGCTCGCGGGAAACAGTAAGTTCTCATTGTGTATGGAATAAACATGTAACTGTGAGTGTAGATAGATTCACCCTGCATTACGCTGTAGTCTAGTGCATTTATCATGAGTTCTCACGTCACTAACCCAAACAATCGCATGTGTACTGAAGGCAATTTTTGGGTTCAAAAACAAACAAACATAGTCCGTTTGCCAAACGTTTCCATTTTGGCTGCATTCTGGTTGGCTCGACGATCTCAGTTGTTCAATGTTGGCCGGTTCAGCCGTACTATTGCTAGCAACGCATGGGCAACAGTCGGTGCACATCAAGTAGATTTAGAATGTTGTATGTGTGTGCGTGTGCCAACTTGTGTTTATCTCTCTAGGCGGCAAAATGGCACCAATCAAACCACTGGAAAGAGCCCAGCGAAGGGCGCGAAGATCTTGATTGACTGTGAGGAAGGAGAGCCTGTCAAGAAACCACCGAGCAAGTTCGTGGAGCCTTCAGGCAGCCATCAGCCAGTAGCACATGCGACTGTGAAAGTCGTCCAGCCAGTGAACATGGTCACTTCCGTTTCGACGACAAGTCAAGGCTCTCCGAAAAATGTAAGAGCGGTTCGAACACTATATATACGGTAAAGTTTTCCTGCTACCCGCCTCAGTGGTGTAGGTCGACTTGTTCATGGCATGTCCGCAATCGGCTACTAGTACTGTAACTCTCGACAATTCCGCCACAAAATCGGGCCTTGTCGCTATGGACTGGCACCGTTTATATGAAATCTAGAGAGCCGGGAACCACTTCAAATGCACCCCGGACTGCGCATCTGGGTACTGGGAGCGTGCATGCTTTGGCACTGTGTATCGATTTGGCTTATCGCTGGCCATAATGCATAGTCTTCTACTGGCCCGTAGCTCAGTGCTGCCATACTTTGTCTCGCGGCGGATATTCGAATGCGAATGTTTTGTTTTGGTGTTTTGGTTCCGGCTTTCTGATGGAAGTATTGTTGTGCATTCTTATTCTTCTTGCGTGTCTGTGCGTAGATACACCATCAATGTGTATCCAGTGTGTAGACTCGGTCAAGTAGGACACGGCGTGAGCAGCAGACAACCGCATGGTCTCTGCAACAGATGACCCCGGAACTCTGTGCTGCGGGTACGTAGCACGAGTGTGAACTCTCCCCTATCGTCATATTCCAATTACGAAATATATTCGCATGCACCGTACACTAGGTGCCATTCTATTCTTTAGCCCCGTCAATATATTCCTTTCGAAAAGAAGAAATATTTTATCGCTTGCGTCTGTTCGAATAACGCCGGCTTTTTTGTTTCAGTTTTCTTGATTTGTGATACTCTTCATCATGATTATATTTGGAGCAAGAGCTGAGATCCATGCATGTAATTTTATTTGGTTGAGCGCGGAGACAAGATGTCCTGGAGAATCAGGCCTCTCTGAGTTGTGTTTTATCCAGAACCCCCATACAGTGTTCTATACCAACTGGCACATGGTGTACTGTGTCTAGCTCATATCTATACTCCTATTGAGTAGCTTTACTGTTTCTAGTTCGTATCAGTGCACATTCAGTCTGCTGCTATAGTGCAGCAGTCATATTAGAGTTGACATACCTCCGTGTTGACCAGTGCCTATAACAACGAGAGCTTTTCCGACGTGTAATTTTTTACTCCTATAAGAGTTGATTTTCGCGAGAGTTTGTAGAGCTTTTGAACTGCTTGTTCACTCTACAGCGAATTTTATCATTCTTACTGTCGACCTCTTTTTCGTTTTACCTTAATCTTGTTTAGAGAGCCTAATGCTAATTTTGTTGTTTTCCACCACTTGTTCACTTTACCTCCCCAATTGGTTAATTCCGTTGAACACCAGTACAACTCACTTGATGTTATTTTTATTTTTATTTTTGATTAATTGGGAAAACTATCCTGGAGACTGAAATCGTGGTGTGTGTCGACTGCTGTGTGGTAGTGTCACATATATGTAGCTACGTACACATGCCTGTGCACACAAACACACACACACACACACACACAGACGCACATACACGCGCACACACGTACGCACACTTCGACAGCTAGTGAGTAGTGTTTTATGTGTTGGTGCACCCGCGCCGGTACGCGGTGGGCAACAAGCTGTCCCTGCGGGAATTTGCGGAAAGAACACTCGAAAACTTGCGCAAGAAATTGCGGCAGAAAGTAACAAAAAATGCGACGAAAAGTGCGGAATGATGCAACCTTAGTGTACTGTAGCCTGTAGCAGTGTAGGCCAGTGGCTGTAGCACATCCTGTCAAACCGCAGTGCTATTCAGTGGCGCGGAACAGTGTGTCACTGTCAGATGGAAAGCTTCAGTCTTTTTTTATTACCATGGCTACTCGCTAGTGCTAACCGGACGAACTGGTACAGTCATGGTGTCACAGTGACTGACAGCGGTGGTCCGGTACACATCACACACACTGCACTGGTCTGTGTGTGGTCACCATTCTGGGTGCCTTTCGGCGCTGCAAAGTTAGTTGTTTGGGTGAAAATAATAGTTTGGTGGTGTAAAGCCAAACGTTCCATGGTCGCTTTCAGATTACAGTCATTGTATCACCACTGAACAGTTGGCTTGAGTTTTTTCATTGTTGGAGAAGTACCTTTATCATGTAGTTGGAAAACGAAGAGGTTCAGAGCTTTCATCAACTGTTCAAGTTATTAGTTAGTTCGCATACCCTCGCGGCTGTTAGCAACGACGTTACGCGTCTCCCGGCACAGTACAGAGAGAATGAGAGCGCGACGAGTATGCAATGTCAGCCCGGTAAGTGCACTGAGTCTGTGTGGATGAAAATAGTTAGCGAAGAAAATGGGTTTCAGCGACTACGCCCGGCGGTCGGTAGACTACAGTACAGAGTACAGTCACACAGTACAGTATGTTCGGTGTGGAGTTGTGTGGTGTAAGGAGGGAGGGGGTGGGGGAAGGTGCTGTGTGCGTGTGTATTTTTAGTTTGCGGCGGATACCGGTAGACCTACACTGTACTTCGAAGTATCATGTACTTGATTGTAGTATTGGATTTGGAAAAATGTAGAGAAATGCGAGAGAGATGCGAGTCGTAGTCTCACAGTCTTGGTGGCAATGGGAGGGCTAGGGGGAGAGCAAGAGGAAAGCAGCAATGTCGCAAAGTGGACAGCTGTGTGCACCTACAAGGCTTTAGGTTACGTGTATGCGGAACTGAGTTTGTCGAAACATGTTACAGATGGGTGCCAGTTACGTTGTACATGTACATGTACAGTTGACCTACCCTTATAACGATATTTGCATCAGACCAAGAAATTAATATTATAACTTATAAGGGTAATATTGTTATAGGGGTAACTGGTTCATTTCATACACATACATGAACGTCATAATGCATGGATTTTGTTCATTTTTTACACTCTTCATAGCATAAAAAAACTGACGTACTTGCGCAGTATGTACACAGCAAGGTGCCCATTGGTGCCCCCATTGTATTTCAACATGTCCCAGCGACTTATCAAGTGAAGCTTGCCCTACCTGGATAGTGGGCTCTATAAAATTCCCTGCTAGATATTGTTATAAAATGGAAAATGTCGATTGGTCAGCCCATTTTATATCGTTATAGGGGTAATATCGTTATAGCAATATTGTTATAGAGGTAAGACATTGTATACAAAAGTCAATGGAGTGATTTGGTTTGGCAGAAAAATATCGTTATAGGGTTAATAATATTTATCGTTTAATATAGAGGTTATCGTTATAATAAGGGTAGGTCGACTGTACATCACAAGTACAAGCCCAGGAGCCTATAATACTCTTGGTTACCATGCGTAACGTTATTGTGTATGCCTTATCCCGGGTAATTTGACTACTTGTAGTAGAAATAGCATCCGTCGTCGTCCTTGTTTGGAGAAGTTAATACAGTAAAACCTGATAAGGTTAACACTAACCTGTACATGCCTGTACATGCCTGTACATGCCTGTACATGCCTGTACATGCCTGTGCATGCCTGTACATGCCTGTACATGCCTGTGCATGCCTGTGCATGCCTGTACATGCCTGTACATGCCTGTGCATGCCTGTACATGCCTGTGCATGCCTGTACATGCCTGTACATGCCTGTGCATGCCTGTACATGCCTGTGCATGCCTGTACATGCCTGTACATGCCTGTGCATGCCTGTACATGCCTGTACATGCCTGTGCATGCCTGTGCATGCCTGTACATGCCTGTACATGCCTGTGCATGCCTGTACATGAAGGCTACATTTGGAAGTTCCCTTGAGCGGTCGGCTTAGGCAGGTTTCACTGTAATTTGGATAACTGAAACCTGGCTGAACTGAGAAGTTGCGACTTCGGCGGTATTAGTGATGAAGTTGGTTGATCCAACGAGGAACACACGCTTCCTGCCAAACTTGACACTTGACTGACTCACACCTGCCATCCGGAGCACACCAGGAGCACGTCACACCTTCCACTCAGCAAACCTGCTCAATACACAGTGTTTCGGGGAATTCACCCCTCATCAGATAAGCTTGAGTAGGCTGAGGAAGATTGTGCCTGAAAAGCACCACTTATATAGTGCTCTCAAGGCCAAACTATCACCAGGGATACACATTTACAGAGACACTTCGTTTCCAGCACGACAACACCTCATGAGGCCCCAGGTAGCAGTGTGAGTCAGAGTCGCTCATGGAGTTGTGCTAAACAGACGTTGAGAGCCAGTAGCTATTCACAACGCTGTCACCGCCAACAAGTAGTCGCATGTCCACGTGAGGGACAACAATACAAACTTAGAAGTTTCGACTTAATAGGGAGGTTCCGGAGTACGATTTTTCGTGCCAAAATCCGTGGAGGCGCTACGGATTTTTCATACGTCGTTTTCGAGCAGTGAAAAGTTCCGGGGTACGGAACTTATGTGTTTGCCGTCATTGCCTAGGTTACGATCGCAAACACGTCACATTCCCGCGCTATGCCTTTTTATTTTGAAAATTGGTACCGAAATCAAAACTTGCCGCGGAAAATCGATGTTTCTCGTACCAAATTTGTACGCGAAAAATCTTTCTGCACTCGATGACGCAAAATCTCCATACGAAACATGGTTCGCATGAAAGGCAGTCCACACGGATTCTCCGTGCCGAAAAATCGTATGGAGCATGCCTGGAAAAAATCCGTAGCGCCCATACGGATTTTGGCACGGAAAATCGTACCCCGGAACCTCTCTAGTACGCACGGAGGACTACTCGAGCTCAGCTGATGAGGGGTGAATTCCCCAAGACACAGTGTATTGAGCAGGAGTCGCCCTTTCTTGCAGGTTTGCCGAGTGGAAGGTGCGAAGTGCTCCGGATGGCAGTCGTGAGTCAGTCAAGTGGCAGGAAGCGTGTGTTCCTCGTTGGAACAACCAACTTGAAACCTGGCAGGTCATTTTTAAATGACCAGCCGGGTTTCATTGCTCAGTGCATTTTTGACGAGGTTGTCATAATCTTTTTCGTACCAACATCCGGAAGTACAGCAGCAAAACTGGCTTAGTCACACTCTAGTTCCAGCCATATACCGTATTTCCCCGCATATAAAGCCATGGCGTTATATCCGAATATAAGGCCACCCTCACTTATAAAGCCATGGCGTTATAAGTGAACAAAATTCAATGTGGAGGAAGTTGCATCTGGCGTTAAAGGTGAGTTCTGTAGTGTCATGTGACTAGATGCATGAAGCCCATGCATACATGCATTCCGATATCATTCCCATCATCATGATCCACTTACATGATCTAGCATTCCATTCCTCCTTCCCACTTTAGCCCGTATGTATATATCTAGTAGATTGCATGTGTTCTAGGTTCTTTGTCTTATCGTAGTACAACAGTTAGAACTAAGGTCTTGGCTCTCTGGTTGGTCTGGTTAGACTAAAGTACGAAACACTACATGGTGGCAGCGGTCCAGAAGCCATGTCTTCTTCGGACCCCAGCTCAGTTCAACCCGCTTCCCGCGGATCTTCCCCCGCTGGTGGCGGAGGCAGCAATGGTGGTTCAGGTAGCTCCTCCGGTGGAGCGCCTTCTACGTCTTCTTCGGCGCCCGAGCCCGCACGGATCACAAGCCACTCATCCCTCTGCTCGGTACCCGTGCTCTTGACGACCTCCCTCCGCGGGTCCTCCGGTTTCGTCTACGGCTACTTCGATTCGATTACAGTATTATCCACACTCCTGGCAAACAACTCGCAATTGCCGACGCTCTGTCTCGAGCTCCTCTGCGCAGCACAGATGCCGACGCTACTGCCACACTGGAGGCTGAGACCGCTGCTATGGTGTCGTACGTCACTGAGACTCTGCCTGCCACTGCGCAACGCCTGGATGAGGTTTCAGCATGGCAAAGCGACGACGATAGCTGTGCTCGCATCATCGAGTATCTGCAGCACGGCTGGCCTGCTCCTAGCGATGCTCCTCCCGTAGTGCAGTTTCTTATAGAGCACAGCGCACATTTCAGCCTCACGGACGACGGCTTGATTCTGTACGATCAGCGTCTCTACATACCTCCCGCTCACCAGCAAGAAATCCTGGCTCGCCTTCACCAGGGTCATCAAGGCATCACCAAGTGCCGACGCCTGGCCCGCACTTCTGTATGGTGGCCATCGCTCTCGTCGGACATAGCTACTCTTGTCCAAACATGTGAAGAATGCAGTCGACACCGCTCTCAGCCACCCGAGCCTCTTCTCTCAACTCCACTCCCAGAGTTTCCTTGGCAACATCTGGCCGCAGACTTCTTCACCATCGACGGTCGCAACCACCTCCTCGTCATCGACTACTACTCTCGGTTCATCGAGGTCCTCGACATGCCCTCGCTCTCCACAGCTCGTACAGTCAGCCATTTCAAGTCACTGTTCGCTCGCCATGGCATCCCTGACTCTCTAACGACCGACAACGGACCGCAATTCACCAGTGCTGAATTTGCCCAGTTTGCATCCACCTATGGCTTCCGCCACGTCACCAGTAGCCCTCTCTATCCGCAAGCCAATGGCATGGCCGAGCGTGCTGTTCGCACGGTCAAAAGTCTGTTCCGTCAGGGCACTGATTGGCACCTCGCACTACTCGCGTACCGCAACACTCCCTTGGAGAATGGTAAGAGTCCAGCCCAGCTTCTGATGAACCGCCAGCTGCAGTCACTCTTACCTCTCTCTCCAACACAGCGACAGTCGCATCCAGTCGATCAGAGCGACCTGCGTGCCGCGGATCAGCGCTTAAAGGATCGCCAAAGCACCAACCATGCCAGTCGCCATGCAGCCCGGACACTGCCGTCTCTGTGTCCCCAACAGCCTGTGTATCTACCTGATCGTGAAGAGTCTGGCCACGTGATGAGCCAACCAGCCTTGCGCTCCTACATCGTAGCAACCCCATCGGGCCAGTTCAGACGCAACCGGCGGCATATTGTCCCAATGCCAACGCCGCAACAGTTGCCGCCTGCTGGTCACTCTGCCGCTACTACCGATCCTGATCCCCCAGCCAGTCAACCTTCTACTCCGCCGTGTCCTGCAGTTCCCAACTTGCCATCGACCCCTCCAGCTCAAGACCAGCCTGATAAGTATGTCACGGCTCGCGGCCGTGTCGTTCACGCTCCCGATCGCTTCTAACTTTGGTCTCTCCAAACAATATACTCCACTCTTCTGTCTCTCCCTCTCTTGCTCGTTCTCTTTTCTAATGGCTTGCATGTGCCTGTGTGTCCTCTGTACACCCCTAGCCTTAGGTCTTTTCTTTGTAAGAGGAGAGGATATACATGTACATGTACAATGCACTATACTAGAATACTCCCTCGGACAGACCAGTGCTTACAGAACTCTGTAATGGATCCCTTCTGCAACGGTCTTATTGTTTTCATTTTCAAAGTCGTCCAGTTAGGTATCTTCTCCATCTTCTTAATCTACTGCCATATTTGCTCTTACAACCTCAAAGAAAGGGAGGTGTAGTGTCATGTGACTAGATGCATGAAGCCCATGCATACATGCATTCCGATATCATTCCCATCATCATGATCCACTTACATGATCTAGCATTCCATTCCTCCTTCCCACTTTAGCCCGTATGTATATATCTAGTAGATTGCATGTGTTCTAGGTTCTTTGTCTTATCGTAGTACAACAGTTAGAACTAAGGTCTTGGCTCTCTGGTTGGTCTGGTTAGACTAAAGTACGAAACACTACAAGTTCAATTCTTTCAGTGAACCTACAGTAGCGGTGATTCTCTCTGCATGTACCCATCCCCACTGTCACATGCCATACCGCCACCGCACCTTCACACAAGTTTGTATGCCACCTTGTACACAATAGGTTCAAAATTCGAAATTTTCAGGGAAAATTGAAAGTACATGGGTGCTCGACATGAACGTGCAACGTCACCGTACGAGTACTCGAAGTTCATACTCTGCCGATTTTTTTGCATGCACGCGTCTCTCACTTTTAGCGCCATGGCGTTAAAACCGAGGCTATTCTCTCCAAATATTTGGTCCAAAACAGCGATGTTTCACCTATAACACCATGGCTTAATATGCGCGGAAATACGGTATGTACACTATACACGTACATTGTACATGTACGTATGTACTGTCGTGGACATGGAAATCCGGTCAAGTGACCGGGGCCGGCGCCCTCAGTGCGTACAGAATGCTGCATGTGTGTGCCGTATGCGTACTCTCGGCTGCATGGCCAGCGCCCTGGGGCCGCTGGGTCTCCGACCGGATTTCCATGCCCACGACAGTACATACTGGAGTGCCTGGGCCTGGGGCAGCTGCATGGGAAAGAGTTCAGCATCGCGGGGCTTATTGACCTGATATCGGACAAATTTCCTCTAGCTGCACGAGGAAATCTTCCAGTCTGGCCTGTCGATCGCGCTGGGATGGGTGAAGCTCACAAAACCTACACACTTGGCATGTTGTGCAATATATTCTTGAAAAGCAGTTCGCACCTAGACATCCACTCAATTACACAGCATTGATTGATATACATGTACATGTAGTCTGTGAACAGTGTGCACACCGCTACTGTACAGTGTGCACACCGCTACTGTACAGTGTGCACACCGCTACTGTACAGTGTGCAGACCGCTACTGTACAGTGTGCACACCGCTACTGTACAGTGTGCACACCGCTACTGTACAGTGTGCACACCGCTACTGTACAGTGTGCACACCGCTACTGTACAGTGTGCAGACCGCTACTGTACAGTGTGCACACCGCTACTGTACAGTGTGCACACCGCTACTGTACAGTGTGCACACCGCTACTGTACAGTGTGCACACCGCTACTGTACGGTGTGCACACCGCTACTGTAGTCTGTGAACAGTGTGCACACCGCTACTGTAGTAGAATAGTAAGTAGCTATAGTCAGACCTCTTTTTTCCAGATCCCTCGCCATCCGGAAGAAAATCGTTGGTTACCGATTTACAGCATACGGCATGCATATCTGTGTTCGATTAACAAAAAAAGCTCTGCACCCCGGTGCATTGAGCACTCTTTCGAGGACCACACCCAACTTTCCGTGTCTGTGTTTGATTATCCGGTTCCCTCGCCTATCCGGATATTTTGTGGAAAACGGATGTGTGCGGTTAAAGGGGAAGTTAAGCCTAAAATCAAATTTTCACCAGTTGTAGTCTTCGGGGTGCTGAGTCGAATGGTCTTGGTCCGAGGAAGCTGAGACGCTCCCTTCTTCCTTTATTCCCAATCGAACTCGCGCACTTCCACCGAAACTGGGTGACTGCGCCCTACTAGATGGGGATTTGTATGCAAAATGTCACTAAAAGCGCCATTTCGTTCTTATAAAAGCCCGGGGGACCGCGATTGGCCCATATGTTGTAGTCTTTTGGACGCTGAGTCGACTGGTTTTAGCGTTCCTCCTTTATTCCCAATCGAACATGGTTGAACAAGCGGTCACGTGCTCCTGCGTGCCCAAGTTACCTGGTCACCGCGCCAGCAGGTGACAACTTTCACACCAAGGTTCAACTCGAGTGACAGGACTGCACCCAAAAAAGGTCAAACAGGCTGTAAGTTGTACCCTGCAGGCACGGTGACCAGGTGACTTTGGCATGCAGGAACACGTGACCTGTTCAACAATGTTCGATTGGGAATAAAGGAGGAACGCTGCATCGCAGCCTTTTCGGACCAAAACCAGTCGACTCAGCGTCCAAAAGACTACAACATATGGGCCAATCGCGGTCATCCGTGCTTTTATAAGAACGAAATGGTGCTTTTACAGTCCATTTGAAAAATATAGACGCATGGTTTTTTTGAAATATTTCAAATTTGGCTGGAGCTTTTTGAGAATTTGTTTCGGAATACTGCTCAGGTTCTTCATGCAATTACTGTCATATTGATTTTTAAGCGATCGGATAGCAAATGCCCAATTTCGAAAACATTATGCACAAAGTGATCACAGATTTTATGTGGCATAGATGCTGGCCTAACGGTTTTTGAAATCACGCGTCTATATTTTTGAAACGCACTGATTTGCATACAAATCCCCATCTAGTAGGGCGCAGTCACCCAGTTTCGGTGGAACGATTTCGATTGGGAATATAGGAGGAAGGGAGCATCTCAGTTTCCTCGGACCAAGACCATTCGACCCGGCACCCCCGAAGACTACAACTGATGAAATTTTGATATTAGGCTTAACTTCCCCTTTAAGCGAGGTCTGACTGTAGTAAAACATCCTCATGCTTTACTCAAATAAAAGGACCAAGCTATAAAGTCCACTATTATATATACACCACCAGTTACTTGACAATCAGCTCATGCGATAACATTGCACGACGCTGACCGGCGGTACTGACGTTAAATGACGTTCTACTCTACAACTAACGTCTCGGAGTAACTGATGGTGTTAGTGGATATAGCGTTAGTTCCTTGGTACTTTTATTGGAGGGTTTTTTTTAGCCTTACTACCTACTTACTACTCCAACTTCTACTCCTCTAGCTGCTTGCTACTCCTCGACAAGGAAAACAATTGGGCAACTGGCAAAAGATAAACTTTTCGACCGGCTGGTTTGGTTTGGCATACTTGTTTAATGCTTACCATGACAGCATTGCATACATTCAATCTCAGGCCCTCAAAGCCTGAACGGCATTAGCAAGGATCTCCCATTGCCCTTAATGCAAAAAACAACAACTGCGTTTTAGACAAAAGGAATCAGCTAAAGTAAAACAATTCCCTGGGAGCGCTACTACACGTATGAAAAATGTTGGATGATTGCATGGCAGAATTTGAACTGTTTCATGGCCAGCAGGGTTTACTACTGGCTTAAATGTTTTTTTTTCAAGGCTAGCTATAGCTAGTGTATCACTTAGTCTGCGAGTAAAGAAAGTAAAGTTTTATGAAAGACAAAAAACACTGGTTCGACGGAGTGGGATTTGAAGATATGCAGAGCAGCAGCATCAGGATCAAGATAAAACAGCAGCGACATATTCGTTGTTTTGTGAGAGAACACCGCTTCTTAGCTCTTCAAGCTTCGAACTGAAGTCGGCAGTCGGTAATTCCTTTCTGGACAGAGCTTCCACGGCAGCAAGGAAGTCGGACATGATTTTCTCGCCCTCCTACAAGGATCACACCCACACAAAAATACCCATATGTTTTTTTTGTTGGAGATGGAGGTATATGTTGCCGTGGAGTAGCCCAACATCACCGGGCAATGTGCAGCCAGGATTCTCAAGTAACATATCGACCTCATCAAAATGAGAAAAACCCTTTGCACACATGATGGTGATTGAACTCGAGTGTCTACTCCAAAAGACACAAGTCTCAAAGCTCTTTTTAATAAAATGAAAGTATAGCGCCACGGTGTAATTATGGCATTCGATTCTTACCTCTTCCACCACTTTGCGGCGTTTTGCAGTTGGTTCGTCGCCATCACCACCTGTGCAGGAAGACGAAGTAGTAATTAAAAGCCATGCAAGACCCCTCACACCCCACCGCTTTAGGAGCTGCATCTGCGCCTTGAAGGGTGGCGGCGTTCCTACGGATGTGGAAAACTCGGCCTCTACCCGAGTCTGACGCGGACCGTGAATTAAAAAAGAGACCCCGTTTGTATCACAAGAACAGGTCTCCCAGGAACAAGACTGGTCCAAACACTCAAACAGTCCTGCTGGGCAAGCACTTGTAACGCTCCTTTTCATCTTCTTTAGCAAATAATTAGCAGCTTTCTAGCCGATGTCTGTTTCGAAACTCAAAAGCCTACAAGGCATGCAGTAACAGCAAAAGCACAAACAAGAGTAACTACTGGGTTTGACCAACAATGTGCCGTGGATATACGTACCTGCAGAGCAGACAAACTTTCCGGACCGATGACCCTCCAGCTCGACGGCTTTGTGCCGTGCAAACTGAACATCAGAGAACAGAAGAACATAACCATCAGCGGCGGTAGCAACAGGTAGCAGCATCACGTAGAAGCAGCAGCAGCAGCAACTGAATGCAAAGCAGCACACTGCACACGTCTTACAGCTAGGGAAACTCGCAGCGCCCATACGTACATTCTAAGTCTTAGGGGCGGCGGTACTCGCAGATACCTGCAGTGGACAACTTGTATGTGTCAACATCGTAACACTTTGGTCACAATGTTCCCAGCTGCCGAACGAAAGGAACAGCTACATGTCGTGTCATGTGGAGAAACGGTCTCATAGCTTGCTTACCTCCACAACTGAGGCTGGGAAGTGAGCCAGCTCGGCAACGTGAATTCCAAAACTTTGATCACAAACACCTGAGGAATGAGAAAGCAGTGGCATCCAAAAAAATAATTCTAAAAGAACCAGAATAGAAACAGAGCAACTAGCAGACGCCTTGAGAGTGAGAGGCACAAACCACAACAGTATCAGTAGTCGCTTTCACACATGCGAAAGGTGTGTGCGTGCAGACAGACACAACATACACATATGGGCAGCCACGCGCACAGACATACCGGGTTTGACTTTGTAGAGCAGCGTCAGTGTGTCATTGGTGGTTAGCGCTGTGACGTGTTGATTGTAGACGGCGGGAACACTCTCACCGAGCTCGGTCAGTTCATGGAAGTGAGTAGCAAACATGCAGAATGCTTTGGTCTTGGTTGCAATATGCCTGTCAACATACAACACAATGTAATAGTGAACACCAGGGAGTTGTAGTGAACACACATCATGTACAGTTAACAAGACATTGTTACTTGTTAGAAGCAGTTGTCTGCAGCATTGAGTACATAAGACACATGCTCTGATAGCTAAAATCGCCAGTATGCAATGATCAGTTCACATGCTGTGAAATAACCCGTAACGGAAACACCTCCGCAGTCCAAAGCCTAGTCATTGGTATTTAGTAACTATTTACACTGAATTTTTCCTCCAACGCACACACGCACACACACACACACACACACCTCTCGACGCACATTGCCTTCGTGTAGGCGCCGTGGACCCCGCATAGGCGACTGGAACGGGCAGCTCGGGAGCGAAACCGACATTATTGCATATTCCAGTCGCCCGCGTTGTCTCCCTAGACGCTACGACTGACTGACTGAAGGCAAGGCAAGTACGGGTGTGTAGCAGCAAGTACGGGTGTGTAGCAGCATTGCCTTGTGACGGTTACCGCCACTTACTCCGATATAGCCCAGGCAAGGCCAAAGCCATCGTAAGTAGATGTACCGCGTCCCAGCTCATCGATGATGATGAGAGAGTTACTCGTTGCCAGCTACATGCATAACACGCAAAAGCACAGAATCGGCCAGGGATAGACATAGGGGAAACCCCATCAGTGCGACATCCAGTTAGAAACATGCCAATACGGCGGACTGGAGGTACACATGTCCGACATAGTGTGCTCAATGCACAGATCAGTATACACACAGAACAGAGGCGAAAGGCTGTGTAGCTATAACAGTTTCACATTTCAGCGATCATCAGAGGGCAAATGCTGCTGTCTGATGATCGCTGAAATGCGCGAAACTTAAAGTTATAGCCACACAGCCTTTCGCCTCTGTTGTGTGTGTTTATGTCCGACATAGGTAGAGTCGACCTACCCTTATAACGATATTTGCGTCACACCAAGAAATATTGTTATAAGGGTAATATTGTTATAAGGGTAACTGGTTCATTTCATACACATACGTCATAATGCATGGATTTTGTTTATTTTTTACACTCTTCATAGCATAAAAAACTGACATACATGCACATTATGTGCACAGCAAGGTGCCAACTGGTGTCCCATTGCATTTCGCCATGTCCCAACGACTTATCAAGTGAAGCTTGCCCTACCTGGATAGTAGGCTCTACATATTCCCTGCTAGATATTGTTATAAAATGGAAAATGTCAATTGGTCAGCCCATTTTATATCGTTATAGGGGTAATATCGTTATAGCAATATTGTTATAGAGGTAAGGCATTGTATACACAAGTCAATGGAGTGATTTTGGTTTGGCAGAAAAATATCGTTATAAGGGTAATATCGTTATAGAGAACTTAGAAGTTGCGACTTCGGCGGTAATAGTCATGAAGTTGATTGTTCCAACTAGGAACACACGCTTCTTGCCGAACTTGACACTTGACTGACTCACGACTGCCATCCGGAGCACACGAGGAGCACGTCGCACCTTCCACTCAGCAAACCTGCAAGAAAGCACCACTCCCTGCTCAATACACGGTGTTTCGGGGAATTCACCCCTCATCAGTTGAGCTTGAGTAGGCTGAGGAAGATTGTGCCTGAAAAGCACCACTTATATACTGCTCTCCAGGCCAAACCATCACCAGGGATGCAAACTTACAGAGACGCTTTGTTTCCAGCGCGACAAACACCTCGTGAAGCTCCAGGTAGCAGCGTGAGTCAGAGTCGCTCATGGAGTTGTGATAAACAGACGTTGAGAGCCAGATAGCTATTCGCAACGCTGTCACTTCCAACAACTAGTCGCACGTCCGCGTGAGGGACAACAATACGAACTTAGAAGTTGCGACTTCGGCGGTAATAGTCATGAAGTTGATTGTTCCAACTAGGAACACACGCTTTCTTGCAGGTTTGCTGAGTGGAAGGTGCGACGTGCTCCTCGTGTGCTCCGGATGGCAGTCGTGAGTCAGTCAAGTGTCAAGTTCGGCAAGAAGCGTGTGTTCCTAGTTGGAACAATCAACTTCATCGTTATAGAGGTTATCGTTATAAGGGTAGGTCGACTGTATTCTAACGACAACCAGGCAGAAAGGCCACAAAGATGGTGCACAGCCAGCTGTGTGATCACACGTATGAGGTATGAGGGCAAGCAGAAGTTCACTAACTGCCTGTCTCAGTACTTCATCACACATGCATGTACCCCCCCCCCCCCCCCACACACACACGCACGCATCCCCCCCCCCCCCCCCCCCCACACACACACCCACCCACCCTATGCCCACACAACACACAAAGTACAAGACAGTGTACGCTTCTCGTTGGCTGAGAATTCGAAAGAAACGAGAAGCAATGTTCTCTCGAACTTCGAATATTTGCGAAGCTTGTTTTTGCTATCTGTATTATTTTTGTTGTGGCACGCAGTGCAGGTTGACGTCACTGTAGTGACGCAATCGTTGTTGAGCGAGCGCTGTGAAACAGCGCTTGCGCAAAAAGATTGTCCTTCTTTTTGTCTTGCTCATCAAGGGTGCAGTCCGTTTTGTGCACAGCTGAGAGGTTTTCTTTTTTTGCAATTTGTGGTAACGTATTTTTGCAATCATGCCGAGAGGTCGTCGTGTGGAAGCTGCCCGGGAGACAGCTGAAACCTCCTCGCAGGACGAGGTAGAGTTGAGGATGCGTCTCCTGGAACACCAAGTGATTCGGCTGGAGGAGAGGAAGCGCCGCCGGTCGGCCTCCTCTTCCTCATCTTCGTCCAGTTCGTCCTCAGAGTCCCCGGAGAGGAGATCCAAGAAGAAAAAGCGTAAAAATAAGAAGAGGAGCCAGTCAGTGCCGCACACGATGCCAGGTATGAAGCGACTCAGTTACCAACACCAATTCGAATGCCTCTCCGAAATATCTGGGCACCTGGTAACAGCCAAAAAAATTGTTAAAAAATCTAAAAAGACCAAGGCGCTGAAGGAGCTCAAGAACGCGAGCGAAGTCCTGCAGAATAGGTTGGACTGGCTAGCAGTGGCGGACCGCCATGGCCATGACACCGCCACAGCGTTCACGGAAGGGGACGGCATGGCTGGCCTCTTGGCCAGCGCAGACAAACGGAAACGTCTCCGCCTAGCCATCGAGACCACGAAGCAGGGAAAGGATGGCTCGAAGCCAAAGAAGCCCCAGCAGCAGCCCTTTAGGGCCAGGCTTTGTAGAAACAGAAGTGGTAAATATGCTACGTCTAGGTTGCGTAAGGGAACCAAAGGAGCCAGTAGTATGTAGCCCCTTGGGCGTAGTGGACAACGGGAAAAAACTAAGATTGATCGTTGACCTTAGGTATGTTAACAAGCACCTTGCATCTTTTAAGTTTAAACTAGAAGATATCCGAACAGTGCTTGATGTGTACAGGAAGGGAGACTATGTGGTGACCTTTGACTTGAAAAGCGGTTATCACCACATTGAAATTGCGGAAGAGCACTGGAAGTATCTTGGCTTCCGATGTAAAGTGGACGGTAGAGTCTCTACATTTGAGTTTTGCGTGTTGCCATTCGGCCTTTCCACGGCGCCCTTTATTTTCACAAAGTTGACGAAGCCCTTGCTTGCGCATTGGAGACGGCAGGGTATCCGTTGTCAGTTGTACATGGACGATGGCACTGGGGGGGCATGAGTCATACCAAGGTGCATTGAAAGTTGCAGCCACAATGAAAGCTCTTTTTGTCTTGCAATGTGGCTGTCCGCAGCCGACCCTGCACTGTGGTTTTGCTGTTGCAAATGTGAGGTGTGAGAGAGAGAAGTGAATACATCAAGTGCACTAACCCGCAGGATGGCTGCCGTCTCCAGCATTTCTGCCATGAACGTTGAGACACCCTTCAGCTGGCTATCGCTGGCACCCACACGTACCAGAATGCTGTCGACGATGCTGATGTCGGCAGATGCGCACGGTACGAAGCAGCCAAGTTGTGCCATGAGCACTATGACTCCCGTCTGCACATCATCATCAGAACGCACACACACAATAATGCACCGCACACATACATATACGCACACACACACACACACACACACACACACACACACACACACACACACACACACACACACACACGCACCAATGCACCATACAAAAAATATTTAGTATTGTATACATACCAAACTCGCGCGATTAGTGCCCCTGGGGCACTATTTTTTCACTGTCCATCACAGATGGGGCAGTATTCAAGAGAGGGCACTATTTTTTCATTGCTGGTACATTTGTGTCATCCAGCATAAAACAAAGAAAAACAGAGCCTTAAGTGTACTGTAAACACTCACGACTCCACAGAAACGGGAACAAGACCTGCTACTTTGTTCCTGAAAACACCAGTGCAAAGCAATGGCCAAGAACATTAGCAAAAGAACACCAAACTTGCACATGGGCTTGGTTACAAGACCGGGGGGGGGGGGGGGGGGGGCACTATTCAAGAGAGAGCTTTATTTTTCACTGGCTCTTGGAGACTAGGGCACTATTCAAGAGAGGGCTCTAATCGCGCGAGTACGGTAATCCCCGTTCAGTTAGCTGTATTACATACAAATACCTTGATAAGTGTGGAGATGAAGTATTATGAGGTTTGTGCAGGATGCAATTTCAAATTTCAAGAACGCCCAAAGATGAAGTCCTATGAGAACACAATCTGAGCAGCATGCTAGCAGATACAGGTCGTGGCCCAATGACATGCTGAACTCCAAGCTCTGGTCCAGTCTATTGGTATAGAGCTCAAGTGGATCTAGTCAGGTGTCAGTTCCGGCTACTCAGACGGCATACAAAGGTATAACCGCAAATCAGCCCGTATTGTTGGCGCCTGCCATGCTTGTGGATTTTCATGATGAAGCGATCACTCCCACTGCCAGTTGGTCAGGAGTAGGAAGCAGGAAGAAAGAAAAAGGCACTGACCTGACGAATATAGGTAGACTTTCCTCCCATGTTGGGGCCGGTGATGATGTGAAACATCTTGTTATCTGACAAGGACAATGCAAGACCAACATGCATACCAGGTACAACACAACTAGGCAATGAGGTAGAGCATTGGCTAGCTGCATGCTTGAGATTGTGGTGATGATTAATACGTGGGACAACGGCATCATGAGGAAAGCGGGGCTATTGCAGAGCATGGTAGTTGACATGTCTGCCGAACAGAAACATAATCAGCTTGGTCTATACTGCGTGTGCAAGGCCATCACCAACGGCAGGTCGTTTTTTGCTCAAACATGGCCATACTGGTGGTGATTATACCTCCTGCAATATCACAGAACAATGAGCGTGTGACCAACAGGAGACTGCCAAGTAAGTTTCCAAACCCATTGGCTACACTCATGCTGTCCTGACAGTGCTGACACCCATGCTGTCCTGACACCCATGCTGCTATGACAGCTGCATGAGCACTGTAGTTGACTGAGACTATCCGTACTCGGAAGACCCAAGAAAATAAAATCCACCCTACTTCCACCTAAAACCTTATTGCAGGACGTGGACAATATAACACAATGTGTAACCGTCACATACCTCGGTTGAACTCAACATCATTAGCTATGAATGCAACGTTATCTTGAACCTCTACGCACGGATGGCGAGACGCCTCCAGGGAAATTCCACCTTCACCTAGAAAACATAACAGAGCAAGACACACTCTCAGATTTGACCACGTGCATCTACATGATATCGTCTGCATTGGACAACCCAGCACTACAGAAAGATAGGACAAGATAGCTACAGTACTCTTGATAATTAATACAGAAATTCGACCGTAGAATTCTGTGGAAAATGAATGGATTTCTCTGAGCTGCTGGGTTTTACTGCTAACGTTATTTCCCCCACACTTCCCGGACTTTCCAGAATCCACAGGATTGCATATGAACCCGGCTCTACTACGGAATGGCACCGTAATAAACAAAGCACGAGGCCATCCCACAATCGTAATAAACAAAACAGCACAAGAGGCCATCACATAATTGCTTACCTTTAGAGAGCATGTTAGGCCGTACGTACGGCACGGGTGCATTCGCTGACACGTAGGCAAAGCTGCACAACGGGAGCAGAAGCCAGTCAATGTCATCATCGTACAGAAACAGGAGACGCCGTTGCCAAACTACTGGCATGGCGCTGGCACACTTTTTTTTCTCAACCAGAAAGAAGAAGGCATACTAAGAAGGCACTGCAGGAGGAAGAGTATCCCATGGGCACCCACTTCCAACCAATGCTTTAGAACATGATCGTTAGCTTATAGAGATCATAACTGTTATGTTATGACGTAATGCCGTACAACTTTAGCTCTACTGTGTATGCACGCACGCATATCTTTGAAGGTCTTCTCTGTCGTTTACAGATTGAATCTTGTCAGTTTTTCTACTTCGTATATTCTAACCAATAAACTACTTGTCTCTTGTCTACCGAACCTAACATGGCGCAGTGAACTACTAGTAACCTGAGTACGGAATACTTGACAGCCTGTAGTTGTCCGTGAATTCTGTAGCCTTTTATCTTCAAACGATCGATCGTGTAGCAGAAGTGTCTTGTAGTTGTAGAATTTGTAGAATTGTCGTGATGGCGGAACCTGGAATTTCCCCAATCAGTGCTGAAATCGTATCCCTGCTCGCCTTGATGCAGCAGCAGATGAAAGCGGCTGAGGCACGCGAGACTCGCCTCACCACACTGGTCGAAAACGCAACGCGCGACAACCAGGCACCACCCAGCACTTCGACATCCTGCAGTCAGAAGCCGATTTCTGTCGAGCGACCGGTGTTGCTCAGCACTGCAACCATGGCCGATTTCACGGCATGGGAGGAGGCTTGGAGAGATTATGCTGTGTGCCAGCACCTCGCCAGCCAAAGTCGTGAGACTCGGGTGTCCGCTCTTCGCCAGGCGTTCGATGCCGACATTCGTCGTTTCATGCGCGAAGATGTGATTGTCATCTCCCACAGTGCCGATGCTCCGGAGATCATCATAGCAGTAAAAGCGTACATCCGACGCCAACGGAACCCCCTCCTAGATCGAATTGCGTTTTACGATAGAAAGCAGCAGCGCAATGAGTCATTTGACTCCTTCTTTACTGCAATGAGGGAGCTGTTTGCACAGTGCGATTTCCCTGATATGGAGCTGTGCAGTACGTGTACACCTCAGCTATGCAGTACTTGTCCCCAGAGCCTCCGCAAGGTGACGGACGACATGATGCGAGACCGCATCGTAGTTGGCATAGCCAACGACGACACGCGCCATAAGCTCCTGGCAGCTCCGTCCCTCACCTTGGAAACCGCGGCCAAGATCTGCAGGGCTGAAGAAGCCGCACAGCAGACCGGTGACGGCATGGTACCGGCATCCGTGAATGCCGCAACAAGGTCATCGTATCAACGCAGCAAATCCGCTTTGGTTAGTAAGCCGAAATCTGCTGCAGCTGACAAGCCGGCGAAGTGCTCGCAGTGCGGACGATCCCAGCACACAAAGTCAATGTGTCCTGCCAAGGGCAAAGAGTGCCGTAAGTGTAAGGGCAGGGATCACTTCGCGGCAATGTGCCGCAAGACCATCGCATGCCTCACCATTCACGCAGTGCAGGCTGGTGACAAAGTGATGCTGTCAACACGTCTTGACGACAACGACCGGTCGTGCACGTTAGAGTGGTTGCCAGATACTGGCTCGGATGTTGATGCTATTGGTGCTAGTCATCTCCGCAGACTTGGTGGCAGTGTAGCTGATCTGGAACCTGACCCCGACCAGGTTGTCGCCGTGAACGGTCAGCCATTGACCAGCTTGGGAACTGTTCCCGCCAGGGTTGTCGCTCGTGATGTCACGCACACCACTCGTCTACATGTGTATGACGAACTCAGTAGCGCATTGCTGTCGCGCTCCTCGCTCAAGGCGTTAGGTTTCTTGCCGCCTAACTGGCCACAGATCGCTTCAGTGACACAAGGGACATCCCGTTCTGCAGAGCACAGCAACCCTACACCAGACCAGCGTGTACGTATCCGCCAGGACCTCCTCGACGAGTTCGCTGACGTATTTGCAGAGGACACGCTCCGACCCATGGACGGTCAGCCGATGCACATCCAACTCGCGCCTGACGCCCAGCCGTTCAAGTTGAACAATGCCCGTTGGTTACCTTACGCCTATCGTGACCAGGTGAAACTCCAGCTGGACAAGATGGTCGCAGATGGCATCATCGCACCGGTCTCAGAGCCAACGGAGTGGTGTCACCCCATCGTCATAGCCGAAAAGAAAGGCACTGCAGAAGTCCGGATGACGGTGGATTTCACTAAGCTTAACAAGCAAGTCGCCCGGCCCGCGCATCCCATGCGCGCACCTCGCGATGTTGTTTCTAACCTTGGTAATGCCCAGTATTTTACCAAGCTGGATGCTCGCCACGGCTACTGGCAGGTCCCCTTGGACGAGGAGTCCAGAAGCTTGACCACATTTATCACACAGTGGGGCAGATATCAGTACCTGCGGAACCCACAAGGTCTGATTTCTGCTGGCGACGAATTCAACCAGCGGACCGATGCAGCATTCGCTGGTATTGAGCAATTCTCCAAGGTCGTGGATGACTGCCTGGTCTTCACTGATTCCTTTGAGCAGCACCTGGAACGAACTCGTGAAGTTCTTCAACGCGCTCGTCGGTATGGTATCACCCTGTCAGCCAAGAAGTTTGCTTTCGCCGAGACCGAGATCAATTTCTGCGGCTACGTGATAAACAAGTCCGGCTGGAAGACAGACCAGGAAAAGACCCGCGCTATCACCGACTTCGAGATCCCTGCCAATCGCACTGACTTGCGATCATTCATGGGTCTCGTCAACCAGTGCAGTGATTTCAGCTCAACCATCGCCGAACACGCAGCGCCTCTCCGCGGTCTGCTGAAAGCCAAGAATGAGTTTCTCTGGCTACCCGAGCACACAGTCGCTATGGACGCTGTGAAGCAAGCACTTGTTGACCCACCGTTATTGGCCTTCTTCGACCCGTCAGCACAGACACGTCTCGAGTGTGACGCAGCTAGGACCAAGGGTCTCGGATTTGGCCTCTGGCAGTACCAGAATAATTCGTGGCGCCTCATTCAGTGCGGCAGCAGATTCATCACCGACACTGAATCCCGGTACGCAATGATCGAACTGGAGATGTTGGGTGTCGCCTGGGCCATCCGAAAATGCCACACCTATCTTGCTGGCATGTCGTTTCATGTAGTTGTTGACCATCAGCCCCTTGTTCCAATATTGAACACATACACACTGGACCAGGTTGAGAATCCTCGGCTCCAACGTCTGATGACCAAGGTACAACTCTATCAATTCGACGTCTCGTGGCGCAAGGGTTCTGAGCATGCCTTTGCTGACGCCTTGTCGCGTGCTCCAGTGCAGAACCCGGTTGCCGATGATCTCCTGGGAGAAGCCGACTCGCTATCTGGACAAGCCATCCGTGCATGCCTTCAGCAGGATGACTCCGGATCAGCACTATTTGGTCTTCCGTTCCACGAGCTCCGCGATGCCGCTGATTACGTGCAGTTAGTCTCATATATTCGTGACGGCTTCCCTTCTGCCAGACGTCACATGCCACCTGCTCTCGCTCCGTATTGGAATGGCCGTGAGCACCTCACCCTGGATAACGGCATTGTCCTCCGTGGCTCTCGTCTTGTTGTGCCCCAGTCTCTACAACGCCGTGTACTGACTGACCTGCATTCGTCTCACCAGGGCCTGGAACGTACCAAGCGTCGTGCGCGTCAAGTGGTTTACTGGCCGAGGATGAGTGATGACATCACAGCCCTGATCCGTGCCTGCCCTGTCTGTCGTGAGCTCCAACGTTCGCAGCAGAAGGAGCCATTGATGCGCGAGCCACAGCCGACATTTCCATTCGAGTATGCCAGCGCAGATCTCTTCTCCTGTCAAGGCTGGCAGTTCCTGGTATATTCTGACCGTCTGTCCGGCTGGCCGTGTGTAGCTCGAATTGGCCGTACCGCTACCTCCCATGACATCATTTGTCACTTCCGCCGTTGGTTCGCAGATGTTGGCGTACCGCGCAAGATATTCACTGATGGAGGCCCGCAGTTTGCCGCTTCCCGTGTACGTGAGTTCTGTGAGCGTTGGGGTGTGGAACAGTGCTTTTCCACCCCACACTACCCTCAATCCAATGGCCACGCGGAATCAGCAGTGAAAGCAGTGAAACTGCTCATTGAGAAGACGACCCGGAATGGAGATCTGGATGTAGACTCCTTCCAACGCGGACTGTTGGAGTGGCGCAATACTCCCCGCCCTAATGGCAGCAGCCCCGCCCAAGTGTTGTTCGGTCAGTCCCTCCAGTCGTTTGTGTTCGCCCACCGTGCCAGCTTTGATCGACACTGGATTGCGTCTGCTGAAGCTGTGGACTCTGTAGATCCGAAAACACATTATGACAAATCGGCACGCTCTCTCCATTCTCTACGGATTGGCACCCATGTTGATGTTCAGCACCACCAGACCAAGCTGTGGTCCATGCGTGGCGTCATTGTAGCAATTGGCAGTCGGCGCGACTACTTCGTCAAGATGCCCAGTGGCCGTGTCCTCTGGCGTAATCGCCGCTTTCTCCGTCCCTATGTTCCCCCGTGTGTTGACTCCGCTAGTCATACCCCTTCCCCAACTTCATCAGTACGTGTACCTACTGACGCCGCTACCCAGCCTGTTCGTCGTAGCACTCGTATTCGCAAGACACCTGATCGTCTCACCATTACATCTACGTCTGGACAGTCATATGTGTGACAATGTTTGTCTGTAGCATTTGGTCTCATCTTGACATCATGCCTATGTCATTTCATCTCGTCTGTTATGACTTTATTTATTTATTTTTGTTGAGACAAAACCAGGTTTTATCTCAGAAGGGGCGCGAGAGTATAATAATTATGTTACTGTGTTTGTTATTTTGTGTCCGGTTGACACCCATGGAATTTGATCTTCGAAGGGGCGTGTTATGTTATGACGTAATGCCGTACAACTTTAGCTCTACTGTGTATGCACGCACGCATATCTTTGAAGGTCTTCTCTGTCGTTTACAGATTGAATCTTGTCAGTTTTTCTACTTCGTATATTCTAACCAATAAACTACTTGTCTCTTGTCTACCGAACCTAACAATAACTGCCCTCACATGGTATCAAGTACTGGTAGCTTGGAGTACAAAAGGAAAGGGGGAGAGAGAAGCCGTAGACATAATGTCACCTACCTGGTCAGAACGTCTAGATGTGCAATGACATCATTGAGCTTCTGCAGTGGCTCGGCGTAGCCAGCTAAGAACACAAACAAACACCGCACACCCAGCAAACACACACACACACACACACACACACACACACACACACACAAGAAACATACAAACGCCCAGAAGAGAAAACACATACTTCAATGCAGCCATGTGGAGGAGCATCAACATGACAATATCAGCGTACAGATTACATACCGAAGAAACTCCACAGTCTGTCTGTCTCTGTTTCTCTGTCTCTCTGTCTGTCTGTCTGTCTGTCTGTCTCTCTCTCTGTCTGTCTGTCTCTTTGTCTGTCTCTTTGTCTGTCTCTTTATCTGTGTCTTTATCTGTGTCTTTATCTGTGTCTGTCTGTCTGTCTGTCTCTCTCTCTCTCTCTCACACACACACACACACACACACACACACACACACACACACACACACACACACACACACACACACACACACAGGCCAACCATTTGTTTGTGTACACTCACCAGCAACTTTGAGCACCTCAGCAGCCAGTGTGCTCTGCAGTGAGTTGTAGGTGTCCTGAAGCTGCTGCAGCTCTGTGTTGGCGGACTTCAAGTCAGGGCTTGTGAAACGAACTCCATTCTTGTTCGTATCAATGGTGATGAATCCGCGTGCATTGCGCAGCGATTTCTCATCCTTGAAAATAGAGGGCAATACAAAACGGTGAGCACCACATCAATGTGAATCCTGTGTACACACATGCACAGAGCTCCGGACACGGATGATACCATATTTTCAATTGTTGTCATGAGTCTCGCACACAGCTGCTAATACATGTATACAACATCAGCCAGCTCAAGCTGCATAAACGTTTAGAGTCGGGTACTGGCTAATCTAGGGTGTGTAAACTAACCTTTCTCGTCACCCTGAAGAAATGGCCAAGCTGACTGGTTGACTCCAACTTTATCGTCTTGCCTGACTCCAGACCCAGGGAGCGGGCCGCCTGCACACACCAGAAAGTGACACACAGACACACAAGCATGGACACATGCCCACCAAAATTCTACAATGATCAACATAAGGATCCGCAAAAATCACGATGAACCCACAAAGAGAGAACGCTACTAATTACCTGTGCGTGTTGACCGGAGTAAACCAACTCCACAGACATATCTCAAGAGCACAGACACAGTGAAACAGTTAATAAACTACTGCGGATAGAACATACTATGGCATACGCACTGTGTAGAAAGTCACACATTTTCAGCGCGTTAAAAATGTCAGCCTCCGCTGGAGGCTAAAACACATTTTGGCGGCAAACACATTTCAGCCTGTACTGCTGCTACCTGTATACACTGTCACACTGAACCTTGCTAACCAAAATTTCAGCCGCAGCAAATGTTACGCCTTAAAGGCCCAGGCCTCAGATAAATTCAGCTAATATGCGCTGAATATTATGTTGATTTAAGGATGTTCCTCGGCTTTCGTATAAAGTACAATTTTTTACGGAATCAATAGAGGTATGCTATACTGAAATTTCACTGCATACAAAATTCAGGCATTTCTCGTGGCAAGACAGAGCAAGCAGCATGTATCGAACCTGCACAGGCAGTTCATTCAAACTCCACCGTGTCCAGTTCAAACGACTGACCTTGTTCAAGTAGGATGGCATCTTCTCCAGGATCTCATCCATCTGGCCTCGACATACTGCATTGCAAATGGAGATAAACGTGACGAAACAGGGCTAGAAAGTAGGACTCAAACAGTTAGTCCGATTAACCGTTTGAGACCGGTTTCGAAAAAATAACGATTAACCGTTTGTGTAACGGTTATGCGGGTACTTTTTCTACTTTTCGCAGTACACATTTTTAGTATTTTTACAGAGTTTTCGAAGTGCATGTACTTTAAACTAGCGTGCGCCGTACTTTAAACTACTATAATGTAGTACGGAAATCAAACCGTAGACGATCACGACCGGTCGACCTGAAGTTGAACTGAAGATATGTACGGAAAGTCGGAAAGAGTCAAAGTGAAAGTCGTCCTTTGCCCTTTACCTGCCGTGCGCTGTGCTTCTTGTTTTCAGTCTCGCCGAGTCCTTTCCTCCCACGGTCCGTGTACTGAATCCGTTCGTTGCAGAGATGTCTTTGACGAATTTTCTTCAGGGCTCTGGCAATGCTGCAGGCAGTGCTGCTGCAGCGTCGACGTCGACTGGAACTCCTCAGTTTCAGCGTGCCCAGCGCTCCGCAATTTGGGACTATTTTGATCGCCTGTCATCCAGCCAGGTCAAGTGCCGGTTTTGCAACAAGAAGATGGTGTACAGTGGCGGCACAAGTTCAATGAGGACTCACTGAACTGCTGTAGGTAAGCCGAAGGAGAGTGACGATGTAAAATGTTCTTTCCGACAACTTCGTTGACGACGAACAAACCGCTCTCGCTGGCTTCTTCCGCAAGTGTCACGGATCGCATCGTCGACTGGGTGACTGCCGACCTGCGGCCAATTATTAGTATTGTACGTGACGATGGGTTTCTTTCGCTGATGAGCCACGTCTGCCCTGGTTATTCGGTGCCGTCTGCGACTCACATCACGAGCAAAATCCGCGAGCGCCATTCTGCTGGGCGAAAAGAACTTGCAGCGATCCTGGACTCGGTGCAGTTCTGCAGCCTGACGACGGACGCTTGGAGCTCTAGAGCTACCTAGGCGTACACCACCGTCACTTCGTTGACAGTAACTGGGACCTGGTGAGCTGTGTGTTGGAAACTTCGCAGTTTCCAGGGAGCCACACTGGTGCACACATCGCGGAAAAAGTAAGCGAATGCCTGTCGTCACTGCCGTTGCCTTCTTCAAAAGCCGTCGCCATCGTTCATGACGAAGCTGCTAACGCTGTTCTGGCTGGTTCCAACCTGGAGCTTGAATTGGGCTGGGAAAGTGTTCTCTGCAATGCGCACCTCCTCCAGACTGCGATCCGTCATGCACTGCAGAACAGCAGGCCAGTACAAAAACTCTTGGTGCTGGGCGTCGCTTGGTTGGGCATTTCAAGCACTCCAACCAGGCAATGGAGCAGCTGGGTCAGAGACAGCGGCAGCTGGGCCATAGTGTATTGAGGCCGATTCAAGATGTGTCCACCAGGTGGAACTCTTCATTTTACATGCTTGAGCATCTGCTCAAACTGAAGCTGCCCCTGCACGCCTTCTTCGAAGATTCCAGCCAGAGGAGATGTCGGGACATGATGCAAATGGCTCAAGACAAGAAGGACTCCTCTGGAGTGTGCTTCCTTGACATGTCGAAGGCCTTCGATAAAGTGCGGCATGAAATTATGACCCAGGAAATTGGAGTTGGCGGTAAGGTGATGAAATGGCTCGTTAGCTACCTTACAAACCGGACACAACAAGTCCGCATCGGTAGCGAACTGAGCAACATCACAGTATGCACAAGTGGAGTACCCCAAGGGTCTGTATTGGGGCCCATCTTGTTCAATATCTACACCCGAGCGGTAGCTGCAGTAGCTCACCCGACCCCTAGTATACAATTTGCTGACGATATTGCACTATACCAAAGTCACCCGAGCGGTAGCTGCAGTAGCTCACCCGACCCCTAGTATACAATTTGCTGACGATATTGCACTATACCAAAGTGGTCCCAACACGGCAACTACTTCACTGGGACTCGCGTCATCCGTCACAGCGCTGTTGAACAGGAGGTAAACATGTACTTTGCTGAGCGTCCAGCTGCTAACTCCACCGTGCCACTGGCATGGTGGAAAGTTCATGAGGAGCAGTTTCCACACTTGGCAGTCCTCGCACAGAAGTACCTGTCCACAGTGTCCACTTCCGTACCGTCGGAGCGGGTGTTTTCCGCCTGTGGCCTGCTAGTCGACAAACTCCGTTGTTCGCCCAGCCCTGAGACTGTCGACGCAATGGTATTTCTGGCAAAGAATTCCATTCTGAAGTCAGTGCGCTCACACGGTGGTGCAGATCATGACGGCATTCCCACACTTCTGCGCCAGGGTCAAGATGTTGATGCTGAGCAGTTGGAGCAGCCGCCATTGCCTGTCTTGACTGTGGCTGACGGTGAGAGCTGATTGTAGTTACATGCATGGTGCGTATTACAACTTGTTTCTCACCACAATTCTTGATTGCACCACAGTACGTGAAAATGAATAATGATGCGGGCGTCATCCAGCTACAATTGTGTTCATCTATTATACTGGGTTCACTATACATGGCAGTGTAACTTATCTGCTGTTTCTTGTGTGTGTGTGTGTGTGTGTGTGTGTGTGTGTGTGTGTGTGTGTGTGTGTGTGTGTGTGTGTGTGTGTGTGTGCGTGTGTGCGTGCATGTCTGTCTGTCTGTTTGTCTTTACAGAATGATCCCTGCAAGCGCAAACACTTCACCATCTGCTGTTGTGTGTTGCCCGTTCGCCATTCCGTACTTCTTCTTGCCGTTTATTCTGTGTACTTCAATAGTACCATCCGTGACAATTTGAATCAATTTCAATTATTTCATGCTATCTTAGTGCTTCTGGTCTGTGGATATGTGTGAATGAGCATGCAAACATGTGCATGTATTACTAGCATTCAGCATGGTACATTTTCAAACGAGTATATTGAACTATACTGTTCAAACCAGCTACTCGCCAGACTGCCGCGGCTTATAGGTTATAACCGATAAACCGACCGTTAGCATAGCAGTTAACCGTTAAGGTGAAAACCGTGACCGTTTGAGCCCTTCTTGAAAGTGATGACATCAGAAGTCGGAAAATAACAACTTCTAAACAATCTGCGAGGAGACAGTAATTTGAATAGAACAAGGTGGCAGACATCACCTCGATTCTGGATAACACACCTACATTTCGAACAGGTTGCATGTTGCGTGGTGATGTCTGCGGCCTTCGTTCCACTCATAGCTTTAATAGCACCTTCAGGATCAAATTGGATCCAGTCAGACTACTTTTATAGCAAGTGCACTATTAATATGCTGGGTACTAGGTAGGCCCCCCGTGTCGCATGCAATGCTGCTGTGATTATTCTATATCAAGAGTGGGTCCCCGACCGGTCGACAAGGAGGGCCCAGTCCAGTGACTACCGCACAGCTGTTTCATGCATACGATGCATGCGACCTGCCGTCAAAAAATATGACGCTGGCAATGGTACGGTAAAGCATAAAAATGAAAATTTGAATTTTCCAGTTATTTTTGACAATTTCAATTTTTGGGCTGCCATACCGTACCTACCACCTCAGATTAATTTGGATCGATTCTGGCCGGCTTGCCCCCAAATATTTGGGGTTATTCGCTTTCCAGAGCTCGCAGCTGCCTTCTCGCCTATTCAGAACAAGCTTTCGCAATCTCCTTCAGATTCCCACGGCCTGAGAAAGAGAAGCATCTTGATCCTTTTGCCAATCTGCTGCCATTGTTTGGATGATCATGGTTACGGAGGAATTGGCTAGCCTTCTTAGCTATTGTGAAAAAGAGCATACTGAAAATCTGCTGACCGTTTTTCACGTCAGCACATCTACAGATGACCCATGCGTGCAACAGTCTAGAGCTTCCATGCGACATTTGCCGTGGCTCGACTTTCGAGCTTTGTAACTCTGGAACCGCGTACTGGAGCGCTTTTGCGATTGTTTCAATGGACAGCTGAGAGTTTTCTCTTCGACCCACATATTTTAGTTTTTAGAAATGACACAAAATGACCGAGTTACGATCGATTGAAAATTAGAAATGTTTCGATCCCAGGGGATCGAAAGTTGTACAGTCCGTACACAAAGGGTTAACATTGAGTTTGTGGTGTCTTACCTTGCAGGTTCTCATCAAACGAGGGGCGTATGAGGAACTCGTGATTAGCAATCTGGTCCATGTCAATCGTGTGTTCGACCAAGTCGATGAAATTAGAACACTCGCTGTCGAGAGTCTAATATTAATAAGGCAGCCATTCATACACACGCATACAAGCACACGTGTACACAAACACACACAATGCCTAAGTAACAGCAGTGGTACCAATCACGCACCATAGCAGCCGTCACAACTAGAATTCCATTGTACGAGTAGATGTTGCATCCCTGTTCTCAGTGACCTGACCCAGGAGTCACTACCCGGAACGGTAACTGGAAAGAAAGTCTGGCCGTCTTCACGATGAGCTCAGCACTACCCACAGAGTCAACTAGTATAGTTTCTCAATCCAAGTCCAACTCCCCACGATTAAAATCCAAAACTTCCTTAGAGGCAAGTGCCACAACAATCAGACGAGTCTCAAACACCCAGGGTTCAAAACATGACCAGTAGTTACCTTCAACTGGGACGTGTAGAGCTCATCAAGCAAAGCTGCGTGCGTGATTCCCTGTGCCGTCGTCTCCAGTAGCTCTATCAACGCTGGCAAGCGACGCAACGCCTGAAAGACGCGCACAAGATCCTGAACAGCACCAGCAAACAATACTAGCACTTTGTGTACGCACACATGACACGATGCACAGCAAGACCTGTTGTACTGATACACACAGGAGTTCAGACAATGCTGCAAGAGAACAAACCTGCAAGCTGGCCTTCTTCCGTTGGAGGCGTTTAGCCAGGCGGCAGAAGTCTGGAATTTTCTTTAGATGCTCATCCTGAATAGGTGAATACCACAGACCAAAAGCAGTTGTTACAAAGAGTGGAAAGTTACACAGCTGCGCTAGTTCACTAACATCATATCGGAAAGAGAGAGAGAGAGAGAGAGAGAGAGAGAGAGAGAGAGAGAGAGAGAGAGAGAGAGAGAGAGAGAGAGAGAGAGAGAGAGAGAGAGAGAGAGAGAGAGCTAACTAGAGCTCAAAGCACACTGGCTAACCCGGCTGCTTGTAATATCATCACAACACGTAACAGTAAGTCACTCACCACTAGCGATTGCCGGAGTTCGGTATTGTCCACCATTACCTCCACCACATTGTGACGTTCAGCTGCAGAGCAGGGAATGATACCACACAAAAAAATAAGAACACGTACCGGAACAAACCGGTATGGACAAATTTAAAAACAGGAAACACAAACTAAATAGTAAATACCATGTTAAAAAGGGGGAATCCGGTGAAAAGCGAAAGGGGCAGGGTCTATAAAGTTTGGGCATGCATGCATGCGTGAGTCGAATGATCTTGGCCCAAGAAGGCAGCGATGCACTGTTCATCAGATGTTGAGTCTGATATTCCCAATCGAACGAGAACATCAACATTGTGCTGTACCTCATTCAGTGATGACATCGGTGCATGCAACCAGGTAGCCACACAGTCATATTGAGTGCAAAATGGGCAATGTTCGGAGCGCGTTTAATTGGGGAACCATTTGTAGCAGCTTCATCGGACCAAGACCATTCAAAGGCTTTTCTGGCGGCAAGGTTACCCTGCGCTTGCTTGATCTTCTCCCAAGTGACTGTGAACGTGTACCTAGCCAACCTCTCCCACATCTGCTCCTGTGATGGTAGGTCACCCTGTCCTCACCATCTCTCTCACTGTGCAGCACGTTCTCCACAAACAGGTGAGACGCTTGCTTGGATTCTTCCGACTCATTCAGGGAGAGGTAAATGGAGGCGATGTTGAATTGGCGCTCAGCGATGGTGTTGCTGACGGGCAGGCAGAAGATGTGCTTGGTACACCAACCCCACAGATGCTGCTGTGAAGTCGCACTTGGACACGATGGGCCTGACATCATTGCCACCTCCACGATGTCCTCCAGTAGCTCTGGACGATCCATGTCCCAACGTTTCCGCCAGGTGTTGAGGTCTTGCAGCTGGTCCGCACGGACCAACAGTATGACATACTCGTCGAGCCAAGAAGCACTGGGATCAGACGATAAGACAAGTACCGCCTCCACCAGATCTAGTTCAATGGCCGTGTCCACGACAGCGTCCATGTCACCGCAGTTCGCTGCCTCGACGAGGAGGTCCGAGCGTTCCACTGTAATCGTCAGCGGGGCACTATTGATCAGTGCCTCGCGTCCGATGACCCGCAATCATGCACGCCAAAACATAGTGCGGTGTGTTGTGCTTGCTCCCCTACACAGCAGTAGCGGGACACATAACCATCGAGATGCATGCTTCTGCAAGGCTGCAGCTATCGCAGAAGTGAACGCAGGCAGGATCTCGTTGCAGAAGACATGCTGGGATGTTTCATCAAGCCTGGCCGCTGACTGGATGGTCTGAGTCAGGGCGAAGTGAGGACGAGTGGTCATGAAGGACGCTTGGCGAAGATCCTGCAGGACCCGGGTTGGCCACATCCGAGAGAGGTAGCTACTGGCAAAATTCAGCTCATCATCCTGGCTGTGGCAAGAAGACAAGGCGGGCATGAGCAAGTCGTGCAGCACTTCCCATAAGAGGCAACGCTCCGTAGCAAGGACAGGACGTGCGGCCATTTCGATGATGTCCCGCCATATGCCGTAGTGGGAACTCGACTTAAGCATGGACTTGAGGACTGCCTTGTCCATCTGCATGCAGCTGTCCCCATGCTGCCACCACCACCTCAGCAGCTGTCCCCATGCTGTCCCCACCACCTCAGGTGCTGTCCCCATGCTGCCACCACCACCTCAGCAGCTGTCCCCATGCTGCCACCACCACCTCAGCAGCTGTCCCCATGCTGCCACCACCACCTCAGCAGCTGTCCCCATGCTGTCACCACCACCACCTCAGCAGCTGTCCCCATGCTGCCACCACCACCTCAGCAGCTGTCCCCATGCTGCCACCACCACCACCTCAGCAGCTGTCCCCATGCTGCCACCACCACCTCAGCAGCTGTCCCCATGCTGCCACCACCACCTCAGCAGCTGTCCCCATGCTGTCACCACCACCACCTCAGCAGCTGTCCCCATGCTGCCACCACCACCTCAGCAGCTGTCCCCATGCTGCCACCACCACCTCCTCAGCAGCTGTCCCCATGCTGCCACCACCACCTCAGCAGCTGTCCCCATGCTGCCACCACCACCTCAGCAGCTGTCCCCATGCTGCCACCACCACCTCAGCAGCTGTCCCCATGCTGCCACCACCACCTCAGCAGCTGTCCCCATGCTGCCACCACCACCTCAGCAGCTGTCCCCATGCTGCCACCACCACCTCAGGTGCTCAAACATGTAGGACCACCTGCTCTCCACAAACTCCTGGGGCAAACTGGGTGCCTTCTTACAGATGCCCTTGGACGTGTACAGGGCTCTGTAGTAGGACGGGTGCTGGTGGTGGACATACGCAACTTTAAAATGCAGCTGGTACAAATTAAAGTCACTCATTCCACCTCTGCCGCCAAAGCCATCGCCAATAGCCGTCTTGAGCACGATATTCACAATATGTGGGTAGCAGCCGATGAAAGTAACCTTCCCTCCGAAAAGCTTGCCAAGCTCAACGGCGTGACCTTTCTTCGCACCGGACTGCGTTGTGGCGTTGGTTGCCACTGACGTTACACCGAATATTGAGGTGAGGATGTGGTGGTCGGCTGACGCTTGGTCGCTACCTATGCTGCTGGCAATGACGGTATTGGCCAGAATGTAGCCGACTGGCCTGTTTTGCTGCGCCGACCAGACGTGAACACCCATGATATGACGTTCGTCATGGCCTTTATCGGAGTCGTCAGCAAAAAGACATACATCACTGTTGACAGTGGCCAAGACGTGCAATAAATTCAGCCGGTCGACCTCACCAAGCACCACATTCCATCTGCTCAGCGTTGTCGGCGAGACTTTCCACCCCCATGTCCCCGCTGTTTGTTTTGATGAGCAGATTGCCAAACAAGTCGAGAGCAAGCGAAGCCTTCTGGTTGCTCAGAATGCAAGCATGTTTGATGAACCTCACACCAGCCATAAAACCAGTCGTGTGCTTGCGCACTCCATCTTCTACTACTACAGCAGACTGGACAGCTGTGCCATGCGTTGTTGATGCCTTCATGTCTTCGAATGTTTTTTTTTAAATTGTGTTGCTTGGCTGTGTGCTCCACGCAGTTGATCCGTCTGCCGCTTGCATTCCGCCTGTAGCTCTCCGACAGCTGTTTCGAGTGGCTTTGCTTTAGCTTCTAGCTTGGCGTTTGCTTCTAGCAGATGCCGATGACTTTGTATCAGTGCTGTATATGTGTCCGCTGAGATCGTGACTTGCTGTGGCTGCTGTTTCGGTGTCTTCTCGGTGTCTGCACATAACAAGTGAGGGCTGAAGCTATGCTGATAGGCCCGATACACAGACTTGTCAGTTCCAGTACTCAGGAAAGTTTGAAGGTGCGCTCGGCCGGGCCGGTGATCTTTCTGAGAAAGAAATAAGTTTCCATTGAATAGTTCAGCCTCATTAGTGCTTCACGGCTGAGTCCACAAAGGGCAAAACAGCAAACAGCTACCAGACCTCAGAGGCGCAGCTCGCATAGGGAGTCCTGGCAAATCCAGATGCTCGAGGTTGAGGTCACGGAGCGCCACATGGAGCTACAAGCGAACCTCGCTATGCTGTTTTGCGAACCTGCACTGACGCTGATCCTGGCCCAACTCATGCCCCGCATACACGGCGGCTGATGCGAGGATGCAGCTGCCAGCAGGATTGGCACCACTGCGTGTGAAGTACTGCAGTAGATTTTCTGAGCTTGCTTCTCTCCAACGTTGTGCTGTACCGAATAGTGGAGTGCACAACCCTGTATGCCGATGAACACATGCAGCACAAGCCGTAACACACACAACGTCTGATGGAACACGGTTGCCAGTGGACTGCGGGGAGATGAAGCGCTTCTTTGCATTGATATTGTCCAGTCTATAGCTTGCATGCCAAAAAAAATACATTACTGAAGTCAGTCTAGGTCAACAGGTATAGTGTGCTTCCTGAAAGTGGCTGACCACCATCATGAGAATACAACCAACTGACCAAAGAAGGTACGCTTTCTTGTTGATCACGCAAAGAGTTGCTCGCTGCTAAAGCCTCTACCGACCAGTGGGTGGTAGCAGCATTCACGAGAGAAGGGTGAAATTCAAAGCATGCTCAACATGTATCCAGTACCCATCCAAGAAACCAGTCAAATGGGGTTTCAAGATATTTGCTCTCTCTGACGCCAAGACATCTTTCCTGAATAACTTCGCGGTCTACGCGAGACAATAACCGGGTGGAGAAGGGGGGGATGACGCATGCTGTTGTTATGCGGCTTGTGGAAGGTCTGGAGAGTCGCGGCCATGTTGTGTTCATCGACAATGTTTTTAAAATGTACACAGCAGTGAGTGTGTCACGACAGGAGAGGAGCATGCCACAAACTGCTACCATCCGCAGAAAGATGCATGGTTTTTCTGCTGCTCTAAACCGTAAAACGGCAGACATGAATGATTTGAGCGCTAGGCCGATGGAGAAGCGGGTCGCTGCACACGCGCAGGCGACGTGCTCTATGTTCAGAGGAAGGCCAAGCACTGTGTCAGCATGCTATCTACGGTGCACAAGGCCAGTGAGCAGGTCATCGTTACGAGAAACATCAACGTTGACGGGTAGCACCAAGAGCAAGTTGAAATCCAGAATGCATTGCCACGTGCAAAGGCAGTATGGGTGGAATTGATGTACTTGACCAGCTCATTGCTACCTATCGAGTGATGCGGAAGAGCAAGAATTGACAAGAAATACTGTACGAAATAGTGGTTGCGACTTCGGCGAGGATTTGTAAGAAATACTGGATATGTTTATTTCTGGGTGTGCTCGATGTGTGCGTGTGCTGTGAATGCGTACATTCTGGAGTGTGTGCTGTGAATGCGTACATTTCTGGAGTGTGTGCTGTGAATGCGTACATTCTGGAGTGTGTGCTGTGAATGCGTACATTCTGGAGAAAGTGGAATCCTGATGCAATTAAACACTGTACTACCATCCGCTGAACCTGCCGCCAGTCCCTTCTCTTCTTCTTCGCTTGAATTTGCACATGCGCGCACACCACATACACACACACACACACACACACACACACACACACACACACACGCACACGCACACACACACAAAAAGGCCTACAACATCAGTCAGTAGAACTACTGCCTTACTGATCTTGTTCAGGTCGAGCAGTGGCTGTTTGATCCACTGAGCAAGCAAGCGTTGGCCCTGCGGTGTGCGGCATTTGTTGAGCAGTCCCAGCAGTGAACCATTACCACCTAACAATATTAACAACAACGATAGCAAAGAGCAACAATGGTGACGATAGCAGGAGAGCAAGAGTAGCAGCAGCAGCGGCAGAAGCAAAGGCAGCAGTATTGAACTGCAACTACTCCTATCTATAACACACAAACATGTTGATGACAACATCCCCCCCCCCCCCCCCCCCCACACGCACACAGCACTGAGAAGCGACATGACCCTGACTCAGTATACACTTACGCTCCGTTGCACTTGGCACAAGGTTGAGGGCTCGCACTGCAGCCACGTCCAGTTTCATGTACTGATCAAGAGAAAACGACTTGAGCTGATACTGACCAAAGTTACTCTCATCACGTAGCAGCTGCAAACCGAAAGCAGCCAAAGCAGAGGTACAATCAGACACAGCAAACACCATGCGATGTGGAGAAGCCAGTGGCAAAAAACAGAACCAAGAGTAACAAAGATTAGTGCCCAAACACTTCACTAGCAAATTAGCAATGCGTATATTATTCACCCAAGAAGAAAGCGGTGACCATAGGTAGTGCTGAAACGATTACGTTTTTTCCTTAGTGGCTTAGCTGATACCATAACGATCGGCTTATCGGCTAAACGATTATTTTTGTAACTACATCAGTACATGTACATTCTGTGAATTTCAACAAAATTACGAGTCCAACATCGCCAATGACGAAAAGTGGGCGCATAGATCCGATGATCCCGCCACAAGTCTGTCAGCTGTTCGGATTGACCAGACGAATACAGACAAGACAGAGGCATCTCACTGGTTGCAACCCAAGTGCTGATGGTGCCCTTCACTTGTGACTTCGCTGACTCCGATGATGAAGTCAGGGAAGCCGGCCAGGAGTGCAGATCGGCGGATTTCGACGGATGAGCTGACTTGAGGCGCACAAACAAGTAACTAGTTGCTTTTCCTGTCTATGCTCAAAATAGGCCCAGACGCCAGGCCTAGCTCGTCGTCGAGCAAACTGGTTCGGGAACCGTCGACAGAACGGAAAACATGAAACTGAAGACCACTTTACTGTCTTTAGCTCAAGACCAAGGGCGTCGGAACCGCACCGGCCGGGGCGGCCATGGCCGCCCCACTTTTTCGGCCGTTTTTTTTTTTTTTTTTTTTTAGCACACTGCAACAAGGCGCGATGATCTCAGCGCAAACGTGGCAAATCCTTGTCCCCGATCGTGGTTTGTTGCAGAATCAAAAGTCCATTTACATGTACATGTAGATCTACACTGAAATGGCACCAAATGCCTGGGAATGCTTGCAATTGGCTTCAATTGTTGAATTTTTTTCCCGGGGGAGGGTAATGTTTGTCCCCGATCGTAGCATCTTCTTGGTTTTTTGCAGAATCAAAATGTCTTTCATTGTAGTTACCGTACACTGAAATGGCACCAAATGCCCGGAAATGCTTGCAATTGGCTTCAATTTTTGAAATTTTTCCCGGGGGAGGACCCCCCGACCCCCCTTCCATGGCCGCCCCACCTCAAAAGTCGTTCCGACGCGCCTGAAGACTACTCGCACGTGGAGGGAACTCCAGCCCCTGCAGCTAGTGTAGACACATACTGAGCCTGCCCGTCCTGAATGCTGTATGTCAGAATAGTAGTCAGCTCAAAAGACGGCAACGGTGATCTCGTCGATGTTACTCAGATCGCGCTTGTACTTTACACGTACATCGATGTTGCAAGCGTACAGTCATGTACATATTCGTGTCGTACTCGCAACATTTTCGATGCATGCACGCTTTGTGCGACCCCCAAAAGGGGGGCAATCCCGTACCGAGCGTAAGTACCATTCTACTCGTTTAGCCGATAAAATCGAAATAACCGTTCGATCTATTTCTTATCGAGTAAGTAACGAGTAATCGATATAATCGTTTCAGCACTAACCATAGGAAACATCCATGGAACTCCCTTCAATTTAGACGTCTTTGGGAAATCCTCAAATATATAACATCCCAGTTGCTATTATCATTCAGTAGCCCTCCGATGCCAACGCATGGGATACAATCACCGAAAACACTCCTTATAGCAGAGTCTTACATCTAGATACTTTATTAGAGCGGCTGCTGCTGACATGGCGTGGTGGAGCTCTACTTCGGCTGTGGACAAGGGAATACGCGCATGCACACACGCGCGCACACACACACACACACGCACGCACGCACACACGCACGCACGCACACACACACACACACACACACACACACACACAAGAATGAGCGTATATGAATCATGAACAGATGCTATAATTATATCAGCCAGAGAATTCAGCAAATGGAGAAAGGGCAAGAGTCACAAGTCCTTGCACAAAAAACAATTCCAAAGATGGGCAAGATTGTAATACTGCTGCTGGCAGAACTTACGCAAAGATGCAGCACCGCTAGAGGATGCCAGTTTTAGTAATCGATTGAGATCCTGCACGATATCCTTAGTGTTGAATTCAGCTGCACAGCATACAAGAGCAAAACACACTGAAACTACACAGGCATATACTGTATGGAGACCTGCTGACGATTGTCAGTAGAAATGTACAAATTGGATACGAAACACTGTACACACACACACACACACACACACGCACGCGCACACACACACACACACACACGCACACACGCACACATTCCCTTTTAGTTTTAGAAGTGCAGCGGAGGGGGGGGGGCAGAAAACCAAGACAACTCTTACCTTTCTTCCGATCGCTGATGAGGACTTTAGACCTCTCCATGATGCGACGGGTGGCAACTACCTCGGCTGAGGTATCTCCCGCAGGCAAAATGCATTCCTTGGGACCAATTTGTACCAGTAATGACTGGAGAAACAACATGAAATTTGTGAAAGAGGAGAAACATCAGTGCTGTACACGGTACCGGTGTTTTACAAGTCAGTCTACTGTAATAAGAAAGCAGTGTTTTGAAATCGCCACTCCACAATGGACTCTTGGCCGACCAACTCCACAATGCGTTTGTCGCTAATTTCTCCTCTCAAGAAATGAACGTAATCTCAGAAATGGAAAACCGACACTTGCATTGGTCCGGCCATGCTTCGTGCCATAGTCACGAGCGACGATAACCCTGATAGAAGGAGGGCCAAAGCTCAATTTTTGGGAGAGGTGTCGGCATTGGTCCAATTTTGCTACGGCGAGGAAATACCACAGGATAACAATGGCGCGGAGATTTTAAGAGAACAGCAAATGGCTGCAATGCGACGGAACAACATACCTCAAGATTGGAGAGCTGGTCATTGTCCACAAATTCACTGACGCCGAGCTGACGCAGGGCAGCATCAGCATAGGCTACACCGACCAGCTAGTACACAGGCAGAACAGCATACAAACACATTGGCTAAAGCCAACATTCGGGGAGAATACCGGTAATGATAATACGGGGAGAATGTGCACATAAAGGGACAGCACCGGTATGTGGTCCTCAATCAACTTTGCAATGCACACTGGACCTATCAATGTCACGTGTTGCAGAATTCTGTATCTAGCTTTTGAAACAGTATGGAGCTGTGAATACGCCGTGCAGTTTGCGGGCTACTTTAGCTGCACCTGACTGACTCCAGGGGTCTCCAATACCCTCATCCATGATGCAGTGCAAACTTTCCCTCGGACTTTCAGGCTTACGCTTGCCGCAGTGGGGGGAGGGGCTAAACTCACAGGACACACCGGATCCAAACTCACTAGATATTATCTTTCTTAAACTTGCATTCAATTCCGAAGGGGATTGGCCCCCCAACACACGACCAACAAAGCATTTGACCGTCTATGAAGCTTTGATCTTTATACGCGTAAATACACTCACCCTCTGGTTATCGACCTGAGAGAACTTGACAGCAACAACACCAGCGCTGGAAGACATGTCGTTATTTCCACTGAACAACAGCTCATCAAACTGCTCTAGGTTACCAGGAGAGGCCTAGACAACAGAGACAGATCATGAACAAAAAGGGCTGAGAGGTGAGGGCAAACACAGTGAGCTCTTCAACTGGCCTTCTAGCTGCCGCAAGCAAAGCAGTCAGTGTGTGTGGTAGTGTGGTAGTGTACAAACAAACAAACAAACACACACACACCATTGACCATTTGACGCCCATCGCCGGAGGCGATGATAGCGATGCTACAGCAGAAGCCATAGCAGCTTGTGCTGGGATTGCACCATTCAACAGCTTGCAAGACTGAAGAATTGACCACCACTATTCAGCCTGGTCTACACCACACAGCTATGGAGTGGCTTTTTCTGGCCAGTGAATCTCTATTTTTTTGGTCTTTTCATTTTTTTCCCGCACACACATCACACCACATACTCCGGCATGCACTGGCTGTTGGTAACCACCCAGGAGAATGAAAGAAAAGTCAGGAGGAGTCTGAGAAAGAGAAGAAAGACGTGTGTGACCATTGTTATAGTTACACATTCAATAATTCTCGAGCATGCTTCAAATATTTACGATGGTAACATTTTATACATACATAATCACTGACTCCAGGTCTAGGTCACTCCGAGACACCTTTCTTGCAAGGTCTGATATTAGAGAGGTTCTGCTACACGGAACTACGTACCAAACTCCGTGTCAACTGCAGTGAAGTTTGACACGGATTTTTCGTATGTTGCACCGGTTCTGCTGTACGTAGCATGCTCGAAGCATGCACGAACACCCCGCCACATGTACTCTGTACGCTCACTTTTCACACGGAGTCCAGTCCGTGTGAAGCGTGCTTCACACGGAAAACGGTATGAAAAAATCCGTATCAAACTAAATCCCGTACCGCGGCGAAGTTTCCATACGTACTTTGGCACGTTTTACCGTGTGGCAGAACCTCACTAATACTTCATGTTTACTAACATTATTTATCTTCCTGCTGCAAGCGAAGGCTGTTGTTCACAAAGTCTTCGCTCATAATTTATTTGCATGTTGCCCGCACGCAACCTTTCTCAAACTAAGTTTGACACATGCGCTCTGTGTACATCACTAGAATAAATTTGTGTTTGCTGCTCTAAAACTGCACGCCACTCTTTAGCGTACATCTAGAGATCTAAAGTCCGCATGCGATATACGCTAACTTTGCATCCCGTTGCACCAAAAGCTTGGAGCGCATATAACCTGAGCTTGCTGTCATCTTCATGCATTCCGCTCGAGTCTAAGGACTCTCCAGTCTTCTACTATACTATGGTAAAGTAATGGATAAACCTATTACCCGTTGTGTTTTGTGAGTGCCTTAGTTCCTATCGTGTGCAGAATGTTGAAATATAACATTGGCGATGAAATTTCCGAACCATGTCCAAGGACTCCATGGAGCAGTTCCTTATCAGTGGGCACGCAAGTGAAGTCCAACAGCGTTGGAAGAAATGGCCGCGGGCTTTCCAATACTTCATCGACGCCAAGGCCATTACCGACCCAGATCGCCAGCGCAGCATGCTGTTGCACAAGGCTGGCCTACAGATTCAGGAGATTTTTGAAGATCTTGAAGACCCGGTTGCGCAGGCAGATAGACCAGGTGATGACAATGCTTTCAAACAAGCGGTAAGGATGCTTGATGGGCATTTCGCATATACAGCCAATCCAACTTTCGAGCGGCACGTTTTCAGGCAAATGTCACCCAATGTAGGAGAGAATGCCACTCAATTCTGCACCAGACTCCGTACGCAGGCTAAACTTTGTGCATTTGCTGCAGATGACGAGCATATTCGTGACCAGATGAGTGCCACTTGTATTGACGTCGATCTGCAACGTTCTCTTCTTTCTAAGAGTAACCTTACCCTACAGGTGCTGCTGGAAAATTTTCACGTGCGAGAATCATCAGGCATTCAAGTACGATCGATGGCTACGACAGCGTCAAGCGTCAGTGCCAGCCCTAGCAGCGTCGACGCCGTACGTTCTACGACATCGTCAACGCGCGCACCGTGTACGCGATGCAACAGGGTGGGTCACTCGTCGTCAGCTGACGATTGCCCAGCACGCCGCCGCCGATGCAACACGTGTAGTAAGGTTGGCCACTATGCTGTTTGCTGTAGATCTCAAGGTAGTACTAGTACTAGTAATGCAAGTAGATCGTCGCATGCCCAACCTAGGGATGCTGGTACTCACCATGGCTCACTGCCTGACCAATGTGCTGAAGCTCTAAGCTCAGATTTCATGATTGCCAACATTGGGTCGCAGCACAGTCACACTGGCAAATTCCGAGTTGATGCACATGTAAACGGTGTAGTGTTATCTTGTGTGTGTGTGTGTGTACCCATTGTGCATGCTCGTTTCTCTTATTTGTACTCTTCTCTTTATAGATGTCTCATGCACCGTAGTGTACCCTCTAGTACTCTACTAGATCCAGATATGGAGTACCCGCGACTGTCTTGCTGTATGATGTGTCTTTCACGACTATTTGTGTTCTTGCACTGATATTGAAAAGGGTTCTTTGCCTCACAACGAGACCGTGTTGACTTGGTATTTTGGTGTGCTCTCGACAAGTACTAAGGACGTCGGGAGAACATTACATGGTGGCAGCGCTGGGATTTCCTCTTTGACAGGATGGCGACAGGCGTTTCAAACAACCCTGTTTCCACTCCCACAACTACCTCCATCACGGTTTCCTCAGGTCCAAGTAATACTACGACTACTAGTAATGCTGGCTCGTCAGGAGCAGTCACTGTCTCGAGTGTTGGTCAAGCTGCACCCTCTGTCGTTTCCTCCGCGGCTGGGCTATCCCTCCCCACGGTATCATCTCTGGGTCCCGTGGCACCCCAGGTTCCGTCGATGATCCACCTTACCCAGGTAGCTCCTCCAGCCCCATTCGACTTCAAGTCCGCTGATGTGTGGGAGAAGTGGAGCAAGCGATTTACGAGATACAGGCTCGCCTCGGGTCTTCATATGCAGGCACAGTCCGTGCAAGTAAACTCTTTGTTATATTCGATGGGCGACGAGGCTGACGACCTCCTACTGAGTTTCCATTTATCAGACCAGGATGCGGACAACTACGACATCGTATTCCAGAAATTTGCAGACCATTATGGCAGGAAACGCAATCTGGTGTACGAGCGTGCGAAATTCCACCAGAGGTCCCAACAGCCCGGAGAGTCGATTGATGGCTACATAACTGATTTGTTTCGTTTGGCAGAACGTTGCAATTTCAAGCAGCTCCACGACGAGATGATCCGTGATCGCCTTGTTGCAGGAGTTGCAGACACTGCCCTGTCCCAGAAACTGCAACTGGACCCATCTCTTACACTGGACAAAGCTCTGGCACAAGCTCGCCAGAAAGAGACTGTACGAACACAACAGTCCACTGTCCGTCACGGTTCGTCAGCTGGTGCAACTCTTCACCAAGTCCACGCTTTCGAACAGCAGCATCACTCTGCATGTGAGTCGTGTACCTGTGCACTGGAGCTGAATGCACTTAGCATGCGACCACAATCTCACCAAGGTGTGAAACATCCGGCCCAGTACAACCGCGATTCAACTGGTCATGCTTCACAGCCCCGCAGTACACACAGTTACAGTGGTCATCCTCGCTCAAGTCAGTCTGCATCCAGGCACAGCTCTGGCGTTGATCAATCTACCGGTAGTACCTGTCACTGGTGTGGTAAGGAACGCCATGCACGCACTCAATGCCCAGCTCGTCAGGCCAAGTGTTCATTTTGCAGCAAGATTGGACACTTTGCTGTTGTTTGTATGCAGAAGCACACTAGTAGCTCTCAGTCTGCCTCCAACACCAGTCACATGCATAGTCTGCAGTCCTCTGCTGCTAGCTCTGGTCCATTACAGTCTGCTGACCAGTGGCACTATCCTCCAGCCTACCTAGGTGCATTGTCCGCTGATACTGGGTGGTCTATGCCCATGCTGCTGCAGTCAGTGCCAGTTACAATGAAGGTCGACACTGGTGCAGACGTAACTGCCATCCCAGCCAGCTTATATGACGACATATCTGCTCACCATCAGCTCAACCTCCAGGAATCCGACCGTACGCTGAAAGGTCCAGACAACGCAACTCTAGCTGTTTCAGGCCGCGTCACACTCAGTATCTGCCGTTCTGCATTTTCCGACTTTGCAGTAGACACAACAGTGTACGTGGTACCGCACCTGAAAACACCTCTGCTCGGCCGGCCAGCAATCGAAGCCCTACATATCTTCAGTCCGCCAGCAGATTTGCTCAGCGCAACTACCGGTACTTCTGAGCAGTCCTCCGTCAAATCGCAGTACCCTGAGCTCTTTGCGGGAGTTGGTTCGTTTGGCAGCGAGCACACGATTCGGCTGGTCGATAATGCACAGCCTTACTCTCTGCCTACACCACGCCGTATCTCTCTACCGATGGAAGCCAAAGTTATCGAAGAACTGCAGGCCCTCGAACAGAGTGGTGTCATTCGCAAGGTAACTGAGCCAACCGATTGGTGTGCCGGTATGGTAGTGGTACCTAAACCCAACGGTAACGTGCGCATCTGTGGCGACTTTACCCGACTCAACCAGGCTATCCGACGGGAACGTCACATCATGCCAACAACCGATCACCTGCTTGCTCGCCTCGGCACAGCCAAGGTCTTCTCGAAGCTGGACGCGAACAAGGGCTTTCACCAGATCCCCTTGTCGCTGGAATCTCAACTGCTAACAACATTCATTACGCCCATCGGTCGTTTCTGCTTTCGACGACTCCCGTTTGGCATCTCCTCTGCACCTGAGTACTTCCAGAAGCAGATGTCTGACCTGCTGAGCGACCTGCCAGGCACAATCTGCATGATTGACGACGTTCTAACCTTTGGTGACGACGAACACGAGGAAGAGAAGAATCTGCATGCAGTCCTGCAGCGACTCTCATCAGCCGGAATCACACTCAACCCAGACAAGTGTGCTTTCCAACAACGTTCAGTCAAGTTCCTGGGACACATCCTCGACGACAACGGCATCCACCCTGATCCCCAGAAAGTGCGCGGCGTTCAGGAGCTGAAACCCTGCACGGATGTCCCTGCAGTACGTCGTTTCCTTGGCATGGCGAATCAGCTGGGAAAGTTCGTACCGGATCTAGCAACGGTGTCTCAGCCACTGCGTGCTCTGCTGGTCAAAGGCCAGGAATGGTCCTGGACCGAGGAACACCAAGCAGCATTTGACGCGATCAAGTCAGCCCTCAGTTCGCATCCAGTACTGGCGATGTACTCGACTACCCTGGATACGATCATATCTGCAGACGCCTCATCATTCGGCCTGGGAGCAGTCCTCCTCCAGGTGCAGTCTGACGGCTCCATTCGTCCAGTTGCATATCAGTCCCGTTCTCTGACACCAGCTGAGACCCGCTATTCTCAAATCGAGAAAGAGGCTCTTGCTTCTACTTGGGCATGCGATCGTTTCGAACATTTCGTACTTGGCAAGCCGTTTACGATCCAGACTGACCACAAGCCGCTTATCCCGCTTCTAGGCAGCCGTGCTCTAGACGACCTACCGCCTAGAATTGTCCGTTTCCGTCTGAGGCTCCTTCGTTTCAATTTCCGCATTGTTCACGTGCCAGGCAAGGATCTCGCCATTGCTGACGCTCTCTCCAGAGCACCTGTTTCATCAGAACAAGTCGACAGCCAAGATGTTGATCTCCTCGCAGCTGAGACAGCAGCGCTTGTCGACTACGCCGTTGATTGTCTGCCTGCAACAACTAAACGCCTCGATGACATCGCCGAGTGGCAAGAGTCTGATCAAGTGTGTGAGTCGCTTGCTCGCTACTGCGCTGACGGCTGGCCACACTCATCCGACGCTCCATCTGATGTTCGACCATACGTAGAACACCGGGCACACATCACACTTACCGATGACGGTCTGCTGCTCTACAACGACAGGTTGATCATTCCCGCATCTCATCGCGACGACATTCTGTCACGGCTCCACACTGGACACCAGGGCATCGCCAAGTGTCGCCGTCTTGCCCGCAACTCTGTCTGGTGGCCCTCCATCAATTCGGATATTCAGCTGTATGTTGCAAATTGCACGACGTGCGTCCGCATGCACACTCAACCAGCTGAACCGCTCATCCCAACAACACTCCCTGATCTACCATGGCAACGTCTAGCTGCCGACCTGTTCCACTTTGGTTCGCTTGACTTTCTCCTACTGGTAGACTACTACTCTCGCTACATCGAAGTCGTCCAGCTGACGTCAACATCATCCAAGGCTGTAATTACGCACCTGCAAAGTATCTTTGCCCGTCACGGTATTCCCGAGACATTGATGTCGGACAACGGTCCACAGTTTGCGTCTGAGGAGTTCCGTCGATTTGCCGAGGAGTTCTCATTCCAGCACGTAACCAGTTCTCCGCTATATCCGCAGGCTAATGGTCTCGCCGAAAGATCCGTTAAAACCGTCAAGCATCTATTCACTGCCTCTCCAGATTGGTACAGTGCGTTGCTCACGTATCGCAATACTCCTCTGGAATCCGGTTACAGTCCTGCACAGCTCCTAATGGGTAGACAACTCCGTTCACGTGTCCCCGTGTCCAGCTCGCAACTGCAACCTCAGTTGATTTCGACATCTGACTTTGCCGCCGCCGATGCAGCTCTCAAGGCCCGGCAAACCAGCAACTACAACGATCGGCACCGTACTCGTTCTCTGCCGCCTCTACAAGCTGAGCAACCAGTCTATCTCACGGATCGCCATGAGACTGGTACAGTACTCCGTCAACCCGCCATTCGCTCATACGTTGTGTCTACACCCTCGGGTGAATATCGTCGCAACCGTCGACACATTGTTGCTTTGCCGTCCGCACCTCCGGTTGCGCAGGTTCCGAAAGCAGCTTCAGCACCAGATACAACACCACCGCGTCCACCACAACCTACGACAACAAGTACCACATCGTCTACAACCTCTTCTACACACTCAGCCGTTCCTACATCCAGTACAACATCAGCAGGCACAACCATTACTCGTAGTGGTCGTACAGTGATGCCTCCTGATCGTTATGGTTTCTCTGACTGAACTCTTGCTCTGATCTACCACTGAACTCGCATCACCATTACCTCTTTCATCTCTTGCTCTGTTGCTCTACTCTTCTCTACGCTTTTCTCATGCGTATGCGTGTATGTGTGTATGTGTGTGTTCTTCTTCTTTTGCGGAAGGGAGGGATAGGATTATACATAAATGTTTTGCATTATTTGGTCTTCTCGTCTTGTCTTTCTCTTTCCAACTTTCACTGCTATGCTCTTTCTCCTTTTTGAAGAAGGGGAGATGTAGTGTTATCTTGTGTGTGTGTGTGTGTACCCATTGTGCATGCTCGTTTCTCTTATTTGTACTCTTCTCTTTATAGATGTCTCATGCACCGTAGTGTACCCTCTAGTACTCTACTAGATCCAGATATGGAGTACCCGCGACTGTCTTGCTGTATGATGTGTCTTTCACGACTATTTGTGTTCTTGCACTGATATTGAAAAGGGTTCTTTGCCTCACAACGAGACCGTGTTGACTTGGTATTTTGGTGTGCTCTCGACAAGTACTAAGGACGTCGGGAGAACATTACAAACGGGAAACCCCTCAACATGGAACTTGACACAGGGGCACAGTTATCTATCATTCCCGAAGCACTTTGGAAACAGTTGTGGGGAGATGTCAAGCTGAATGCCACCAAGACTGCACTCTGTACTTTCTCGGGGGCACCTTTAACTGTTGTGGGGGAGGCCTGTGTCGATGTACAGTACCAGTCGCAGCATGTCCAGGAGAAGATTCTTGTGGTCAAAGAGGGCACCACCCCGTTGTTCGGCCGCAATTGGTTGTCTAACATACGTTTGGATTGGCATACCATCTGTTCTGTCTCTTCTGCTCCACGTACGTCTGATTCTGAGTCTGTATTAGACGAGTTCCCAAGCGTTTTTCAAGGTGGTCTGGGCAAGATCCATGACTCGGAGGCGGTGATCCACATTGCGCTCGAGTCTAAGGACTCTCCAGTGTTCTACTATACTATGGTAAAGTAATGGATAAACCTATTACCCATTGTGTTTTGTGAGTGCCTTAGGGGCCATCCGTAAATACTAAATACCGATATTTATTTAGAAACGAAAACTAGTCGTTTCTCTTCAACCCCCCTCCCCCTCCCTCAGAAACGAACACATACAAACGATGCATAGCATCGATATTTCTTCTTTTCTTTTCTGGACGTGCCCACACATACAAACTGTGCATCGATATTTTTCGAGAAACGAACAGGCGCTAAACCCCCTCCCCCCTAAACGACTAGTTTTCCTTTCTAAATAAATATCCATATTTACGGATGGCCCCTTAGTTCTTATCGTGTGCAGAACGTTGAATTACAACAAACATAATCGTCGGGAATCGAACCACACACACACACACACACACACACACACACACGCGCGCGCGTGCGCGCTCATGGACAGGCAAACCCAAGAATAGTGCCATACCTTCCCAATCAGCAACCATGTCTGTGTCTTTGGCTTGCAGCGGTACATCTCTACCCGGTAGTGACGCACAAGCAGCAAGTCGCGCACCATCGACTCAAAGTTCATTTTACTCAAGTTGACGGAAGGAAGCTTGGCAGCACCTGCACAGACAATTGCATCAATACACACAAGACAGAGATAGATGCTGGGCAAACCGGATGTGCCCAGGAAAGGGATTTTTATGGATCGAAACTGCTGTACCGTTTTGCAAAATTAATTTTGGCAAAAAACGAAGAGCGTATGAAAGAATGAATGAATGAAACGGCTTACCCCAGTACTTGACAACTCCCATCGACCGGAAAATCTCCTTAGCTGCAAAGATGGCATCGTTCCCGTGCACAGTATAGTAGTCCTGTGTGGTGCAGCAAACAGACACACACGCATGCACACACGCGCACACACACACACACACACACACACACACGCACACACACACACACACACACACACACACACACACGCATGCACACACGCGCACACACACACACACACACACACACACACACACACACGCATGCACACACGCGCACACACACACACACACACACACACACACGCGCGCACACCAACTCTAGCCAAAAGCACACTAACAGAAACCCTCAGTCTACGAGGCGATTGCACTGCCCGGGATATGGAGGCCAAAGTCTTGCTTTCACATAATAACGTTAGTAGTGAGAAAAGGGCTTCAGGCTTCTTGCAATTTCATTGATTTTTGGAGGGAAAGACTGGGGGAGGGGGGGGGGGGGGGGGGAGAGAGAGAAGGGGGAAACACCCATTCCAAAGAAATTGCAAATCCCAACCATTTCCATGTAAAAGCATAGCACGATTCCAGCCCATGGCCATCAACAGGAAAATGAAATAATGATGCTGTGCCAGCTACAGCGGAGCAATTTATGTACACGGGTTGCCGCCGAAAAAGCTGCGAATTCTCTCACTGGGAAAGGGCGGCAAAGCGTCAAAAAGCTGTGAGCTTTCACACCGCGCGAGGGAGCAGATGCGGCAGCAGGAAAACAAGTGCCAATACAGAAGCTGGGACTTTTCACAAGTCACCAGTGTCACAAGGCTGCTCATCACCGCTCACAATAAGGAAAGCTGTAAATTCCCACGCCGTCAACAGAAGCTGCAAAGTGCATGCACACGAGTACTAGTAGTACATGCACATGTAGGTGAGAAAAATCTTAGATACAGATGCCATGTCAGTACAGGTGACAGTCATAGTCATCTCGCACACGTCTAGTACTACAACGTGATGAATGTATACACGGCATGCTTCGCCTAGCAGACCATGCGCCACTCCTCATGATACAAAAGTAGATCACTTCCATTCAGGAATGATCAGGTGTGACTTTGTCGACAAAAGGCACACATATGCACGTACAAGCATGCACAGACACACAGACACACACACACTTACAGCCCGGTCGAAGAAGCGCACTGTTGTGTCAGGTTTCTGCAAACAAACACAAAGAAGGCATTGCACTCATACACTACACGACCGATAATGACAACACTTGAAGTCACAGCTCACGGCTGTTTATATGATCACGTCAGCAGCCATCTAATATGCATCGGTTTTGAGCGCGAGTCATTCGAAAGTTCTGCCGAGATATACATTTTTCCTAAAATCATTGTAGCATACGATGGTATCTTGGGCTTCCTTTGAGACTGTTGACTGGTAACTCGCGTTTTTCTAGAAGAGGAAGGAAATAGCAATCGTCGGACACCTCACTCGAAGACGAGGGTCGTTTCGGTCCCGATCGTCGAAGAGAAATGTTCAACTTCTTTATGGTCGTAACTATTGTTGTACGGTAGTCCGTATACCGGTAGTGTAGCTGTTGTTCCTGCTCCCACAGAAGTGTCTCTGCAGTTTTCTCCTGCTTTCGGTGAGTTTTCCTGGTTGGCCCAAGGCTTCCACCATCTGAAAACATAACTTTGTGAGCGGAAGTATGCACACTTTTTCGGAAGTAGGTCGAGATGTCCATGCACCTTGTCACGAACTGTGTGATTTCCAGGTCTAAATGGCTGGTCATCAGCAAATCCTGACATCAGTATGTCGGGTCGGTAGCCAGAAAGTCGGTGATTTGTCCCGCAGCGCAAAATACGTTGCATCTGACCATAAATAGTGGCCTCGAGAGCATGTGTATTGACATTTCGGAGGACTTGCCAGAGGTACATCCAGCGTATATATGTAGAGCATGCATAACAGCTGCATGAAGTGTAGCAAGTGGTGGGAAATTCTGTGCTGGAGGTAGTGGGAAGAGTGTTACCTGGACGCCACACGCACACCCAGTGTGCCGTTTGCATGAAATATGGAAAAAAATCCAAGAGTGGCAGGCTTCCAAACGAAAGCCTGGCCTTGAATGCAGTGGCGTCGCCGCTAAGAAACCTTCGTCAACGAGTTTTATTGCCATGCCGGCAATCACATGCCGGGCGCAACCGTTTCCCAAATCCTTGGTGCATCACCATCCAAGCTACAAGGGGATGTTGCGTATAGATTGGTTGGGCACCTGGTGAAGGCTAGAGAGCAGCATGGGTCGCTTGAAGTTCGAACTACTTCCCATGGAAGGCCACATTTATACAGAAGAATACCGGTGGGAGAAGTATCTTCGTCAAATGCAAGCGACTGCAAGGAACGAAGGAGGGCATCTGAATTGCATGCCATAAGTAAGTAAGTGTGCTCTTATTTTGCCAGTACCGTCGTGCACTGTATCAACCATGAAAGCATGCATGCACCACGCGTATCACGGCGGCGCGTTTGTTGGCAATCATGTCCATCAAAGCCTGAAGGAGCCAATTTCCAAAAACATCACGTCTGCACCCGTCGGCATTGTTGAAACTAGATGTCCAGATTTCTGGCGGATGCACAGGCTCTGGCAACACGGCACTACAACCTGTTCCAAGGCTAAAAGTGCTCAGCTGCATTTGGCCATTAAGTAAATGATGAGGAGTTAGCAGAGCTCAGCAGCAACATCGAGCACTTTATGAAGCTCGTACGAGACGAGATCGTGAACAGAAAGAAAGGGCACATCACACCCAAGCTGCACCTCTTAGAGATACACGTCGTGCCAGCTATCACGCGACTCAATGTTGGCCTTGGCTTGCTAGCTGAGCAAGGCTCAGAGAGCATACACGTCGAGTACAACTCCCTGGAGAGGCGGTTCTGGCAGATTCCTGCGCCCGTGAAACGGCTCAAGGCAATCGCCACGCAGCACCTAACAAGAATGTTGCCCAGGTCCAAGCCACTGCGTTGCCGCAGCTAATTCATAGATCACTTCAGTCATGTAAATAATCAGTGACTCTCCAGCTCCTTTCAAGTCAGTTCTTCTTCGTTCTCGTTCTGTTACAGTATTTTATCTTGCTTCCACGGCCACTTGATCTCCGCATTTGGTCGGGACTCGTACTCCCAAACCTCAATTTACCGAAGGTTACCTACTTGATTTGAAAGGATCCACTTGGAACCACACCAAGTTGATAAATCAAACGTGTAACGTGTAAATTTGCGATTTACCAGTTAATTCGCCGCCATTTTGATAGATGGCCGCGGCTGAACAACAGTGAGTTCCACAATGGGCGCTAAACTTCAGATTCAAAATTATTCTATTGACTACATGAATTTAAAAACAGCCTTCCCAGTAAATTAATTTAAGTACCAAAAATATACCATTTCGAAGTCTCTTCCTATTACAGTAGTATTAGTATGCATGCGCCTCAAACACCATACACCATACACCAAACACCATACACCATACACCATACACCATACACCATACACCATACACCATATACGCATTGCTGCAATAAATAAGCCAGATTCTTCCTTTGCAATTAATATTCTGATAAAGAGCAATTGGTCCGAAACATTAAATTGTACTACCGTAAAGTACCGCGAGAGCGGCCCACCATCTCGTCCTTTCGCGGCCGCCTTGTGGAGGTGGTGTCCTGGCTGTAGGTCATACGACACCTACCTTGTACACACATTGCAAGTTGTGCAGTCAATCCGTACTCAGTTTACCTTCAAGCGGATGCGAGCTCCACACAAAACCATGCCAAGTAAGACCTTAGTACACTAAGGTTCTCACACCGTACAAACTTAGTAGAGCGCTGCCATACGATTTTTCTTCCCTTGGCTGTAAAATCAAGGTGGGGCGCTCTCCCAGTACTTTACCGTAGTATCACATCCGGAGTAGCAGCTGACGGCTTCCTAGACTACGGCAACAACTCTGGCATGCTCAGTGAACGCGCTCCCCTTGTGCACGCGCAGGAAGCTGTAAAGTTCTGCCATCAGCGTACCGCGTACATAGTAAGGCATTCCGATATGTGACTCTGCACGTGATTATGTAACTACTTGACTTGTACGAAGTAGTGGTTGCGACTTCGGCGATGATTTGTAAGAAAGGGTTTGCTCCCCACACCGGAGCTCGCGCTATTCCGCCGACTTTACTTGACACTTGACTGACTCACGACTGCCATCCAGAGCACACGAGAAGTCCATCGAACCTTCGACTCGGCAAACCTGCAAGAAAGCACCACTCCCTGCTCAATACACAGTGTTGTGTTGTGTTGTTTACTCAAGCTCAACTGATGAGGGGTGAATTCCCCGAAACACTGTGTATTGAGCAGGGAGTGGTGCTTTCTTGCAGGTTTGCCGAGTCGAAGGTTCGATGGACTTCTCGTGTGCTCTGGATGGCAGTCGTGAGGCAGTCAAGTGTCAAGTAAAGTTGGCGGAATAGCGCGAGCTCCGGTGTGGGGAGCAAACCCTTTCTTACTTGACTTGTATGTCGCACTAATACTATTCCCGACTATTGTAGTATACACTATCTCCCTTTACTCGTATAATCGTATTCATATTCGTATTCACGTCTCTCTCTCTCTCTCTCCCTCTCTCTCTCTCTCTCTCTCTCTCTCTCTCTCTCTCTCTCTCTCTCTCTCTCTCTCTCTCTCTCTCTCTCTCTCTCTCTCTCTCTGTTGCTCACTAGTCAAGTCTTGATATCTCTACGCATTCCAATTGGCTACTCTACATGTATACTGCTGCCGCTAATAATTGGCTAGTTTCCCCACCTTATGCAGCAAGGGGCATCTTTCAACTACATGTAGGTACAGCTGCTATAAAACTGCTCATCCATGATCAATACAGTTAGCCTTTCTCACTACTTATCATTGAAGAGCAGCACAGGTCTACCGTCGTTAGTAGACAACCACCCCCCCGGTTTTAATTGTTTTGTCTTTTAACCCTTTACCAGCCGTACATATGGCGAATGCGTCGAATTCGACGCATTCGTTTTTCGCTCTGTAAACCATGGTCTTTTACCGCACCGCGGTCGGAATACACTCATACCTCGGTTATCCGGACTTCGAAGTTACGGGCACTTCGGTCTACCGGGCACTATTTGGGCGAGTTTCAGGGGAAATATTACTACTCTTTTGTCACTTTTCGTAGAAATATTGACGTCATATGCCATATCGATGGCCTTTTCCCCATCAAGATGTATATGATTCGGAGTTACGGGCACCCTCGAAGTTACGGGCAGTGTCCGGTCCCGAAGCGCCCGGATAAGAGAGGTATGAGTGTAATCGCAAACTACAGCTGAAACCAAGAGTTCATAACCCCCAAGAGTGTGCAACGGGCATAGACCCAGCGCTCGGCGAAATTCCTACATTACGTCATGCGCAGCTTGTCATCCGAGGTAAATTCGGGTTCTTTGCGATTTCTGGAAACTATACCCTGAACCGCTCCTAACTCAAGGCTGTAGCCTCGACTTTTCGAAGCTTTTTTTTGAAGACATTTCGGACGTAGATCTACGTCCAAGTCGTACTTTCTCAAAAACAAACTCTTTCTCCAAGAATCCATGGACAACGCGACAGGAAGAAGTGAGGACGCTGTTAAAAATATTGCATTGCCGTCGAGGACAATCATTCTGATAGCTGTGCAACTCAGCCGAAAAATGCTCCTTCGACGTATCATCAGTCTCTCAAGTTCCTCAACCATTTTGAAATCATCTTCGAGGAAAGCACCGGAAATATGCCGATGGCCTGGGGAAGAAATTGTTCTTGAAGAGACTGACTGCACTGGTGAAAGAAGAAGGCGATGAAGCCGAAGAGTCACCATTGCATCGAAAAAATAAATAGTTTTGTCTTTAGGATCGTATGCTTTGTTTTACTTTTGCCTTGCTTCTTGTCGTTGAGGCTCAGACTCAGACTAGAATCGCAGTTTAGGCAGTTTACCCTGGGGAAGCATCCTGGTTTGACTGTAAATTTTAGAAGAATTCATCGGCGTGACTCATCACACTGCACCAAAAATGACGCAATGAAGGAATTCCGCCGAGCGGGCTTCCATACAGGGACTGATCAGGAGTTGCACACTCTTGGGGGTTATGAACTCTTGCTGAAACCCTACGGAATCACCTACCATCGAGAAAACCGTGTGCTGCACATCATTTTTTTCGAGAAAATCGCGGTTGAATGCACCTGTGTGAAGTTGAAATTTCAAGCGTGACGCACTTCATGCTGAGCACTGTACAAACAGCTATAACTTCGGTCTGGCTACTTCAAATTCAACAAATGACGGCTCATTGGAAAGCTATTGAACGCAGCTTTCCAACGATGTTTCATTCGATATAGCGCGAAGTAAAATACTCAAGCGCCGAAGCTCGAAGTCCAGGAAACAGGTGAAGTTGAAATTTCAAGCGTGTGACTCTGGCACATTTCATGCTAAATGAGCATAGAGCACTGTACAAACAACTATAACGTCGGTCTGCCTACTTCAAATTCAACATATGACGGCTCATTGGAAAGCTATTGAACGCAGCTTTCCAACGATGTTTCATTCGATATAGCGCGAAGTAAAATACTCAAGCGCCGAAGCTCGAAGTCCAGGAAACAGGTTGAAGTTGAAATTTCAAGCGTGTGACTGTGGCACATTTTATGCTAAACGAGCATAGAGCACTGTACAAACAGCTATAACTTCGGTCTGCCTACTTCAAATTCAACATATGAAGACTCATTGGAAAGCTATTGAACGCAGCTTTCCAACGATGTATCATTCGATATAGCGCGAAGTAAAATACTCAAGCGCCGAAGCTCGAAGTCCAGCAAACGGGTGGAGTTGAAATTTCAAGCGTGTGGCTGTGACGCACTTCATGCTGAAGTATGTGTTTGCGAATTCCCCAGTGCACAGCCCATGCGTGACATGCACCAAAAATGAGCGCTAGAGCAGCCTGGTTCTGCTGGTGTTTGAATCTTGACAGATGAACTGGTGCATGAGCTGAAGCTGAACAGTGTACATATTGTCATGGTCCTCGAATTTGCTAATTCGGCCGCATTGCTCGGGTTATTGTTCGCCATGAATGGCAACGTTTCTGCATGTTATCAGCTTGGTTTTAGTCTCATATGAAAGGTAATTCTACCAGCTTTCCAGAACTATAAAGGTGTCAATACAAATTATTTACCGTTTAGTCTCTATTATCAATCTAGTGGACCCCGTTTTTTTACATATAAATCCTGCGGCTGGTAAAGGGTTAAATAATATAATTATAATATGAAGTAGTGGTTGCGACTTCGGCGATGATTTGCAAGAAAGGGTTTGCTCCCCACACCGGAGCTCGCGCTATTCCGCCGACGTGTCAAGTAACGTCGGCGGAATAGTGCGACCTCCGGTGTGGGGAGCAAACCCTTTCTTAATTATAATTATATATATAATATTAGTGTTGAAACGAATAATCGAATAATCGAATAATTTAGAATATTCGTGGGGTGAACGAATAATCGAATAGTCGTAGGAATTATCAGAAATCGAAAAAAAAAAAAAAAAAAAAAAAAACGATCTATGCTCAGTGCTGACCCTACTGATATTTGCACTGCGTAGATCTGCTCGTAGTACATGTATTTCTTCTCAATCACTTCTCCTCCAAGGTTTAATCTCCTATCGGTATCTAGTAATACATGTACATGTACATGTACTTCTGTTCTTTCCATACGAGGGAAACATGGATGCAGTGAATGTGATTTTCGGTCTTTGACCACTTTCGACCAAGACCCTATGCAGAGCTGGATCAAGCGTTGCACACTCTGGGGGGTTATGTACTCTTGGCGGTACAGGTTAACCGGTTTTGCACCCCCACATAACAAAATCCGATAATCAGCAAAAAAATATTTAAAAAACTACTTAAAAAGTGCTGAAAAAGTGTTGAAAAATGCCATCATGCGTATGATAGAATATAGATTATTCGTTCGATGGAGGGCGAAATTATTCGATAGATTATTCGTTCGAAGAATCCGTGTTCGGTTTAAACACTATATATATAACGAGTTTTACAAAGTGTCTGTAGTCTTTGCTGCAAACAGTGCTCAATACCTCAAAAAGGGGCAGAGCTTACCACACAGGGCAGAACAACAGAGACCAAAAATCCTTCTCGTGACTCCGAGTTTCGTGTTTCAAAAAACACTCATCGTCTGATGAGTGTTTTTTGAAACACGAAACTCGGAGTCACGAGAAGGATTTTTGGTCTCTGTTGTTCTGCCCTGTATAACGAGTTTTATGTACTGCATGTATCCAGTCTTGCATGGTAGTATTGTCTTGTAACCAAAGTCATGCTAACGAGGGTAGACCTGCACCAAGACTGCTTCCTTTTCTAAAGTAAAGCTTGTCAAGGTGAGCGTGTGGGGCTGATAATATATGAATCAATGCTGGATCAACTTTTATTGCTTGACAGCCTGGTTGGGTCATCACGGCATGATGGATATGTGTGCTGTTGTCGTGGGCCGGGTATTGCACTGTGTATATCTGGCATGACACTGGTACTTCAAAGTACCAATGCATAAAGGACAAATTCACAATAAATTAATCTGGAAATATCTCACTGCTTGTAAGAAAAAATGCTATGCTAGGAAACAATTTTGTACTGCATTTACAGATGCATAACATTGTATAGGAAGATGGACGGCAGTGCGCAAGTTTGGTACGCCCCGCAGAGACTTACTTCTGGCATGCTCGCGTGGAAAGCCACAAACCCTTGATCGGCAATACTGCCGCCATCTAAATCATAGTCAAGCCACACAAAATAGAAACATTACGAACAAATTGCATAAACTGATATAATGGGTATGTTTGGTGAGTGACCAACAATGCAGTACCTTGGTTATCTTTGCTCATTGCAACACGTGAATAGGCAGTGAAATTCTCTCTAGTGATCACTAAATGCAGTGTGGATCTTACGAAGCATGCTCACGACTGGAAAAATCAAGGAAAGAAGGTCGCTTGCAAACGACGAAGTCAAATTTTCAAGTACGATTTTCGTCTCTGTGAAAATGTTTGTTCCGCGAAGTGGACTTCGTGCCATGTGCCCTCAACTCGAAATTTCCCGCGAAAATCAATCCCTGGCGCCATTACATCATCGTGATGATTGTTTTCTGTAGATCTACGTCATGTCAACACGCACACGTGCATCATATCATGTGCCATTCAAAAACAAAGGGAACAAACAGCAAGCAGATCATGATTTTGTAGTTGTCGAAATCCTATTTTTGTGGCAATACAAGAAGCATAGGTTAGGAAGAAGACCAGCTACAGCGACGGCTTTGTTTTCTCAAGTTAGTTGTCTAGATGTAGCAGCGACTTATCATAAGACCATGAGGCTTCACCTGCTGGGCCTTATTGTTTGCTTGTTCACTTGGAAGGCCACGTGGAGTTTGGACCAGATTGACAAAAGAACTGTGATTTTGGTGTCATTTGATGGCTTCAGATGGGACTATCTGTTCAGGGGATATTCTCCTGCTCTGGAGCGCATTGCTGCCAGCGGTGTGCGAGTGAAACAGCTGAAGAACTGCTTCCCAACGAAAACTTTTCCGAACCACTACAGCCTTGTGACTGGATTGTATCCAGAAAGCCATGGCATTGTGGCAAACTTCATGTACGATCCCAGGTTGAAAAAGCATTTCACAATCGGTAACACGGATCCCGTGTGGTGGAATGAGGCCGAGCCTGCCTGGGTGACACTTCGCCGCCGAGGATATGTGACTGCGACCGTGAACTGGCCTGGTTCAGACGTGGAAATCAGAGGTGTGCGTCCTAACCATCACAACCCGTTCAACAGCAGCATACCATTCAGGGATCGTGTGGACAAAGCCATATCGTTGTTGCAGCTGACGGAAAAAGAACGGCCCAGCTTCATTGCATTGTACTTTGAGGAGCCTGACTTCACTGGGCACACATATGGACCCAATGGCGAAGAGACCATGCAGGCTGTCAAACGAGTGGATGACATTGCAGAGTATCTTATGAAGCGCCTGCATGAAATTGGCATGTCGAATAACGTAGACGTAATCTTCACCAGTGATCATGGAATGGCCGAGACGTCCGATACGAGGGAAATCTTCCTCAGCGACTACGTACGGAATAGCAGTTATGAGCTGGTTGACTACTCGCCCCTTGTTGCTTTGCTGCCACACGAAGGCATGGAGATGGAGCTGTACCGGCGCCTGCGCCACGCTCACCCGAACATGACCGCCTATCTCAAGCAGGACATGCCAGAGCGGCTGCACTACCAGCAGAGCCGGCGTATTCAGCCGCTGATGCTGCTGGCCGACCCGGGCTGGTCGATCTTTGCCAAACGAGCCGCGGCTGACCACGATCGCGGTGCCCATGGTTACGACAATGATTTCCCAGGTGTACGGCCCTACTTCATTGCCACCGGGCCAGCGTTCCGCCGTGGCTTTAAGATGCCGCTCATGAATAATCTCGACATATACCCTCTGGTCTTTCACATTCTCGGGGAAGAGCCACCTGCGTCGAATGGCACCCTGGAAAGAGCTTCAAGACTGTTGAAGCGGCCGGCTGCTGCACCGGCAGGCAATGCTGTTCAGCTACCTGCAAGTGCTGGTGTTGATGCTAGCTCTCGCCAGCGCATGGCAGCAGTATTGCTCAGTCTTGGTGGTATAGCGTTACTTGCTGGTACTATGCTGTTGACCACTTTGTAAGTCATGCTCGCTGGTCCGAAAACTTGATGACATTTGTGTTGTGTTGAGTTCGTCTATTCTTTCATGTCCTCCTCAGGTTTTTATTCATAGGAGCTGGTCCCCTACTTTGTACAATATACTGGTCTGTATTTTCTAGCCTACTTGATATTCTATTTATAACTTCAAAACTAAACATGAACTTTGATCCAGTTTTGTTTGCAGGTGTCCTGCAGTTGGTCTTTGGCTTCCCCGTGTGTTGCCTAGCTGTTTCTGTGACAGCAGATTAGAATACCACTGCCGGTGGATGCTTGATGGCTAGCTACTGTAGCTGGTTGGCTGGTTGGTTGGCAGCCAAAAGGAAAACAATCTCCACTTGTAGGGCTGCAGTTGTTGTGAGACACAGGCAAGTACATGTTCTGCCCTAGGAGCCATATCAGAGCTAACTACGTACCTATAAAGTATAAACAAGTGCTGCTAAGCCTGCTATTTCCAGCTGTCCCCTGATCTCATCCTGACATCTCCCTGGCAATATTAATTTTGCAGCTTCCGACCAGCCATTGATGTGCACCGTGGTATCACCTGGGTGAGGTTATATGTAACTGATGCAAGAGTTTATTTGTCTGCGAAGAATCCAGGTACAGCATCTGGTTCATGACCACTTGCCTAACGCCATTTTTCAGTTCTGTGACTATGTGCTCACAGGGCCAGTGTAGAGTATAGACTCTTTGATTAGCTGAGTCGTCCGGTGCATTTCAGCGGCATGCAACCAGCACTACGTTGCACTCCATCCAATACTTTTCAAGTACATGTACAGCCACTGCTTGAATCCTGATCATGCATGTCATCATGACCCACCGGCTGTTAAAAATATAACACTTTTTTCTCAGCAGGTTCCGATTTTCAACACTTTCGGTGTACCCTGCCACCTGGAAAAACTTTTATTCTGCCCAACTCCATCACAAATCCACTGTGACGTAGGTACCGAAAATCCATTCACGTCTGCTACCAGAAAAAGTGACCGGGGGAGGGGGAGGGGGGACCGAAAATTTTACTCTGCTGTCCCTCCAGGAAATCGCGATTCCATGGACGCAACAAATTTCGCGATTTTGGCCCAAACCCGCGATTTTCTGAAAATCCGCGATTTCCCGTGTTTTTTGTTGTTTTCTGCACTTCTTTTGACATTTTTCTGCACTTTTCACGCAGTATACAGTGCTTTCCATCATCCTGCTCGTAGGTTATTTCCACAGTACGCAAATAGCGATTCTAAGGATACAACAAATTTCGTGATTTGGCCCAAATCCGCAATTTTCTGCCAATAATTCCGCGAGTTCCTGGCAAGTTCCGCACTTTTCGCCGCATTTTTTGTTGTTTTCTGCCGCAATTTCTTCTGCAAGGTTTCGGGGGTTTCTTCTGCAAATTCCCGCAGGGACAGACTATGGTGGAGTAATTATGCACTACTGAAGACTATGTCATGTGAGTACAGTGTGGAGTGCATGCAGTGGAATTTTTTTTTTTTTTTTTTATTTACTTGAAAAAGCACATAACCACCAGGAAAGCTGACAAAGAAAAAAGAGTAAGAAAAGACAGATAAAAAGAGAGCTGAGAGAGAGAGAGAGAGAGAGAGAGAGAGAGAGAGAGAGAGAGAGAGAGAGAGAGAGAGAGAGAGAGAGAGAGAGAGAGAGAGAGTTGGGGTACGGTTAGGGGAGGACGAGACATTGAATGGTGGTCGCCACAGTCACAGATAGTAGCAGTGCTGGTGAGGCTACAGGCACTCCACTGACCATTAGGTCTCAGTATTGCCATGCCGGTAACGCACCAAGAGACAAAAACGGAAGAAAATCTGAAGCGCAATACATGAATGGTAATTACAATACAGTAAAACCTGTAACTAACGACCACCGTGACTAGCGACCGGCCTGGTACTACCGACCACTTTGTCAGGCACGGACGGTCTCACATTCAAAATGCACTGTGACTAGCGACTACCTGCTGAACGCGACCAGCGACCGCCTTTTCTTGTCCCAATAGAGAGGTTAAGTTACACGTTTTTTGCCCTTTTTCAAAACGCGGTGCAAATCTCACGTTACGTGTAATTTTTAGAGGTTAAGTTACACGTGCGACGTGACGTGAAATTTTGCCTGGCAGGATTCGGGTTTAGTTCCCACAAATATCAAATCTTCCAACAAACTCGATAAATTTCGATAAAATTCCGGAAACTCACACAAATTCGGTCGGAATAACCAAGCGAAACTTCCAAAAACTCACGTCATGAACTAACGTGCGGGACAGTCAACTCACGTAAAACACGTCAAATTTTACGTGAGTTTTTTTCACTTTTTGACGTAAAAGTTCACGGACGTAAGACTTTTACGTGAAACTTAACCTCTCTATATAGAGAGGTTAAGTTTCACGTAAAAGTCTTACGTCCGTGAACTTTTACGTCAAAAGTGAAAAAAACTCACGTAAAATTTGACGTGTTTTACGTGAGTTGACTGTCCCGCACGTTAGTTCATGACGTGAGTTTTTGGAAGTTTCGCTTGGTTATTCCGACCGAATTTGTGTGAGTTTCCCGAATTTTATCGAGTTTTATCTAGTTTGTTGGAAGATTTGATATTTGTGGGAACTAAACCCGAATCCTGCCAGGCAAAATTTCACGTCCCGTCGCACGTGTAACTTAACCTCTAAAAATTACACGTAACGTGAGATTTGCACCGCGTTTTGAAAAAGGGCAAAAAACGTGTAACTTAACCTCTCTATTCTCTATTAGAGAGGTTAAGTTACACGTTTTTTGCCCTTTTTCAAAACGCGGTGCAAATCTCACGTTACGTGTAATTTTTAGAGGTTAAGTTACACGTGCGACGTGACGTGAAATTTTGCCTGGCAGGATTCGGGTTTAGTTCCCACAAATATCAAATCTTCCAACAAACTCGATAAATTTCGATAAAATTCCGGAAACTCACACAAATTCGGTCGGGATAACCAAGCGAAACTTCCAAAAACTCACGTCATGAACTTACGTGCGGGACAGTCAACTCACGTAAAACACGTCAAATTTTACGTGAGTTTTTTCACTTTTTGACGTAAAAGTTCACGGACGTAAGACTTTTACGTGAAACTTAACCTCTCTATTGTCGAATTTTGACCCGTAACTAGCGACCGCGATGTAGCAAATCAAGCATTGCTTGAAGCTCCTTCTCGAAATTTTGATGATTTTCCATGGTCGTTTCGATACTTCAGCTGGACAAATGAGCGCAGTCTCATTTTTACTGTGGAATCAGTGTGGATTGCACTACACCTGTCATAATTTCAAGTGCTCAGCTGTCAAGAACAAACATGATAGGAAACGTCTTGGAGAGCGCATCCAAAGCGCTCTTTGAAAGTTTGATCGATGTTACTACTCGAAGGAGAAACTAAGACTGAGCGGCTCTCTGTCGAAGTGCAATCACACATAACAGCTCAGTCACCAGACTCACCACTACACCAGGTCACACTGACAGTCTGTGCTGGCTAGCTAGCATGCTACGGTATTATGTACGTACCTGTACGGAACACAGGCCAGGATACGATGGCGGATAATAGTCTACAGTGAACTGAAAGGTGCGAAAACTCGCAACATCGCCGCATCACGTACTGGTACACACTACTCACTAGTACAGTTTACGCTACACTACATCCAAGTCGGAGCGACTGAGTTTCCACTGTAGATCAACACACTGATACCGCCAGTGTAGTCGCACACAGATGAGGATGGAGTCGATAGTGACGCACTGCCTGGCCAGGCCAGCGCTGCTCTGGAAACCCGGCGAGTCGACATACGTGTCAAAAGCAAAGGTAGTATCGCTTCCGGTGTATAAAAAACTTGATTTCCTCTCTCTCCAAGTGTAACGTGCGTGGTCTAAGGCTAGGAGGCTACTACCCACAGTCAGTCAACCAACGTATCTGAACTTACTCCGGCACGGCCTGGAGGTTATCTTATATCAAAGTGAAAGTGAACTTGCTCTCTCTCAACCACGACTCTCTCTTCTCTCTCTGATCTCTCCCTTATGAGATGCAAAACTAGAGAACTTATATAGAATCTAACAAGGCCGTTGGCAAGGGGGCCAGCTAGGAAGCTTCAGCTGGGGTCTATTGCGGGAAACCAGCAGCAGGCAGCAAAACAGCTAAAGAATGTATGTGAAAGTGTAGCAAGCAATCTGGAAATGCCATTGTTTACTCGCAGCGCGCATCAGTGCTACAAAGGAAGCATTGGAGCATGAGACTGATATCACAGTGCAGATAAGTCCATACAACTGCACAAGGACCTCTTGCAAATGAAACATAGCGGCACAAGTATTGTATTTAGAAACAATGAAGACTACTGATAATTAGTGTTGGTCTAGCTACTCTCCAGTGTGTAGTGGCGCCATGCAAGGATCATGGAAGAACAATCGTAAATGTAGGAAGTACTGTATGCTTCTAAACAATAAGAGTCATGCAAAATACATGTACTACTAGTCATGTGTAAACTGTAAAGCAGGGATACTACACCCTCCCTTCCTACACTAAATCACGCCCTCGTGATTTGACAACGAGTTCGATGATGTATGAGGAACAGTACTCACTAGAAGGCACCGTCAGTAGGTGGACTGGACAACTAACTTGCATGCACGTACATGTATTCTTGAATCTTGAACAGAGTGCTGGGCCGAAAGGGTGACAACTGACACTAGTAGCTGGAGCTCAGCAGCAGATCATAGGAGGCGGTGAGAACGTCATAGTAGATAGCGTATTACTTGTAGAGCGTCAACCGGGATATGGCAAAATAATATCGGAAATGATAACGTGTTTAGAGTAGACAGAAGAACTGAACTGATAACAAATCAAAAAATAGAAGCACACCAGGTTCTCACCATCTCACGGGGTCAAAAAGGGAATATTGTCCTCCAAATACATGTATCACACCCCTGGCACAACCGGCCAGCCAAATCGCAGAACCAAGCCGAACTGAGTACACAAGGGCATTCTCACACACATTGTCCCAGGTTAGCTAGGTAGACCGTGGCTCACCATGATCGGACGCCTACCGGACTAAACTGGATTCGCTCACTCGCATAAAGGAAGACTGAAGAGAACAGAAAGACTGAAGGAAGACAGGAAAGAGAATGCCATATCGGGAATTAGCTTACGTTGGACATGGAGCTTGATCGGTAGAGACGCTGTCCGTCATCATTTCGGGTTAGGGGGAGACGTGGCGGGCGAAGGAGTAGCGGCGACTGACGCATCAGGTTGGGCCATGCTGGTACCGGTTATACCAATAAACAATTTACCGCTGCCATCAATTCTGTAGCGCCGCTGCCATCAATGCAATACAGATACTAGGTGGGTTCGAATCTAGCAATTATAAAATTGAACCACCGCTGCCACCAATGTAACGTGCGTGGTCTAAGGCTAGGAGGCTACTACCCACAGTCAGTCAACCAACGTATCTGAACTTACTCCGGCACGGCCTGGAGGTTATCTTATATCAAAGTGAAAGTGAACTTGCTCTCTCTCAACCACGACTCTCTCTTCTCTCTCTGATCTCTCCCTTATGAGATGCAAAACTAGAGAACTTATATAGAATCTAACAAGGCCGTTGGCAAGGGGGCCAGCTAGGAAGCTTCAGCTGGGGTCTATTGCGGGAAACCAGCAGCAGGCAGCAAAACAGCTAAAGAATGTATGTGAAAGTGTAGCAAGCAATCTGGAAATGCCATTGTTTACTCGCAGCGCGCATCAGTGCTACAAAGGAAGCATTGGAGCATGAGACTGATATCACAGTGCAGATAAGTCCATACAACTGCACAAGGACCTCTTGCAAATGAAACATAGCGGCACAAGTATTGTATTTAGAAACAATGAAGACTACTGATAATTAGTGTTGGTCTAGCTACTCTCCAGTGTGTAGTGGCGCCATGCAAGGATCATGGAAGAACAATCGTAAATGTAGGAAGTACTGTATGCTTCTAAACAATAAGAGTCATGCAAAATACATGTACTACTAGTCATGTGTAAACTGTAAAGCAGGGATACTACACAAGTGTTGTATGATCTGAAAGAAGAATGTCAGTGCGCAAGTGGTGGGGGATTGTATTATCTGCATTTTGACATACATATCAAAAAATGGGATCCATATATGGTCGCGCGGTGCAAACCTCTAACTAAAGACCACCTGCCACTAACGACCACTTTTCCGGGCACCAAGGGGTGGTCGTTAGTTACAGGTTTTACTGTATAGGTAATAGGGAGAGTGGTGACCAAGAGAGGACAGTATAGACCGTTAGTATGGGGTGCTTCAATGCACATCCCCAAACCAAGAGGTGTGATCTGGAAAGAACAGTGAGACGGGATAACAAAGACGGTCTATTGTAGTCTGGTGTTTTATAGATCACGGTTTCTGATACAGACCTTCAATGGCAGCTAGTCCATGCAACTACATGTAGTTAGTCCCCGACTGAGAGGTATACAGTAACACTCGGAGTATACACATGAGTCTGTCACGGAACAACGCCAATCACACGGTGGCAGCGTGCCATACACATGTAGCACAGGTATCCATTGGAATAGCGTGTTCAGTCCCTGGCTATGGTGTGCTGCAGTGGAACATCTGAGAGTGTGTGTGTGTGTAGCAGAAACATGTAGTCCTGAAACTGCCATGATGCAAAATTGGCCAACTGCATTCTGTGCACCGGCTGAGCAGTTTTAGACGTGGTGTGGATGTAGCCAACACAGTTGTTGTAAACATGTTGCTGTGTTCTTTTTTATTTTAAAACTGCCTTACATGAATTATGACTAACCGTGGCAGACTGATTTCCACATCAACCGCCGCATAATGCAGTCATACGACCAATGCCCATGTAGTCATAGGTGACAGCCATAATGCGGCGGTAGATACTAATGCAGAGAGCATTCCAATCTCATCACTGTGCCGGATCTGATCATCACGTACAGTGCAAGATGTCCAGGGCATGATGCCGATAAAGTCACATAATTATTACTTATTAGTTATGAACTTATGACCCAAGTGCAGGCCAGGCCACTGTAGAGAAATCTTTTGAATAGAAGTGTTCATAATCATAGCATCTGCACTAATCTTGGGCCCGATCCAGTCAGTTACCATTGTGCCACTGCTGTTATGTATGTGAAGCACTTACTGCTACTGAGATCTCAAAGTCTACGACTGCCACCACTGGCACCAGCTCCAATTCTTCTCGTGACTCACAACTACTTTCACAAATACTTAGCACGCAGCCAGCACTAGTGTAGGCGTACTCTCCTGTAGCGACCATCTCGCTGTGCTACATCATTCGATCGTCGGAATCCTGCTTCGGATGTGATTTCAGACGCACTGCGTGATCCGACATGCAATGATGCATTGCAATTTAAAGCAATTGAGCGCAAGCATCATGAACATCCAGTTACCTCCTTGAACAGTGTGTCCCTTCCGGCATGCACCAGATCAGTGTCAGAAACAGCTGACAAGCGCACCAGCTCAGCTGAGGTTTGCGGTGCATACTTTCATCAAAACTTCTTGAAGCGAAGGAATGGACCAAGATGCACGGGAAGTTCGGGTGGAGCTTGATCGCCAAACGGCCATCTACAGCGAATGGAACAGAGACGGAGACCGAGCGTGATAATATTATAAGCTCTTCAGTTGCCGTCTAGAAGGGGGCTAACAGCACCGGACCAATGCCGAACAGTTCGGGTGCAGGCCGCATGGTGAATGGAGGCATACCGGCGCACAAAGAGGACATGGCGTGCGGCATGCAACGAAACGAGAAGCAGCAACTGCGGCTTGCAGGCTTCAGACTGCACTCACAACGGCAATCAAATCTCGCGATATAGCACGCGCTTCTTTTCTATTTTGCTAAACCTAGACCTCTATGGCAAGAACGCAAATGCTTGTGAGGTAGACCGGCTTGTCCGATTTCCGACTACGTCGTTGGGTGTTGCCATGCACGAAAAAACTGGTGCTTGAGTTGAGTGCAAGCACAAGGATCTGACTGTCTCCGGGCGGCTACGGATCCAGTTGCACGTCTCACTCGCGAGATGAACCGACGCACCTTGACCTGTTGTAACGCTGAATGATCCCTACAGATGAGCCTTGCGTCGCCAGGCAGTTGCTTGCTTTTCCAGTAGTGGAGGCCTGCTAGGAACAAACATGCCAATTCGTTGCTTGCGACGGAAGGAACAAAGTTGAAAGAAATCACCACGAAGAAGGGTTTGAATTCGTTGCGCTGTGACGCTCAGTTTCTAGATGAGTAGGTAGCGAAGAAGACGGCGTAGATTACAATGGAGAAATGGCTGTTGTTCGTGGTATTCCTGAGCCTCCTCCTCGTGTGTAGCATTCCAAGCAAGGCCAGGGCAAATCGGAGGTGAGTGAGCCGAAAAGCAGTGTCCTCCGACCAAACAAGTCTGAGCTTGATACACGTGCTCACCCACCAACCATTCGCGGCTAAACATTTCGAACAAACCTCTGCGTGTTGGTTGGACTACAGTTGTAAGCACTGGATAGCTGCTACTCTAACAGAACAGCGCTACAAAGAATTTTAATAGTTACCCGTCACACGGGCACGTTGCCCAGACTCGATCGATAGAGCGGATACCGGATAGCGAGGTGCATGGACTAAAACCCCATTTAAATTTATGATTTAGCACCGGTGGCCAGTATCTACTGTGTAAGGGTTTGAGTTTACAGAGTCAGGCTCAGAGCATGATAGAAAGGAAGAAAGATGGCTGTTCCTCAAAGGGTGTAGAATATGACGCAGTGCAGCAGACAAAAACTGTTGAAAAAGGACGAACATATGCCCGGCTAGACTACAAGACTTGAAAAGACTTAGTCTACATGCATGCAATTGCTGGTGGCTGAAAGGCTGTATGGAAACAGAGGTGGACACATTAATCCGTATCATCTTTTGGCGGAAGGGCGCCAAACGTTCTGAGGATGTCCACTATGTCCTTACCTTTTTAAAGCAGTCTGACATAATAATAATTATGTTTATGGAGTATAGAGGCCGTCTTTTGTCCTTCCATAGTTTCCCCTCAGTCCATGTCAGAAAGTTAAAACCTTTCTCCGGCTAATCTACAGCGCTGGATGATGATTTTAGGAATACATGTTTAACACAGCCTGTCAAAGCCTGCCGGGTGTGTAACAGAAATACTGTTATCCCAACACTTACTTGTGTACTCACAGTCACACTTTTAACATTAATTATTATAATTATGGGCAGGCCTGAGAATGAATCATGAGATCACAATAATTATTATGGTATCCTTTTCCCAGATGAGATTGCAACAAAGTGCCAGAGCAGGGCCGGAGGCAGCTTCCGCGGATCGGTGCGGCCGAAGGGCCATCTTTAAGGGGGGGGTCTGGGGGTCATCCCCCCCCAAAAAAATTTGAATTTAGACGGCAAATCCTGCACTCTGGGGGACTCTCTGTACAAAATCATACATCGAAACTTTTTCTCCCCGGTTTTGGACGTTCCACGTGGACCGACTTTTTGGGAAGTTGGTACGGCCATGGCCGTACCGGCCGTACCAGTGGCGCCGGCCCTGCAGAGTTGAGCAAAGGATGCTGAACCCTGAACCCTGAGACTGCAGGTGTCCCCCCCCCCCCCCCGGCAATCACTAACCATTACTACTGAGTTGCCGAGGAGGCTATGGTTGCAGCACCTCTACATAACTATATCTAGCTCACATGTATTATTATATTTTGCTACCCATTCACAGAAGGGAAGCTGCAATAGATGTCGACAGGCACGGCAGCCTACGTCTCAGCTCTCCGGGTGACATCACTCTTCTGCCAGCGGCTGGAGCAGGCTTTGTTCTATTCGACAAGAAGGTGACATCGTGGGAGGACTTTGCAGAGAAGCTCCGAAACCAGGAGGTAAGGCAGACAATGCAGGGTTATGGACGGAGAAATTGAATTTGTTTGTCTCATTTCCTGCCGGGTTTGGGTCAATAATCTCAAGGACAGCTAACTCTTGACTTGTCTTGTTGCCCTCTTTCTGAGCTTACATTTCCCGGGATTTAGCTAAAATTGTTTTTTCTTCTTTCATAGTTAGACTTGGGTGGATAGCCAAGGATTAATTTATAAGAAGAAAAGAGGACCAATGAGCTACAAGTTATGCTATGATTGCCAGTTAGGTGTAGAGCGTCAGTACTGTCGGTCAGGGCCGTGCGATGTTATCGCATGAGCTGATTGTAAAGTAACTGGTGGTGGTAGTGGATATTATAGCGTAACTTGTAGCTCTTTGGTCCTCTTTTTTTCATTTCTGATTTTTCTTTGTCTAGGAAAACGTTCCATACCCTAAGTGGTCAGTATGAGTCAGAGGCCTGAGCTTCAGTAGCTGTTTATAGAAGTTGAAAGTATGATGCTGACTTAGGTCTGTATGTGCCTGCTTTTTGTCTCCATGATGATGCAGCCGAGGAAGCCCGAGCAAGCTCCAGCTGCAGCAAACGACAACACAACAGACATCCTTGAGCACCTCCAGCGTAAGTTGCATCAGCTGGAGAAGCGTCTTCAGATCCTGGAAGATGGTGCTGGAAGTGGGATTGTATCATCATGGATGGTAAGGCTGCGGTTCAGGTTGTGGGTTTTAGGCACAACCTAGCAAGAGCAACTGTGCATACTTTAAACTATGAAGCAAACCGTCAATTGATCTGTCGCTTCTAAGTCCAAGGAGGCGTGCACATCGCTGTACCTTGTTAACTGTAATTGCAGAGTTAATAATACAGTACTGTTTCGCGGCTCATTTGCTGGCATAACCATTGTACCCATATTGAAGTGAAATGATGCGAAAGGCTTCGCCCGACTTTCCAGTTGCTTCCTTGTTAAAATTATGTGTGCTGATCATCGTCTTCCTCCACCGGAAGTCTCTCTTCAATAATGAAGTCAATGCACTTGCCACTGTCTGCATCTTTGCTCATCCATGTGTTGTATTCGTGCTTTACTCTGTATGAAGGCACCAGTGTTCTTTCAGATGATGACGCCGGAGTGGTTACGGAGCCACGCCACTTTCTACGAAACCCCAGTGATCACAGCCGAGCAGGTCGCTTTCATACCGGCCGAAGTGCGGTACCATCGATTGCTCAGTGTAAGGTTTATACAGGTGCACAGCCTATTCTTGTTTTGCATGTAATGTTATAATGGAATCATCCACCCTAGACTGGGCAGACTAATGGCTGGAACAAGAGAAACAGCTACCGAAGTATGCATTTGTCTCACAGTTATAAAAACATTGTCACGGTAACGCCCGTCTGACATGTTCCGGCTATTTCAGGCTGCGTCTATACAAAGTCATGTAATGTACTTCCAGTGTTCATGTTGCATGGTGTGTTGTGCCTCAGCCTAGCTCTATACTGTATAATTATTATAATGTTCATGCTTCTCCCAGGATGCATGTTCTTGGTACCTAAGTCTACTAAGCCATGGTGTTGCTTAGCTGCCCAGTGGTATGGAGACACAATCCTCTATTTGTTCTGCTAGAAACATGGTTTGTGTGTGTGAAGACTGCTCTCCTCTGGCTAGATACTAAGCGCATTATTATGAGAACAGAACATGTAGGCTTCCCGATGATATTGCCCTCAATATGGTGCATACCTTTCACATCAAACTTCAAGGCGAAATGGGGGGGGGGGGGGTCAATTTCAATCAAAATGGGACTTATAGTGCTAGTCAGCGATACATTGAAAGCCGAGATTTGAATTTTTTCGGAAAACATGGTATCTCAAGTCAGAGCCGGAGTCGGTCTATCACTATAACCCTGCATGCTTTGTAACATAGAAGGCTGTGTTGAATGAGGCGATTTTGTGTCATTGTGATTTCTCACAGGTGCCCCTTGTCTCCGCTGGTCAGCTGAGCGCGGACAAGACGTATTTGATATCCATGACCATCCGTCACACCAAAATGAACCAGCATGTAGCTGACAATGATCTGATGCTGGCGATCAGTGACGAGAAGTCCGCCATCGGCTTTTGGTTCATGGATCAGCAGCCATTTGTCACTCTTGCTGGCGTCCCAGGTGTGGTTCTAACGAAGATCACACGATCTATTCCCGACCTCGAGCCGCCCAGCAGCAGTGCAGCATCACCGGAAATCTGGCATATGAGAATGAGGCTGACTGCTCAGTCGTCGTGGGGCACAGTGTGGGGTCCATCATTATCGGCAGGTCAAGGTCGACAAAGTGTCTACCCCAGGCTGCTGAAGCCAAGCGGCGGGCTCTCACTGGAGCTGTATCGTAATGATCCAAATGAAGCCTATCTGATCAAATACATTGAAGTAACGATAAGTGCCGAGCAGTAACTGCTAGATACTGCATGCACGTGCAGCAGAAAATACGCCGGTACACACAAAGTGACACGAAATACTTTATCTCTACGGCGAGCAGGTAATATATTTCCTTTGAAATAGAGTTATTGCAGTTGGCCGCCTTGAGAATCCATGCCTTGTTGGTTAACATGATAATTATCTAACCCAATTTGCCCGACATTGACTATGGCGATGCATGACTGTACATAAATCCCTCTGTAGACATGACTTCTCTCCATGGCACCCATTACAGTGCTCCAATCACGATATGCCATACTATAATTGCCAAGAGGTATACAGATTCTAACACTAAAGCTACTGAAAACACACACTTTATTCCTATACACTATCTGTCGGCATAAATTAAATGTACATGTACACCTTGCGCCGGTCTACCTGTCTTTGAACAAGTGAGAGGTCTCTGGTGGCAATCTACCAGAGTTGTGAAAAATAAGAAAACGATTGTGGTTGGTTGGTAGGCGTCTTTATGCTGGATACTGTGACTTTTTTCTGTGGGTACGAACCAGGGAGTCGTAAAATACTGCTACGACTTCCTGGTGCGAACGTCGCGTAGGTCACTTGTACCAAGAGTGCAAAACCTCCAGAGTGGAGTGTGCAACGCCGATCCAGCTCTGCATAATAGGGTCTTGGTCGAGCGGAATCGGATCTTCTGATGTCATGCGTACACTCCACACCACCGCAAGCCCGGTCTCAAGGCAGGGCACCGTTGTTTTTGATCCGAGTGTACCCGCGACTCCCCGGGTTCCCCTCAGATGTGTACGGTATTATGACGCAAAGATCCGATTACGTTCGACCAAGACCCTATGCAGAGCTGGATCAGGCGTTGCACACTCTGGGGGGTTATGTACTCTTGTTTGTACAGTACTGTACAAGGAACATTGCATCATAAAATGGCGTCAATTCAAAGAAATTTTGTCGCCGGACCTCACCAGGGAGTCGTAAAAAATTCACGGTTCGCGAGAGACTCTAGACTAGGGACCTTTCGCATTTGCTATGAAACGAATGCGAAACGAAAGTTTGATTCGTCTCGTAATCGTTTCGTTGAAAACAGAATTCAGGTTTCGCAAGTCGTAATGCAAATCTGCATGGCAACTACGAATACGGCCGGTACTGTAAAAGCAGAAATTTTCGGTGGTGTAATATTTTCGGTATTCGCCAAAATCGGCGGTTCGGTAGCGGGAAATTTTCGGTAAAACCCGTTTTCCAGGTAAGTGTACTAGTACTACAGGTATACAGTATCGGTTGTACCGACAATTTCGGTGCGTTTTATTTTCGGTAAAAATTGTCGGCACCGAAGTTACCGAAAATAAAACACCACCGAAAATTTCTGCTTTTACAGTACCTTGGCGTACGGGTGTGTTCGCGCACACGTGCATGGATCATGGAATCAAGGGAAAAAATGTGTACCTGGCAAAACATGTGTAGATCTACCTTGCAAACAAATGTGTACCTGACGGATTCGGAGCGTGCCACGAATGAAGAGGCTTTCATTCGTGAAAACGAGCTCTCCGCGGCGACTCTGACGAATCCTCGAACCCAGGTGACGAATCAGCATTCGTTTCGTATCCGTACGCGTGGTGCGAAAGGTCCCTTCTCTGCAGAAACACCACCACCCTCTAGGATCAAGCCGCAGTTGCAGCTCCAATGCGTTCAACGGATGAGGCAACCACGAATTTAAGGCTACAAAAATCAGTTGAATTGGAGGTTGCGCAGAAGTGGTAGTGGCAGAGTATGGGAAATACCGGTAGTTCTCGATAGTCAGGTATGCACATCCTACTTCAGTAAGCAGGTTCCGTACATTACTCGTACAACGTGGCAGGACAGTGAATGAAACGAAGCAAAAAAAGTTTCATCAACTGATTCAAGACTCCATAATAATATAACATGATAACTGGGGATATGAAGGACTTTTTGTTCATAGCAAAGAAAAGGACCAAGGACCAACACCACCAGTTGCTTGACAATCAGCTCATGCAAGTTCCTTGGTCCTTTTCTTTTCTTTGCTATCAAGAGTACATAACCGCCAAGAGTGTGTAACTGCCTGCACAACCTCTATGCAGTGCAGTGCCACGTGACCGCGAACTTCACATCACTTGACATGGTCAAAAGGTCACCCTGGCAAACAGTGCCACGTGACCACAAGAGAGTTGAAACCAAAGCTGGGTTGCGTACAACACTGTATCTATCTTAAATAATGCGTACGGGTTCATTACATGCCTTTGTCGACTCCATAGCTGAAGTTACACACTCTTGGGGGCTATGTACTCTTGTTGCTATGAATTAATCCTTGGCTCTCCATCCGACTTGTTCTCGATCTTTTTCATGGTTTATTCGTTCGGGGAAATTGAATATAAGACATTGATGTGACAAGCCTCACGATCAAAGAACTAAACTCATGTTTTGTGGTGTGTGACTTTTGCAGTATTTCATGAGAAATCAAGGATAGAAACGTAAGAAAGAAAAGTTAAAAAAGCCGTATATAAACCATGGTTTTCTGGCACAGGATTAGCAGAGAGAAAACTAACATACCCCTAAGACCTAGTCATACATGCGTTTGCATGAATCAGGCGAATTGAGAGAGAATATTACGGCGGATGGTGAACTCATCGGCTTTCTTGTCGCTGACCTTGCCGGCTGCAACAAAACACGAAAAATGAAAACTAGATGTCAGAGAGAAGGAGAGCAAGACACCGACTGCATTCATGTAACCATGACAGTACACCAGCAGTGTACAATACACGTGCATAGGAGACAAGATAATGCAACTCGGCATGGGTCTGCCACAGAGTCCAGTAACTCACGGGCGTACTGTTTTCGCCAATGTACAGCATGTTTTAGCGAGCAATATAGTAACAAATATGAAATAGAACTACCTGATAGAAAGACAGGCTACTCAAGGGAAACCCATGCTGCGCCACATGCGCGTCTTCCTTGTATGCAGCATACTACCAAGAGTGTGCAATTGTTTGTACGACCTCCACATAGTACTGCGGCGGCAGAACTTCGCATCTCCAATGGGTTACACTGGCAAACAGTGGAAAGTGACCAGCAGTGAGCTGAACCCAAAGCAGGGGTGTGCATAACCCTGTATCCATTATGCACAAAGCGCAAATAATGTGCACGGACTTGTAAAGTGGTACGAAGTTTTGCTGTCGCAGACCCCATAGCTGGAATTGCACACTCTTGGGGGTTATGTGCTCTTTGATACTACTGGTGGCGCTTATAATAGATGCGTAGTACGTGATGTACAACTGTTGAGAGGGATGAGGTATATACTTTTCGGTGGCAATTAGAACATGATCACACAGATGCACATGGCAAAACACAAGATTATGACTTACACATGCGCTCAAGACGGCTTGACTCAGTGGTTGGGAACTCGTTGCCCTTAGTCTGAATCTTCTGCATGATTTTGACGTAGTATGTTGCCATCCTAGTAAAGAGCGACATAGGAAAAGACAGCAAAAGTATTTTAGATAGGTGAATAGTTGAGCACAAAGACATGCACAGTACCATTTCAATGGGCTGGAACCTGAATTTGCAGTAAGACACAATTGAGAGAAGGAGATTCAGGCCTCGTTTACACGACAATGATTAAAAAACGTTTTTGGCAAGAAAACGCTTCCACAGATTTTGATAAGAGCGTTTATACGACAACGCTGAAAAACGTTTTTGAAGTTTCAAACGAAAAACGGCCTTCAAAGTGTTTTTCAATCGTTTTCGTTCCATTTCGTTCTCGTGTAAACGGCAAAAACGTTTTACTAGTACGAGCCTTGTACTCAAAACATGCCGCCGCCAGGCCAACTTATCGCACGTGACCATTGCGAGCTGAAAAACGTGTTGCAGTGTACACGATAATCGTTTTCGTGTAAACAGCAAAAACGTTTCGAAAACGATTGAAAAACGTTTTTCAATCGTTGTCGTGTAAATGAGGCCTCAGTTGCCATATCAGAGCCAAGACATCAGAAGGAAGGCAGCGTGGTAAACATCTCATCACCGATGGAATAAGAACCACTATCCTACATCACCTGTCCACGCAACAGCCTCATCATAATACAAACACAGCAGTAGTACGTACGCATTGTCCTGCCCGTCAGCAACCTTGGTTGCCTCGCTGATGATATCCTCGCGTGCATCCTGGACAATGAGAAGAAGAGGAACACTTATCAGGAATAATGCAGTGTGCTGAAAGCAGCCAGAGTGGAGAATAAGGAGTGACATCAGAAGGAAGGCAGCGTGGTTAGGACTCATCACAAGACATACATACAGAACCACTATCTTCTATCACATGTCACAAAGATGCATGCGGTTAATAATGTTGTATCTGGAGGTTCATATAGTATAGGACACAACAGAGCCAGGCACGTGGTATATGAAGTGATAGCGTAAGCTACAAGACTGCACTATGGAGCATACCTCTTCCTTCATGAAGCGAGCAGCAAGAGCATTCAAGTCTTCAACAAGACCAGCCTCGGCAGTGAGGGAACCACCGCTAGCGCGCTGGGTGCCGCATCTCTTGTTCAAGAAGCTGATGAAGTCAGACTCGGAACGACCCTCACTGTACTGTCAACACAACACAGAAAGATGCCAACATGTCAATAAACATTTTGCATTGCAAGATATAGCAATGCGGTAGAAGCCAGACTCGGAACGACCCACATTGCACTGTCAACACGGTCAGAAAGATACCAACATGTCAATATACAAGATATACCAAGGCAGCATAGTTGTCGTTAATAGTCACCCAGGTAAGCTACAAACGAAAGCAATGAGAAGTGGATGTCAGTGGAGTACTTACATCCTCACCATCCTTGTTGTCCTTGGGGAAGAACTTGATGGTAGGGAAGCCAGACACTCCAAACCTAAACAATAACACAATCAGAAAAGAGGAATACGCTTAAACAATGCATCCAAAATCACACATTGGCCTCACAACAGTGTATTAAAAAGACATCAGAAGGAAGGCAGCGTGGTAAGCATCTCATCACAGACGTACAGAACCACTATTCTACATCACTTGCCACGTTCACACAGACACAGATAGAGGAAGAATGATTTCAACCACACTTACTGCTCTCCAAGGGAGCGGTGGCTGTCAGCATCCACACGGGCTACAACGCACTGCAAGGAAGAAAACACGAACACTAATAGTCAGGCATATTTCCCATAACTGGGTGCATGCTAACTAATACCACCACACTCCAATGCATAGTTTTTCTCCCCAATACGTGAAGAATGCTGTTTACTGAATTTTCCAACGAGTCACAGCCATGCTAACACATGACTATTATTGTGATCATACTCTGGGTTTTATGCCTGCAGCAAAGTATGGATATACAGCATAGCTGTACACGTATGCACTGTGTGGTACACAGCATACCTACTACACTCATGCTAAAGTATCATAACATGTGCATTAAGCGGGCATAGTCTCGTACCTCTCCCTATGATGGTCTTAACGTAAGCGTTGAATAAGGATTTAGAGATCGATTCGCTTTTTAACATGAAGCTACACAAAGAGCCTATCTTGAACGTTCTTGTCAAATTGTCAAACAGGTTTACGGTACCAATAAGTATATTGATACAGTTCAGAACAATATTTATCAGCCCCATTGGAGTGAGACATCAGAAGGAAGGCAGCGTGGTAAACATCTCATCACATATGCAATAAGAACCACTATCCTACATCATCTGTCATTCCCAGCACACGCCCTGAAAACACGACAGAATAATTCATGCAGACACAACTTTTACTTTTACTTACGTTGCTCTCACTCTTGAAGGCAGATCCAACCTTCTCGTAGACAGGGGCAAGAGATTTGCAATGTCCGCACCCTATAAAGGATATCAAACAGCGATCAGTTAGCCAATAGTCCACACTCCACAGAAACGCATACATCTATAGACACTCAACATATCATAGATGCAAATCTTGATCAATGCACATGTATCATTAGCACTAAACATGGACACGTAAATACAAAAGCTCAGAAGAATCAGTACTGTACTTACATGGGGCATAGAACTCAACCAAGACATCCTTCTCTGCGCTCTTTACAATACCATCAAAATTGCTTGGGTCAAGGTCAACAACATGGGTTTGGGGTTTCTTGACACGTGCACGGGTACCTGTGAATATGAACATGAATTAGTACAGAAAACAATAAGGCCAATGGATAACGGCTTCAACTACTACGCTACGCCTGAGAGACATTGAATAGAAGCCACTGCCGAGGAAAATGCATCAAGCACTGAGATATTGATATTATTGATGTACATGTGCCAAACGACATACATTCCACCATTGATTGCAATACATTCTCAATCCAGACATCAGAAGGAAGGCAGCGTGGTAAACATCTCATCACTGATGGAATAAGAACCACTATCCTACATCATCTGACCCCTTCCTGGCTCTCCTTATGGCAAACCATTTCGCACAGATCAGGTGCCACAATTTGTTCCATAGTAATAACACGTTGATACCCGCCAAACAAGAGACTTACCGGCCTTGCCGTTGATGTAGTTTACAATATCATCGGCAGTACGTCCACCGCTGTAGCTGTAATCGGGGAAAAATAAGGAAAAGGAACGGAATTAAAACTTCATACGAGTCAACACAAAAGCCAGTTGATTTCGATAAGTCTGGTGAGTGGTGGCGGGTCTTTTGTTGAGTAGGGGGGGGGGGGGGGGGGGTATGTTAGGTCCCCACTCACTTCTGTAGTATCCACACAAGCACCCCAGTGACCTCACACACCTGTTCCCGCACCATATAAGCTTAGGGTGCGTTCGTATTTTCTCTAGCTTCTCGGAGAAAGCTCTCCTAGATGTTGGAAGCTGGGATAATTTAGGAATGGGTCTCGAAGAATTTGGAGATAATTTGCATACCGTGGTGTCTTGTATTAAGCCTATCTCATATACCGTGAAGTACCGTTGATCCGCCCCCACGCCATGTCGCTTCCCAGCCGTTTTTTCGGCAGGGGGCGGGAATTAGATCAAGGCTGTCAAGTGCAGTACGATGTACAACAACTTGGAGGATCAGACTCGATGTGCTAAATTGTGCACATTTTGATCCTGGATTGGCACACATCGTGTACAGCAGTGCAAGCGTCGGTTCAACATCGTATTTAGTTGTATACGCCGAAATCGCTTCACAGGTAGAAAATCGACAGGGGGCGGGAATTAGTGAGGGGGCGGATCAACGGTACTGTCGTGGTCATGGGAATCCAGTCAATTGACCGGGGCCGGCGCCATCAGCGCGTGCAGAACAGCACTTGATCCGATGCGACCAGCGCGCTGCAGCATGTGTGTACAGCTTACCCACGGCTGCATGGCCAGTGCCCTGGGGCCGCTAGACGTGCGGCTGGATTTCCATGTCCACGACAGTAGAAACCGGTTTTGAATACAAGCCTGATTTTAGTGTTGACACTAATAGAAATACCCGGTTTGAAGCCTAGCCCTGACACCGGCTTCTACAGGAATAAGCCCAGCTTTTATACACGACATTCAGTATGGGCCGTGATCTTGATTGACACGAATGTAGTATGCACTGTGGGTATGCGAAAAGGGAATGTCATACACTCATGATCAACACGTGGCTTTTAGCAGTAGTTCGCATGCACCGACTCCAAAAAACGCGGGAATCTCCAAGTTTCAACCACCTCTGAAGTTCAGAGGGCGTGGAGGGCCTCCAAAAACTCAGAGAGGATATAAGAACACTTCTCGAACTTTTCCAAGAGGATTTAAGAACGCACCCTAAGTAAACAAAGCCCAATTTTGCTAGCAAAATACCAAAGAGGTTTGAAAATGAATTACTCATCATCCATATTTGCCATAGCTGCCCGGGGCCCATATTCAGCCTCGCGCCGGTCCTTTTGCTCTCTCCCTTTTCCTTGCTGTTGAGCTCGGAATAAGAACTACAGTAAAACCTGCCCTAACCGGACGCTGTGGAGCAGCGGAAACCGTTCTGATATGGCAGGATTCCGCTAGATCCAGGGATACGCTTTGGTGCATGAAAATTTGTCCGGTCAATACAGGTTTCCACTTGGTACAGGGTCGGGCAAACACAGGTCTCACAGTGTCGGTATCTTCTCTGTGAGCCGAACGCATGATCCCAACAGAAGTGTAACCAAACATTTAAATGGCTATAATTATGGTGGAGGCACAAAGAAGATGCAGGACAACACTGACCGAACTTACTCGCTGGCGGTTGAGGATTTTTCGAAGAACTTGAGAGTGGGGAAGCCAGACACACCGAAGCGCGAGCCTAACTCGCGGTCAGCATCGGCATCAACCTTCGCAATGATCACATCGCTCTCACCAGCAAATGCATCGCCAACCTGCTCATAGACAGGGGCCAAGTTTTTACAATGGCCACACCCTGCAATTGAAAGAGAGAACGAGATGATGAGTTATCACCGTTTTACATTTCCAATTCAATTATAATCGTAAATCCATATGATCAGGTCTAAAAATGAAAATAAAGCATACAGCTACAACCTTCAAACTCTTTCCCATTCCCGTAACTAATGAATATTAATTTTCTACAATGAATGTTAATTCTCCTAAACGTAACACAAGCCGAGATAAAAAATTGCACCGACGCATAAACACACACTGAACGGTGTTACATTAAATGCGTGTCAAAATATATGACTGTAGTCTGTAGTGACTTTATGATGCCAGTGATCGTCGGCATGTATAGCACTAAAATACACAATAATATTTCCAATTTAGTGAAAGTTGCAGACAAATTGTGGATTCGCTAGAAAACCAAAAAGTAAGTTCTCCAACACTCCAAAAATATTCTTTTCCACATTCTATGATTGTACGAGAGCAGCAAAACTCACATGGTGCGTAAAACTCTACAAAGGCATATTTATCGCCAGTGACGACCTAAAAACCAGCAAATACAACACAATACTAATAAATACAACAACAATCACAGAAATCTTCCCAACGCCATGATAGTAAATCAGAGCAAGAAGAATTATCATCTGAACCTACATTGTCGAAGTTTTCTGATGTCAAATCGACAACGTTGCTGGCTGATGCAACGGCGGACAGAGCCACCACGGAGAGGATGGAAACGAACATGATTGCCAACTTTCTCTTTTTCAAGTCTTGGCGACGTGTTTTAGCGAAGGCACAGTTGACTGTCACGCATGCGCGCATTCGGTTGCAATGCGCTGAGTCACCAGGTCACCGCTAGATCCACACGTCTACATGCACAGGATGTACAAACAGTCAGTCCGACTTGCCGATACCGATACTGTAGTACCGCCGGTATGTGACCGTCTTTCTTCCTTTGCCGGCTAGCTAGGCTATTAAAAGTCCATAACCCAGGATGGACTCTTGCTATTAGTATTACCAAGAGTGCATAAACATGGTATTACAGTAAGTATTAGCTTGACTTGTTATGTCATCCGGACTCCTGATGATATGATGTACCTGATCCATGGTGTCAATTAGGTAAAATTTAATGTGACATTGACATTTTCGTTTTCATAACTAAAATAACGTATAACTCGTAACATTTCGTCCTTCCCCTTTTTTACCATAAAAAAGCATTGACTTCAGAACACAGCATAACAACAAAACAGACTCAAACACATGAAGATTATGAAATAACTCTCTTTTTCAAAATGTGGTGCATGTCGCAGACCATGAAGCAGTGAGCATAGGACGCAGCACACAATGAAGAGCTAAATTGTACAGCACAGCATTTCTTAAAGAAAAGCCCTTCTAAAAGCACGAAAGGAATGACGGTGCACAGCATTCACTCCACTAGAATATGACGGCACTAAAGTTACCACTATGTTCCGTACGGTTAGATTGAGAAATTTGAAGCACTGGCATAATAGCACACCTATTTTTAAAGAAGCGAAAGAAAGGAAAAGTGTGGGCAACTCAAATTAAAGTATTATGCGACGGGTAACTAAATCCATGGCCTGGTCAGACATCATAGGCAGACACCGCTATCACTACCAATGCGTTGCATGCTTGTAGAATGAGATTAGAAAGCCTTTTAAAACATACCGAATCCGAAACGTTGTGAGGGCGTAAAATTCCTCGTGCATGAGACCGTCTCATGATACAAGAACAGTTGTGATCAAATACAAGACGACCAGCGCAAAAGTGTGAAAACAACGAATGTTACAAACTAGTTGAACAAGGGCAAGGGCAAGAGCAGAGGTAGCCAAGGCCAAACCTCTTAGCAGACAAACACTAATGGCAGGCACAGCAGTAGGCAGATTTCTTAGACAACAACACGGATATCTGACAGTCTCTTTCGGAGTGTGATGAAGCGAGGCCACGGAAAGTAAAACTATAACTAAACTAGAAAGTGGGGCAATAAATAGGCTCATGGTCCATCGGGACTTCATCTTTACCTGTGATGGGTAAGTCATATTAAATACCCATATAATCTTCATATCAACTATATCATCTTGTATGATCAGCGAGGAACAAGGTTTGACCTACGGCAATGGCACCAGACAGCAGTAACAGCACAATGTCATGTACTTACTAGTGCTTACTCAAGGAGGTTATGACACGGTGGAAGACACTGGGCGAGGAGGTCGACTTGTTGCCATTACCTGAGCTACTGCGTGGCGGACTGAGAGTGGCACTGGTATTGCTAGGTGCGGGTGCGGAGCTAGTAGTCGAAGTGCGAGCAGAGGCTGACAAACCAGCGGAGTCCTCCACCAACTCCCATTGCTGGCGTTCCTCTTCGGCCTTCTCTCGCTCAAGGGCCAGTTCACTTCGCTCAAGTTCTCGCTGTGCACAAATCTTCTCGCGAGGTTCATCCTCTGCAAACACCATTTCCACGTACTTTTGCTTAATGAAGAGGCGTCTATCTGAGGCTGTGGCAAACTGGCGGTTGAAGCCCGGTGGCAGAAAGGCTTCGAAGGTTGCATTGCTTTTCTTATTGCCAATGCTGGTCAACGCCGTTTTCCACTCAGGTCGCATCTCATCCAGCGTCATGGAACGTACTTGTGAGATGTGAGTACCCAGCGAGCGGTGCACACCAGAACATTCGATACAAAGCGTGATGCCCAGATTGACACTTGCCCAGCGTGGCAGCGGCGAGAAGCAGTCAGCGCAAAGCTCATTTCCTTCGACGGACACCACCTCACTCGGCGGCGCTACAATCATACTAGCGGTGCTGGGTGCCACGGACTTAACTGTTGTGACTGACCGTACAGAGAGTGAAGGCGAAGGTGGACTGGAGGTGGTGACCGTAGTAGAGCTGTCCAGCGCTTGCACAGCAGCAGCTTGCAATGATGACATCCAGTCCTTCAACTCTAAAGAGCTCTCCGCTTGCAGCAGCAGGCTCTGGCTGGGATGTAGGACACGGAAGCAGAAGTTGCGCTCTGAATCCGTGGGTAGCGAGGGCTTGACAAGACAGAGGCGCAGGTCAACATTGACAGTGTGCTTGCTGCCCCGCTTTCCACCATCGCAGGCATCGACTCTGTAGTGCTTTAGCAGTGCATCGCCTTCCGAAATGGTTCGCAACCAGCCACTTTCAATTTCGAAGTACTGCCGTCGCCAACTAACACCGACGACAGGACGGTGCTCGCCGTGAAACAAGTAGCCAGCTTTGCTATGGACCGGGGTGCTCTCACCACTACGTATAGCCGTCACGCTGCTCTTCCGGCCCATCTTCACCTGCTCGCCCAGGTGCAAGTGTGGCTGATGACGTCGCTTCGCATCGGCCAGCATTCTTTCCATGTTAGCAGTGGCTGTGTTACTCGGCAAGTGCAGGTCAACACGGTGGAATGTCTCCAGCACGGCCAGTCTCTTCGTCAACGTGCCCTCCAGTTCAGCACTAATTTGATCCTTCTCCTTAGCATGATCCTCTTCTTTCTGATCGGTGACCTCTTTTAGAGTGCCATACGTGCTGCTAATGGTTTCGTCAAGTCCTGCAAATGTACTGTTACCGAGACGAAATGTTGTCATCTCACACATGACAAAGTCTAGCATGCTTTGTACGAAGTGAGGCTGCTTGTCCGCATGCAAACGATTCAACGCATGCACATAGGAACACGCTCGGATATGCTGTTGAAGGCGGGCTTCATGAAGTGACGATGATGCCTCTGCCATTGCCGATAATTCGTGCCGCTTGCACGCACAGAGCCGATCCACAGCAGTCGATGCTTCCACGTTGGCATCTCGATACTGCTGGCCAAGAGTGCGTACCTCTTGGACGCGTGACGAGACAAATTTCCGCAATGGCTCAACAACAGCCATGGAAACTTGCTCGTGAAAACGTTCCCTGTGCTCATCAAGTTGTTTGAGACACGATACAGTCTGCTCCATACATTCCAACAAACACTGGTTACGGTCAGCATCGCTGCTACGTCTATCCACATTTAGGCCTTTCCAATCAGAAGTAGGTGTTCCTGGTGGGGGAGATGCAATATTAACACTGGGAGCTGTGCTGGGATCAATGTGCCGATTCATGAATCCCTCAGCCAGCGTCTGCAGCTCACGGGATAGGGCACAGTCTCGCTTCCATAACTCCTTTCTCTCCCTGCAGATGGCACCCACCCGCCTCAGCCGCTTCTCCAGGTCATCAGTAGCCTCCTCGTAGAAGCTGACTTGACTTCGAAAATACGGACTATCGTCGGCACACTCCTCCAGACTCAGGGGCCGTCCGGCAACCATTTCAAGGACAATCGAAAAAAATAGGTGACTCACTCAGGGCTAAGAGGTATCGGTCAGACTCTCACCGAAACAACGGGAAACTCATGACCGGGCAGTATACAATCGAAATACTCAATTGTTTTACACAATCAGAGGCTGATCTGAAAACAATTTCCATGTAACAAACTCTTGTCGCAACGAGAACCAGAAGTGGGAGCACAATTTTACAAGGCGAGAGGATCTAGGAGTAAAAATGCAACAGGATATACAATTCCACCTGCCGCTGGAAAGCTACAAGCTACAACTAAGTACAAGTAACTCGAAGTCCCACACTGTTCCCACTTTCCCTTTTCGCAGCCAGTAGAGTGAACAAGCCAGCGCTGCTCCTTTCGCTTTTCTGGTGAGTCGAGTGTCGTGAACACCTGTCTACGCGGTAGATACGGGGGTCCGGGTTCAGCCTTGACTTGTACGAGAGCTACGCAGAGCTAGCGGCAGAGTGTGCACCAACACTAAACAGGCAACACTACCCCAACAGGCAACACTACCTGACTACTAGTAGTGCATTTCAAACCTAGAAGGTAGTAATATTACGGCGCAGTCTGCATGCAACCAGCTGGATCGGGATCTCCCCCAAATCCCAGTTTGGGGGATGCACGTGCATGTAAGCGCTACGTCATTCGAGCTAAAAAAAATTGTTCTTCTACATGTGTAGTAAGTTCTACTCGTCCTTCTTTGTTTGGCCATTGGCATTGGGGACACGGATTTTTTTGCATTCTTTGTCTTCACCACGTCCGATCGATCGTTCCGTCGCACCTGTGCTCGCGTTCTCTGTGTATTGCGTTACCAAAGCTATAGTGGTTGGCTTTAGAATAGATGTGGAGGCTTGATCCAACCTGCAGTAAAAGTGACCCAGTGTTTTTTATCCAGCCAACTACTACGTTTTGTAGTATCTTGCTGCACTGCCCTCCCTAGTGATAGTCAGCTCAATTCTCTACGCAATGCTGTCCCCCGAGCTGCTGAGGGGCTTGGATGCCCATAAATATAGCTGTAGTGGCCGCTCCCTTACTGAGCCGGCATTTCAAATCTACTGGAACTGGCTGGTGTTGCTGATGCCACGATGGCTGGCACCAAACCTCATCACGTTTATTGGGCTGCTGTGCAATTTGTTTGGAAGTGGTGTGTTACTCTGGCACACTCCCCATTTGACGGAGGCCGCGCCGTGGTGGGCCTACGTCACTGTAGCAGTGAGTCTGTTTATTTACCAATCTCTGGACGCCATCGATGGGAAGCAGGCTAGGAGAACGAATAATTCATCGCCACTCGGCGAGCTGTTTGACCATGGTTGTGATGCGTTGTCCGGCGCTTTCCTAACTCTATGCACGTTGAGTGTGCTGCGCGTTGGTGACATGCCTTTAGTGATGCACTCATCCCTGATGCTGGCACTGAGTGTGTTTTATTCGGCACACTGGCGTGCATACACGTCGGGAACCCTGCAGTTTGGCCTCATCGATGTCACCGAGGCACAGCTGGTCATGATCATTGCACAGCTCGTCGCCGCATTCGCCGGCCCAGACGTGCTGACGATGCCGGTATTCGGAGTCAGTGTGTCGCTCATTGTGGTCGCGGTGATCAACGTCAGTGGCGGATTGGTGTTAGTCAATAACGTCATCCAGTCATTCAGATCGCGTAACACTGGCCACTGCCGTTCCAATAGCTGGTTTACACCAGCCATTCCGTTTGCAGTGTTCATCACGAGCACTACTTGCATGCTGCTCACGTCACCCGCTGACATTGGTGTGGTTGAGCCTGCTCTTGTTGGCGTCTTCTACGGCTGCATCTCGGCGCAGCTTGCATCTCGACTCGTCGTGGCGCACATGAGCAAGACGCCAATGGAGCTATTCGACACTTGTCTTGTCCCCATGTTCTGTGCCCTTGTGAACACTCTTCTGGGTGCACCTCTTCCCGAGCGACCTGTTGTCATTGTAGCTGCCTTGGTCGCTGCTGCCAACTTGTTTGGAACTGCCGCGATTATGTGCCGGGAAATTGCTCAGCACATGGGAATTTATGTGTTCACGGTTGGCAAGCGAAACGACTGATTGTGCTGCTCAGTTTTAGTAAAGTGCTGCTACCCTTCATCTTCCTGTTTCCCTTTCGTTCCCCAATCTTTTGAGGCGACGTGTTGTTCGGAGACGGGTGATTGTGAGGTGTGCAGTTGTCGACGTTTGCAGTCCTGCTCACCCGATTGTGCCTTCTACTACTGCAGCTGTTGGCACTCTCCAGACGCTCTTAGCAGCATCCGTTTTAGCTCCATAGTGTAGCTCGCTGTTGCGCTGTACTGTACTTGACTGTCTTCAGATCATGATCACTCGTGCACGTCCTGTGCACTTGACAACACAGACGTGTCATGTATCGATTTTTTTTAATGTGCAGGTGGCTCATCAGCATCTTGATATCCGACATCACTGTTTACCACCCCCTCCCCGCTCCCTGTTATTTATTCCCGTACTACACTGTTGTAGTAGGTTACTGCCTTATTTACTTGGACACAACATGAGGCCATTCATCATTACGTCTTCGTCACGTCCAATTTCCTTGAAGAGCATTGAGCAAAGAAGGATGTGTAGCTCTTGATTTGTCAGCACCTGGCAGAGCACCTAAGCTATCTTGAAGATGTTGCCACCTTTGTACAGCGTACATCGCAGACTCAACTCTCCGAAGCTGCTGCTTGTTTGCTTTGCAGGTGTTCTTTTGGACATGTCCCGTTTTTACTCACATTAATCTCTTCCCCTTGATTTTAAAAGGCTTTTTTAGTTGCCTCTGGTATGTACTTTACCAGTACATGATTATTATTATCCTACTCCCCAGAAAACACCTTTCCAGATGCTCTAGACTTCTAGTTAGTACTATCATGGTCTTGTAGCTTGATCCATCTTGTTTGTGTCAATAACTCCTGCTCGGCAGTGATTTTGTGAATGTGGCACAGGGAGTCGGTCACGGGACTGATTAGTCTGTGTGGAGCTAATCGGTAGAGGCAATGCCAGTCGTGTGCATGCTTGTGTGTGTGTGTGTGTGTGTGTGTGTGTGTGTGTGTGTGTGTGTGTGTGTGTGTGTGTGTGTGTGTGTGTGTGTGCATGTTCTATGCCTTTTCATGATTCTCTTGGCAGGTCATGCCACTACTCCTGAGGTTTGAACCGCCATGAATGTTCGCATGCGCATTTTCTTGGGAAGGTCACGCAGCAGGTCAGCTGAGAGGTGATCGATTCCGTCTGTTCTTGACATTTGTGGCTTCTCGTAAAAAAAACGTCGACCGATTGTACTACTTACTTACATTGCATCAGCCCCCCAACACACATACACACTCCCTAGCCCAGGCCTACTTGTGCCAGTGAGTTGTGGCTCCAACAGGAACCAGGACGGCAGGAGCATACAACAAGTAGCAATGGTCATCATGGTCATAGGCCAGGCCAGGGAGCACAGCCTCAGCAGAGTCAGCACACGAGTCAATGATTATGAACGTACGCACTCATCTGCCCCATCACGTGACGCACGCACGTGGATGGAGCGATCGACTAAGCGAGGACGCGCATACTACACTCGTTATCAGGGAGTCGTATAGACCCGGGAGGCGACACGAGGCCTTCCGGGCCGACTATGATTGACTCGCGGCACTTTCTCCCACTTTTCCCTCAGATATCCCCGGTGCGTGCCCTGAGTTATAAACCAACTACTCCGCGTACTTATGCCATGGGACTTTGGGAGTGCACTCCTTGGCCTGAGGAACGGACTCGTGCAGGATCGATAGGATCGTGGGAAATCGTAGCTCGAAAAGAAGAAGAAGAATGAACTACTTTTCCAAGTAATTAGTTGCATTTGATGATCGTGATTGAGGCAGAGAGTGCTGCTGATCGCGATCCAGATCCGGGTCAAGAATCACCTCCTGATCCTAAGGAAACCTCAGCTGACGTAGATCTACGTTCTCTTCGCGTGAACGCTCAGTCTGTCATGATTGGCTTGGGCCACAGGTATGGTTTGAATTCTAATTTTCTATGTTATTATATTTTTCAATTTGTCTTGAAACTTTCAACCTTGCTACTTAGCGGCTTCTGATCTGGTGCACGTACTGCATAAAAAGTTGCGAATAATCATGAATTGGAAGAAATACTTGTGGGTTGATAGAGTGCAGTACTTGTTCAATGGTTTCTACAGAGCGTTCCGAATCCCAGCCGCTAAAGACCCACAGAAGGCAAGAAGCTTGCGTTGCAAAGCTGCTGTCCCGCCTGACTGCGGAGAAAGAAGACTCGTTTATGGTTGTTCTACAGCCGCTGCTGACGTCCATCAGCTCTGTCCTGCTCCCAGCTGCAGATAGGCCTGGATTTCAATGAGTCGTGTCCCAACTCCGGTGTGAACGATTTCCCGACGTCAAGACGAAGTGGGGTCAAGTCATGGGTGTTGCAAGGAAGCTGTCACAAGATGATCCGGTATTGAACGGTAGGTTTTGTAAAACTGCTCTAACATTTGGATCCTATAAATTATAACATTAAATTATTATTTGTATTCACGAAGCCATGCCCAAGACGTGCGACATAGCGTGCGTTCGTGTGTATGTGTGTGCGTGCATGTGTATATTGTGTGCGTGTGTGCGCGCTTGTGTATGTCGTAAAATCCCGCCAGAGCATCCCTACCTCCGGAACCATTCGAGTAGATCCATTTGGGGAGGGGCGGATGGGCGAGTCCTGCTTGCCGCATTCAGTACTACATGAAAAGTACTCACCCTAAGAAAACTGTGCGTGCGTCTCGTACACCCAACAAAAGTCAAGAGCTGGGAGTCGTAAAAACCCATCAAAACCCTAGGGTGTGTGCGATCTCTGGTCAAGAGGGTGGGAACTGTTGCGTACATTTCCAACCAGGTCGTAGACGCGTCTGCAGTACAGTACGACCTCACACTTCACATAGTCATACGAGGATACAACTCTATTGATAGATAAGATAACGTGCTTGTAGATCTCTGCCATGCCAAAGTTGCATTCAGTAGAGGTAGTAGTCTCTGTCAAACGTGTTTGCCATTGGCTCACGGCACTTGTAGCAGCTGATCGGACGATGCAAATGGACGCCCAGTCCACATTAGCTGGTTCTTGTTATGCCTTCGAAAATATACCATGGCACGCACTTTCCACTGTTGTTACATAGGGCCGGACGTGTGTTGCCCTGAGCTTGCCACGATACTTTCCGATCTGTCCATCTCCTCTCTTTGTTAAGTTGAAATTATTTGAAGAGCTGATGGCTGGTAACTTGCTGGTCAGCTGGTAGGAATACGTTTGCAAGTGTTGCTGCTGATTTGTACATTAAATTGCCGGAGTGACGTGGCCTTGAGTAGTCTTCCCCAGCAATGAACTGAAGAGTAGCATGCGTATTGAATTCTCTTGTTGCCGGTTCATCGGCCCCTCTCCATGACACCGGACTAGACTGAATTACTGGCGTCCCTTCATCGGCCTGCTTTTCGCCTCGAACTTCACGAGTCTTGAAATCTGGACCCAACATAATAAAGTGGGACTCAATTGCGCAGTTCAGACGATAAATTGATGCAATAAGGGGTCATCGCAAAAGTGATTAGTCATCCCTGAAAAAAACATTCATTTCGTACTCGGACCTCCTCTCCACCCTCCGAAATGAATGGACGACGAAAATCGCATGCATGTACATGTGTATGCATAGCGTCAGTCGACTGAGATTTTAGCTCGCTCCCCCCCCCCTGGAACGATCTTCGTTTCAGGGACGACCAAAAACTTGTGTGACCACTGACTTTCTTTCTCTGATATCAAGCAGTATGCATTATTTGTAACAGTAATTACTTGTCTGTGTCATGTGGATGCATTGTCTTATTTCCTTTTTCAGGCTACAGCACAACCGAGAGAACGAAATGTACGTCGCAATCAAGCTATGTCGTTGCCATCTTCTATGTGCCATGCGTTACCTGATGTGCCAGCCTGCTATGTCGGATACCGCTAACCATGCATCGACTAGGCGCCAGGCGCGAACTGATGGTGGTGGTGGTGGTGGTGAGAAGGAGAGCTCTGTGCCAGGATAACTTTGCAGTTTAGAGAGCGTGTCTGGGCAGGCGTGTATTTACCCCCATATTGCCAGGTGTATATTTACCACCATATGAACCAACCATAAGTGCAGTTGCAGTGGAGTCTTCAACTTCATTCTCCTGAGTCAAGCTCCTTGTGAAGACATCTAAGAAGAAGATTGCCTGATGAGTCCAGCCGGGACGAAAGGTACGTCGCAATCAAGCTATGTTGTTGCTGTGTCATCTGCTATGCGCCATACGCTACCTGATGTACCAGCCTGCTATGTCGGACACCACTCACCCTGCATCGACTAGGCGCCAGACGCGAACTGATGATGGTGGTGGTGGCGGGAAGGAGAGCTCTGTGCCAGAATAACTTTTCAGTTTAGAGAGCGTGTGTAGGCAGGTGTGTATTTACCGCCGTATGAATCAACCACAGTACGATCAGCTGACGTTATAACTTATAAGGATGATCTCGTGCAGCGATATTATTGATATTTTTTAAGTCTTTTCTAAGGACTCTCCACTGCAGCGTTTTCTTTCCACTCGGTTCTCTTCTTTTCATCGCTCAGCTTGCACTTGCAATGCTTATACATACTGATCAATCCCGTTCAATTTTCCGTACATTTTTCTCAAAATCCATAGCGTGGACGAAGTAGTGATTTTCCGTACAAATATGGAAAATACGGAAGGTTGATAGCACTGTGTTGAGGCAGCTATTGTTGACTTTATTTGGAATTAATTCTGTCGTATTTGCACACATTCCTGAGTGCATTGTATTACTATTAGCATCCAATGTGTGTTATCTGTGCGAGCTTCTAACCTTGTGAACATTCACCGAAGGTTCGGTTGGTGGCGCACAAGATCATCCGGGATGGCTCTTGCGGGCTCTCAGCCCTGCGTTCACTGCATAAAACTTGGCAGAACAGTTCAAGTTTCAATTTAGGCCATTTCCTCACTCTGTGACTCCCAATATTTCACATGTGCAATGATTATAAGTATTGTAGATCACTGGGACAGCGCCACTTTGTTAGCCGATGTTAGTCCTGAGAAAAATTCACTCCATTGCCCTAAAGGTGAGAAGAAATTGGGACTATTTGTGAAGGAAAACTTTGGAAAATGTAATTTCGAATAAAAGTCATTTCGTTTATCTGGATAGGTCCAATATTTCACAAATATGCAATATAAGTATTGTAGATCACTGGGACAGGGCAACTTGGTCTGTCGAAGTTAGTCACGAGGAAAAAAATTACTTCATTGCCCTAAAGGTGAGAACAAATTGGGACTATTTGTGAAGGAAAACTTTGGAAAATGTAATTTCGAATATAAGTCATTTCGTTTATCTGGATAGGTCCAATATTTCACAAATGTGCAATATAAGTATTGTAGATCACTGGGACAGGGCAACTTGGTCGGTCGAAGTTAGTCACGAGGAAAAAAATTACTTCATTGCCCTAAAGGTGAGAAAATATTGAGGCAATTTGTAAAGAAAGGATTACCTCATGTTAGGTGGTCAAAGTGCCTCAGAGTTCGAGTGGCAGTGCAAAGCCAGTGAGTAAGCCAGTGAACAAGACCCTTTATTAGTGAACTCCTCAGCGATGGCCACAGATGGCTGTATTTCGGCAATGGAGATCGAAAGTCTGACCACAATTGTTCAGCGAAAGGACGAAGACGACGCTATGTACGGATTTCCCGGGCGCTATGACCTATGTACGGACTTGTCCCACACCGAGCAGGTCGTAATATTTTGAATCGTTGAGTCGATCATGGTTGTGCACAAGTGATGCGCGTGTCGCCTCCCGGGTCTATACGACTCCCTGCTCGTTATCGACTGAGCTGAGTCTGTGTCTTTGACTTTGAGCTTGTCACTTGGTTAATTTTAGGTTTGTTTTAGGGAGGACTGAGTGAGTCTGAGGTGTTCAAGAAAAGGTCAGGGCCAGCTCCATGATCCAGGGACTCGGTGGTAAAATTCCCAGGTACGTAGTGTTCACGGCACGCACTCGAACTATTCCCTAGTTGGTGATCGGTGATTCTGCTCGTAGCGGGCGTAGATCTACTGTAGACTAGTGCCTAGTGTGAATCATCGCTAGTACCTGCAGCGGACGAACATGGCTAGCGCCGGGCGCATTGTTCTGCGGTAAGATTGCTTTAAAAAAAATTATTGTACTGTGATTGTGAATGGGTTTATGATCAGGGAAAAGGACATGAAAATGTGGCCCTATTTTCCGGTGGACCAGACCGATCACTCTGAGCATTTCAGAAAATGGACGAAATGGCATCTACTGAGTCTGTGATGGTATTTTAAATTACTGTTCAGTTTTGAATAGCTAGTGAGTAGCATGCTGGTGTATGAGTCCACAGCCAGTACTCAGCATTATTTTTGTCAATTTTTTAGTCCAATGTCATGTTTTGTGAGTTGACTTCAAGTTGCATTTTCAATTTTGTACCGGTAAATTGAGTTGCTGATTACTACAATATACTATTGTAGTACTCTGCTGACCAATGCAGCAAATCAGACATCAGGAAATGGCCTGAAAACGCACCGGCAAGGCTCAATGTGTTTTAATTCTGTGGAACTTGAGGTGGACGGCACTGAGTTACCTGACCACATGTATATGCATGATCATATCCGGTTACTGCAGCATGAACCTTGCACGACTGTATGAACTGATTGGGTACAGATTTGTGGGCCACCCACTTGCGCCGCCGCACATGGCGGTAGAAACCAAGACCATGCCACCCTATTGTGACAAGTATGGTTGTAACCAGGAACGTTGTCTACAGAAGTTATGCGATTACATCATCAGTTGAGATGCTTTGGCAAAGGCTTTAAGTTGCGGCACAGCGATGCACTAGCCCAAGCAAAACCGCCGACTCGCGCTATACTTGAGTGAGTCCGCCGACTCGCGCTGTATACTTAGCGCCATAAGCAAATCCGTTAGTTCGCCATCATGACATCGGTGAATAACCTCTATAAGCTTCATTGTGCGATATACATGTACATACCGTAAAGTACCGTTGATCCCCCCCCCCCCCCCACGCTGTGTCGCTTCCCAGCTGGTTTTTCGGCAGCGGGCGGAAATTAGATCGTCGTTCAAGTGCAGTACGATGTACAGCAAAGCAGAAGATCAGACCTGGAATGCTGGATTGTGCAGATTTTCATCCTGCCCTCGCTCGTATTGTGTACAGCAATACATGCGTCGGTTCAAAATCGTATTTCGTTGCATACGCCGACGTCGCTTCACAGACAGACATTCGACAGGGGGCAGTAATTAAAGGGAGGGCGGATCAACGGTTCCGTACGGTACGGTACTCTTACCCTGACATGCTGGCTAGGTACTTTATACACAAGGCCTTGATCATGCATTGTGTGCACTTGCATGCACTCCATGCACTCCACGCAACCCATGCGACTTGCATGGGTCTGCCCAAAGTGCAGCTTGTGCAGCTTGGTGTGCATGTGTTGTACAGGGTGGAGTGGCCTAAATTTACGTAATGACAAAGTCTGTCGCAAGTTCTCGCAACTTTCTCTCGTAGGTGATGATGAAGTCACAGTCACGAAAATATGACGCACACCTCAGCTTTCAATTATCTCGTCCCGTTACCACGTTATTTGGGTGTAGTGCAAACTTAGTTTCACTCTGCTGACTTCTTGTGCTCACGGGTATTTTCTGCAGCGGGGGCCGTGTAATCGACCGCTCGCTAAACATAGATCACGTGTGCGACGTAATCATTGTCGGCGATGTCATCGAGGCTCTAGTGGACTGCGGGGGACAGTATGATGGCAATGATGACGTCAGGGATGTGTCAGGTAGGAGCGTGAGCTATCTCAGCTGGAGTGCCAGGCCACTACAGGAAAAATGATCCACTTCCGAGGTCCGAGCCATTGCTGCTTTCATTCAGTTGCTGTTGTGCATGCTAAGTGATAGCTGCCATGCCTTTCGGATGTGAATGCTCTGAAGCCAGATGTGGTACTCTGATGCAAACATACATACATTGTACGATGAAGAGCGATTGCCGGAGGTTTGCACATGGCCGTGTGCCCCCGTGTACACGGTATGCTGTATACAATGCTTGCATGGCTATTACGTTTGAGGATAACAGCAGGAAGCAAGGTGGAGGACACGCACCGTTTTGAAAACCAACACGTGTTACCTATCAAGCAAGGCTTGTGTATACTTCTTGCACGGCTATGTACTGACTTGAGTGATGCGCTGGCATGTGTGCTGCTCCATGCAGGTTGCCTGGTTGTACCGGGTCTGATTGACCTGCACATCCACGGCTATGAGCATGCCACTCCGCTGGGCATCGACGTCGACAAGTACTGCTTGCATCGCGGAGTCACCACGGCTGTGGATGCTGGCAGGTACTAGTATGCTGCATGTGCATGATGTACTGCATGCCTCCATAGTCCACACTGCCAATGCTAGTGTACCAGTTACACTCTGGGAGTCGTAAAATACCGGTATTTTACGACTCCCACGTAACTCACTGTAACCGCCATCCATTGCCAGAATGGTGTCATCGGTGTATACAAGAACACCTGCATCTGTACAGAGAGGAGGTGATAGACAGGTAGCTACTACAAATTGAATCTTCCCCCTCTCCCTTCATTTTTTAAATGTCTTGGAGGCAGTACCGTACCTGCTACCACAGTAGTCGTTGTCCTGCGCAGCAGCTGTGCCTTGTGGAGTACGTGTAACTACTTTTGATAATCTGTTACCGACAGCTTGCTAATCGTTCTTTCTGGATGTGTTCGCGCAGCGCTGGAGCAACTACCTTTCCTGGCCTGCGCAAGTTCATTGCCGAGAAATCACGCACTCGTCTATTGGCCTATCTGAACATCTCCATGCATGGCCTGGCCTCGGCTGGATGCTCGGGGTAAGTGCCGCCACCTGGCATGCGGAGTGGTTGCGTGTCAGGCCCAGTATTATGATATTGATCCAGACCAGCTTGCTAGTTCTTTAGCTCTTCGCAAAACCCAATTCTTGCTCCTCTCTCCGCAAAGGAATGTGTTTACTCCAAAGCCCCCCCCCCCCCCCAACACCTGCTAAACGCTACTGGTATGTTGCAAGTTGCAATGCAGTAAGCACAAACCTTCGCTTTTGTGCAGTCCCAATACTAATGGTACAAAAGATGAACACTGGTCGTGAATATTTAGAAGAATCATGCCCCCCCCCCCCCCCCTCCTCGCCTCCCTTTATGTTAGGATCAGCCAACACCAGAAAAATCTCCTCCACTCAACTGACTCCTTATTCTGCACGAAATGTTGTTCAGGTATGGTCTAGGTGGTGAGCTGGACTCGGCCAAGCAAATCAATGCCGACAGCGCTGCAAAGTGCATCGAAGAAAACCGCGACATGATCGTGGGTATAAAGATACGACTCTCTGCGGATGGTGCGAACGACGGGAAAAACGAGCAGCTAGCAATGAGGTAGGCCATGCAGCGGGATAACTCAGCGTTGGTAGATAAAGCTTGGTGAACTGAGTGCATCATGGATGGGTACTTGTTGGAGACAAGTCTACATACCTGCCATCAATGATTATCAGAACATCAATGCCAGAAATAGGACTGCCTTTGGTACAAGATAACATTAGTTTTATGGTGTGGCTTTATTTCCGACATGATTATTAGTATTAGAGTGTTTGCACTTTCATTGTGACTGCCTATGCCATTGGCACCAGTGTTCGACCAAAATACGATGGCTTCGCAATGTTCCAATTTATTTACCACGTTCTTCCTTTCATGCATTTGTTTTCAGCTCTTGAATTGCGTTGTACTCCTCCATGAATTGCAAATTGTGTTTTGCTTGCCCGTAAAAGAGGTTTTTGGTATGACTTCACAATCATTGACGGCCCTGAGAACATGATAAACAGCACATGATTATAGAGACCTGCAGCCAGTGTCTGTTTATTGTTTAGTAACTCGTGCCAAGCCAATAACAGTTGCTAGCGAGAATGCTGTGTGTTCATTCACATGTGCTGTACCTGTCGTGACTGTACTACACCTTCACACAGGACTGCGCTGGAGTGTGCTAAGAGGGTCCAGCTGCCTGTGATGGCGCACCACAGCATGTCCACAGTGAAACTCGGCGGCGAGGAGGAGGTCTTGTCCTGTCCTGGAAGGTATGTGTGCGCGTGTGTGTGTGTGTGCACGCGTGTGCATGTGTGTGCGTGTGTGAGTGTGTGTGTGTGAGTGAGTGAGTGAGTGTGTGTGAGTGAGTGAGTGAGTGTGTGTGTGTGTGTGTGTGTGTGTGTGTGTGTGTGTGTGTGTGTGTGTGTGTGTTGCCAACCTGTCGGAAGGCTACCTTCTTGCCAAAGCAATTGGAAGTTGGACTAGTTTCGGCTCCGCAATCCAGTGTGTCGTTACTATTATAGCTTTCATGGCTGAGGTGGTTGGTATGTCTGTTGGCTCCGGGTTCCCAGTACTCAGTAGCTGAGGCTGGTTGGTAAAGTAACTCCAATTTCTCTTCAAGATACCAGTGTATCTAGTGTCTGCTTCTATCAAAGCAGCGTGCTGTCTATACTGGTTACCCCAGCAAGTGTAGGGTGTGCATAGGTAACTGTCTTGGCCGTTTTATGCCGATGTACTCCGTGTGGTGTAGACCAGGTGTGCATTGGTGGTCGATTCACATGGCTTCACAGGTTGTGTGGATTGGACAGTTATCTGGCGCTAGTCTTGATCTGTCTCATTCAGATCTTGTCCGCTATCGTTGCTATCTCTTAGCCTGTCACCAGGAAACCCTATATATAGGGTTTGACATAACGCTACACATAAAGACCCTATATATAGGGTTAGGACCCCTAAAGAAAGGGTTTGATCAGTCCTCACAACTGGGCACACAATACACACAGTTTCACTTGTTTTTTTTTGATATTTTCACTGCATTGCCATTGATGTTAGCAGGAGCGCTCCTACGACGTGCGTGAGTGTCGCCGCATTTGCTGCTTCCGACCCACGTGTGGATCAGCTGATGCAGAAACGGCAATGGCGGGAGCGGCAGCTGCGACAGCCGCTGTTGATGCTTCGCCTTCTTCTTCAGGAGCATCCGACGCTGCTGGAACATCGACATCATCATCCTGAGTCGACACCAGGTCGCCAGGAACATTCTCATCGCCCGAGTTCGTCTCCACTAACTCAAGTTGCTCTTCCTCCATCGTGAAAAATCAAACCCTAGATATAGGGTCTAGAAAATGTTACGACAGCGCTGCACTAAAACTAACCGTACTCGAAGAAAACAGCATCACGGTCTTCAGCAAGAGAACCGTACGTACATTCTACGTATGCAGGCCCAGGCGTCTAGTTGCCATAGCAGCCAAGTGGGCTCTCAAGAGAGCTCAAGATAGAACCCGCGGCTGAAAACCCTATATATAGGGTTTGACAGGCTAAGAGATAAGAGAAAATCTGAGGGTGCACATCCAGTGCATTTGCAGATTTGCGTGCTTCTCTTGCGACGGGCGTATACATGTGCCGAGGTACGCTGATTTCAGAGGTACATGGTGTGTGTGTGTGTGTGTGTGTGTGTGTGTGTGTGGCGCGCACGCCGGACAACCGCATCCCGAAACAGGTGCTGTTTGGCTCCTTCTTGCAGCGTCGCCCCGCACATGGCCCACGCCGCAGGTGGAAGGACTGTGCTGTCCGGGATCTACGTGCCCGTGGTGTGGAGGCATCATGGTATGATGTTGCATGTGAGTCTCACGCGGAGTGGCGCAGCACCTACCAAGAGCCTGACAATGCACCTGAGCCTCCGCCCCGAGTGGTATGTACGGTATGCGGACGGGATTTTGCACGGAAAGGAGACATGGCTCGGCATAAGTGTCTGGAGGAGCGTGCGCGGCCTGTGTCTGAGCAGCGGGGCGCCAGTCAGTGCGGGCGGTGTGGGTGGTGGCTGAGAAGCCGCGGTGGCTTGGTCCGGCATGTGTGTGCCTCGACGGTGGATGCCACAGTGCCACCTGGAGCTACCGGAACGTCGGCACCGGCGGAAGGGTGTTGTGCCGCGCATTGTGACGTGTGGTTGCTGCTTTCGCGGTGTCCGGGGACGGGGCAGGCATCGCTGTTCAAGGGTGGCCCATAGACCAACAGCAGAGGAGCGCTCAACCTTCCAGCACGTGTGCATATGCGGCAAGTGGATGCGACTACCCGTGCATCTGGAGCGTCATCGGGCGTCGTGCCCTCTCTCTCTCTCTCTTCTCAAGTTTCCCAGTGATGGGACCACGTGACCCTTTTGCGGCAGTGACTCTACAGGACAGGTGTGTGTGTGTGTGTGTGTGTCTGTGTTGACCGCTTTGGGTAATTACAGGACTTGTGTTGTGTGCTAAGACTAGCACAGTGGATTAGTATGAGCGAGTGAAGCGGGCACATGCCTAACATAAGATCCTTCCTCAGCAACTCCCAAGCCACTCACTTATTGCAAGTGAGGGACTAATTGCTGTTCCTGAGGGAATTCAACGGTAGGTTTTGGGTGTTCTGACTGTTTCCACTCCAGCACAAGTTTGGATTTGAAGAAAAGGTTGGATAATATTAATTTTATTTGGCTGTTCTTCATATGTCACAGCTTACGACCCGGAGATGTCTACACTCACTTCTATCATGCCTATGAATCAACGGTAGTAGATGTATCAGAGCCACATCCAGTGGGTGGATACAGCAAGTTTGATCCAGCCGTGCTGGAGGCTCGCAAGCACGGTGTTCTAATGGACATTGGCCATGGCCAGGGATCGTTCAGCTGGACCATTGCCGAGGTAGGCTGATTTCATGATGGTCATATAACCCGCGTGCCCTGAACATGTGTATGCGATAGCCTGAGGTTGTGTAACTAGCTGAAAATCAGGGTTACAACGAACCGTTTCATCCTCTACTCCTTGTAGCTAGGTATAATACATGACTTGTATGACCTTGGGCAAGTCACTTGACTCGTACATGACTACTTCAGCTGTAGTGTTACTGTGGAGCTGGTTCGAGGCGGGGGGGGGGGGGGGGGGGGGGCATCGTAATAGTGTATGGGTGAAGAACAACAACAGTTGGCTCTAAAGTTAGTTGGGATGCAAGGCGCCCACACCCCAGTAGCAATTCGGATTCCACGGATTCTTAGAGAGCTGGCCCATCCCAAGGTATCAGAGCTTTCTAGGTGTACAGTGAGTAGCGGCCATTCCAGCCGACGAAGCTGAGTTCCGGGCAAAACATACCAGGCAGACACCTTTAAAATCCTTCTTTCGATGCCAACGTGCATGCACATGTATCCATACGGGTTCTCGTACGTGTACAGCAATGGCAATGATGGAGACACGTAGACAGTATTCGTAGAGCTTTGCTACAATAGTATTCTGTTATGTCACTTCTGTTGGTGCAGCTCGGTGCAAAAGAAGGTCAATGGCCCGATGTAATCAGCACGGACCTCCACACAGGTTCCATGGATGGTCCTGCATACGACTTGCCAACAGTCATGACGAAGGTGAGACAATCAACTGCCACGTACGCATGCACTAGGGAGATCATGCTTGAGAAAATAAACTTCTCTGTAACCGCTCTTACTCTTGCGTACCATACTGGTGTTTTGGTCTTCCTTTAGCACGTGTGGTCGAAATGCAAATTGGCGAAGACTTGAGGCTGCATGATATTTGTTGCCACAACAACGTTGGACTAGATTCCTGTGTTGCTGTGACTGTCTTTCTGCCCTCCCCTTGTACTGCCACCCCGGCAGATGTTGCATGTTGGCATGCCGTTGCTGGACATCATCACGGCCGTGACTGCCACGCCGGCCGAGTGCTGTGGACGAGCAGACAAGCACCAGCTGAGGCCGGGTGCGGAGGCCGACGTCACCGTGCTGCGCCTGGACGACTGCAGCACGCACCTCGAGGACAGCCAGGCACAGTTGCGGCACGTCACGAAGCGGATCCTGCCCGTGGCGGTGTGGAGAGCCGGTGAAGAGGCAGACATCATCCTCGTGAGTTGGTAGTACCACCTCTAGCCTTGCGAAGTTCTTCTCATAGTCAGGCATTGAATTATTGGATTAGCAAACAATTGTGCTAGTAAAGTAAATTTGCAATAGTATCAACTATGTCGTCTTGCCATTAGGGGATAGATCTCCTTGTCGTACTTGTCGCAGTTGCAGCTGGGCCGCTATCCAGCAACTATACGCGACACACACGATTGATACTGGAATGCTATTCAAACACCCATAATAAAGTTACACACACATACATAGTCACATACTGACATCACAAACATTATGACTCCCCTAACACACTAGTGACACATACCTACCTCTCAAAACAATCGCAATCATCTCCAGGAAATCCGTACCAGTTTACCGTGCGTAGGTGGACAGTGGAGGTGTGAGCAGGTACACCAAAATGCACGGATACTCGGATTGTACTGTGATTTCAGGTTTCTGATTTTAGCTTCTTCTGAAGCACCTCCACCGCACCTTATCTGCACATCACCACATTCGTGAGGCCATAAACCATTCACGAAATGGCCGTGACTGTAGCTTCTTCATACTTCATTCAGGTTTCTGGAGTTTTCGTTCTAAGTTAAGACTTGTGTATCACATTCCCTCTCTTGTGTTCACTGCAGCCCGAGGTGTGGCCCAACACAGCACGCATGCCCACCCTGAGCAAGGAGTGGAAGAAACTGCTGGTGAAGGATGCCAAGGCGCCAGAAGCCATGGCTGCCCTGCAGTAGTCACAATGCACAGTTTGAAATACTTGTACGGACCACGCCACCAGCAACATGGAGCATAGCGAGTCATGTGCTGGGGAAGTGCGAGATCTCCTCCGCTACATCACCGCCAGTGTGATAAGAACGTGTGCCGCATGGATTGCGATGCACTTTACCATTACAATATATATATATTTTTTTCTTTCCAGAATGATGGACTTTACGCAACAGCATCCACACAGGACAGGAGTGGTACTCTGTGGAACCTTTTCTTCAGTTATTGCCAAAAAGATAGAGAGTTTCTGCATGGGAAGTGGGAACCCCATCATTGGGGATCAATGCTCCACTGTCACCCCTGCCAAAGATACAGCCGCATTGACATCGCTATGTTTCGTCCTTGTATTCTCTCATTTACGATGGCATCAAATGCACGGAACAAGTTCAGAGTACTTTATGCCATTTATTCAATAATTAGCATATAATTATTGTCTGGCAGGCCAGATGTAAAGAATTTTGAAAATATCTCAACTTTTGATTATTTCATTTGAAGCAGCACTTTCCAGCTGCTAATAGCAATGGTTATGAAGAGTGGCAGTGGCTGCAAGCCAGTTGGCGGATAGGTAGGAAACTACCCGGATGGGTCACTCACGGGTCAAGCGAGGGATTCACTTCTGAGTAACATCAGAAATCACGGTATGAGCATACAGCTATGGCATTGTTAGCAGAAGCAGGCTATAGAGTCAACACTGTCATAATAAAACTCAAGGAATGCAAATCCTGAGCAATGTCAGTCCAGTGGAGTGGCTGGTCTGTTGACAAACACGGTGACAGTCACACGCTTGGTCTGAGAGTGAACGCACCGGTGCCTGAAACAACTGCAGCTGTTTCACAGACCCACAAACAGGTGATGGCCAGCACAGTCCTCTGTATATAACCTTTAACAGTGCGGTATGTAGTACCAGCTGCTAATGCAGAGGATGTTACTTACTCAATGCATCCTTCACACTGGCTTGACTGCCTACAATCCATGATCAGCTGGTGATCGGGGATCAAGAGCAAACCCGACCGCTGGGCGTTGTATCTGTAGGTTGCTAGCATGCGCTCAATCCAATGGTTGAACGATTGGCTGGCAACAGGAAGAGGATCAGGAGCACTGAGCTCAGTCCCATGTTGCGGCCAGTCTCGGAGTGCCAGAGGACGGTGGCATCCAGGCTTAACGTTCCGGTGTATTCCAGGTCAGGGGGCACACTATGCGGACAACCAGCGCCCTGATATAGCACCATACGTACCATAGCAGTCACAAGATAGACCTCCCATGTGTGTGCCATTGTAGTCGCCTCTACGAGTGGCCTCAGTCATCTGCTTCCAAGCCTACACCCCGAGCACTGATTACAGTTGTCAGATTCTGCATTCCTTGTCTTGCTCTAGTCTGGATGATGCAAACTCACTCCAGGTATGTCACGGCAATGTCGAAGAAGCTACACCCCTTCTTCGGCGTCTGACTGCTACCAGTCGTATTGTCTGGCGCATCCTCGTCTGCATCATCTTCTTCCTGTTGGTCCTCCGGCGTGGGTGTGAGATGGTTGAGGTACTTGATGAAGCGCATTGTCTCATTATCTCGGCACACCAGTGCCAAGCTGTTCGTCATTGGTTGGATGCTCAAAAGCTGTACACAGGAGCACACCATAATTCGCCAATGTCTCACAACTACTTCACAGTCGTAACGCAAGGCTCAAAGGAGAAACCATGTGAAGCAGGCTGAGAAAGAGAGAGAGAGAGAAAGAGAGAGAGAGAGAGAAAGAGAGAGAGAGAGAGAGAGAGAGAGAGAGAGAGAGAGAGCGAGAGAGAGAGAGAGAGAGAACAATAGAGACCATAATTATACTTGCACTATACACGCTAGCCCTAGACAAACTCTCACCTCTTCATCTTCTCCCTTTGCCACATAGCACGTGAAGCCACCACAGTTAGGTTCCCATTCTGCAGAACAAAGAACAGAAGGTAAATGAACATGATCAACTCTTTACCTTGGAAGCCTGCATGTGCATGTACCCACAGGGTTCCACAGTGACTTCTAGAGATCACACTCAAACGTTGGAGAAATGCCTTCAGGGCTCTTGTAGAAAATGGAATAGGATTGAAGTGCACGCCTCACACATGAGTTTACACAGCTATCCGGCGGTAAATTCCCCCCCCCCCCCCCCATCCGCACAAGAACAAGGCATGTGACTAGTGGAGGATCATTAATCGGGGGCTTGGCCTACAGAAAACCCCCCAGTTCAAAACACCATTCGGCGCAGGAAAGATCTTATCCCGTCCAGCTGCCAGTATCCACAATGCACCATATCCAATGCAGATGAGAATAGCATGAAGTTAATCAGAGCACAGGTTGACTGTAAGATACTCGCACTGACCTTCAGCTTTGAAGAAGAGCTGTGCATCCAGAGCCATGCTCCTCGGCTGATTCTCTAGGTCATGCATGAGAGTGTAGCAGCCGGGTGACCAGTGACGTACGGATACCTGACTCGTCGGCTTGCCCAGTGGTGCATCCTCGCTAGCGTTGTCCTCGTCGTCATCACTGATGTCATCGTCGTCTTCTTCATCGGAATTGTCATCATCCTCGTCTTCTTCATCACCATCGTCCGCACACATCAACATCTCGTCCTCACTGTCATCACCATTCGCGCACGCCGATGAGCTTGCTGCCACGTTCCCTGCACCATTGGCAGCATCAGGCAGAGGTGCGTCTTCGATGCTCTTGTCCTCAGCAAGATTCATCCCTGTCAGCTTGGCCAAAAGAGAAAACATCTCTTCAGAGGCAAGTATCTCTGCACATTCCTTCACTAAAGGAATAGAAGATGTTGCTAGCGACTGAAAGTGCCTGTACAAAGCAAAACGGGGGAAAGGATTGCTGAAAATCAAGAAAAAAGGAAAAAAGGAAAAAAAGAAACCCGTCCCCGGGTGGGCTTGAACCACCAACCTTTCGGTTAACAGCCGAACGCGCTAACCGATTGCGCCACGGAGACAAGACATGTGAAGCACAGGGCAATGGCTTTCTTGTTCTCTTACACGTGGGTAGGCGGGCAAATACAGTCAGACCTCGCATAACCGCACACATCCGTTTTCCACAAAAATATCCGGATAGGCGAGGGAACCGGATAATCGAACAAACACACTGTATGTATGCATGGCATGTGTTGTAAATCGGTAACCAGCGATTTTCCTCCGGATGGCGAGGGATCCGGATAAAAGAGGACCGGATAAGCGAGGTCTGACTGTAGTTGAAATACCGGTACCGTAAAGTACCGTTGATCCGCCCCCTCTCTAATTCCCGCCCCCTGTCGATTTTTTCCTTGTGAAGCGACTTCGGCGTATACAACGAAATACGATGTTGAACCGACGCATGCACTGCTGTACACAATACTTGCCAATCCAGGATCAAAATGTGCACAATCCAGCACATTGAGTCTGATCCTCTACGTTGTTGTACATCGTACTGCACTCGACAGCCTTGATCTAATTCCCCCCCCCCCCCCCCCTGCCGAAAACCCAGCTGGGAAGCGACATGGCGTGGGGGCGGGGGGGGGGGGGGGGGGGCGGATCAACAGTACTTTACGGTAGTTACAGTTACAATGCTCCATGCATGCTTTGCTTGTTCGGCGGTGACGACTTTTAACCTGGTGGTACACTATTGGCTGATTGTGGGTTCACATACCAGAAGGTCATGGTCATTGTGTGTGTGTGTGGGTGGGGGGGGGGGGGGGGGGAGCATTTCTGAAACCTACCAGTATCTACTACAGACTTGCTCAACGAAATCCGATTGCATGAGCCAACTAGCGCCGGGTGCTGTGCGGGCCCCAGGCCTGTGAACACCGGGCTGTGCTCTCATGGAGGGCACTGACCTGTTCATGAGATCGGATTTCATTGACCAGCAGCATAGTTGTAGAACAAGGCCAGAGCCAACACCCGGGACGGACGACTATTGCCATAAAAACATACCTCTTGTTAGCTGGCCCTTGCCATTTCCAGGGAGTGCCCGCTGCTTCAAGTGCACGGCTAACTTCATCATATTTCTCCGGCTACAGTGAAAGGAGAGAGGGCAAAAAAGACAAGATTACTGGCACTTCTTCCTGTGAGTAAGTTGAACCACTTAGGCTTGGTACATACTACATAGAGAATGTGGACCACAACAGACATGCTCTATCCACACACACTGGTATGGGAGTTGACTTCAATTCAGATATACATAATACCATAGCACTGCAGATGAGAGCAGAACAAATCATTCATTCAATAGGGAGTGACAGTCGGGTACCTAGCAGTCAATAGGACGGCGGGGAGCGACACCAAAGTCGGATGTGGCAAGGCACAGCAGTGCCCTGGAAAGTTGGGGAAATACTATGCATTGTATGCCTCTGACCTTCAGGAAAGCATGCAGCTGGGCTTCAGAGTGCTTCTCAAATCTCTTCCTGATCTTTCTCTGGACAGCTGGTTTGAAGTAGACCTTGTTTACCCAATCTTGAATAGTGACACCCTGCAATCGGAGAAGACAGGCAGCCTTGAACTCAAGACACAGTGAAAAGTTTTTTTTCTAATCTATGTATACGAAGAACAAAGTCAATCAGAATTCAAACCAAACTCAGGTACACACACACCCAGCTAAGGTGTTAGACTGTTAGTTGATGCAGAGTTGACATATACATGTACGCACATGTATGATGTAATGCACCCACGTCATGAGGGTAAATGCAACGTGGACTGGCAATAAAACGCAGAACACACTAGTTTGTCCCATGCGCTGTCTGTCTGCTTCCTGTCCTGGCTGACCAAGCAAAGTGAGAATACGATAGGTCAAAACGAACATTGACTAGTTGAGGGATTGGAAAAGGGAAAAAGTCTGAAGGAAAAAATGACTCACAAACAAACCCTACATTTAAAACTAGAATGCATACTTACAGTCAGCGGGCCTGACAATGGCGGTTCCGGCTCCATGTACGGACTGGGTCGGTGGAAAGGTTCACCGTAGAACCAGCCACTTATAGACAAACGTGTTCTACTTGCGGAGCGCACCTCTGCTACCTGGACAGAAAGAAGAACATATTTGTAGGACATGACATCATGACATGCTGTATTTGCAATACATGACAGCATGACATGTCATACTCTGATACTTCCATATCCTGAGTATAATGCACACTCGGGGTTTTAGAGATATCGAGCCTAAAAGCAAATGCATAGCAAAGAGTGTGTTGTCCTGCAGTAAATACAGTTCTGGTAGGTGCTGAAAAGCGAGGGGGGGGGGGGGTGTCATAGTCTAGGCCATTCTTACATTCCACGCACAGTTCAATTACGGCGCACGTCTGTATGCTGTGCTCGGTGAAATACTACCCTGTTTGTTCTTCGGCGGCCAACAGCAAGCAAGGTACAGCGATCGGCTCAGTGTGCCACAATGTACAACGTAGGTAGCTCCACAGATGTCCGAAGCACTAGCCCTGCTAACCAATGCTAATGTTCTTACCTGGTGAAATGAGTCCAGTGTCACAGGGAAGAAGTTGAACATATTGGGCTGTGGAACGATCGACTCCACAATCTGATCAGGCTGCCCATGCTCTGCAAAAGCACAGGACAAAAAAGCAGCAGAACAAATTGCTTCCACGACGTTACATCAGCATGACACTGGGTCAAATCTCTACACACAGAGAATGTGAGGAAGAGGGAGGGAGAGAGAGAGAGAAACAGAGAGAGAGAGAGAGAGAGAGAGAGAGAGAGAGAGAGAGAGAGAGAGAGAGAGAGAGAGAGAGAGAGAGAGAGAGAGAGAGAGAGAGAGAGAGAGAAGAAGAAGAAGATGTAGAACCACTTTCACTCAAGTGAATGGAAGCTAGGATAATGACATGGTATTTCTGAAGGATTGTCAGTAAAAAAAATGAATAAAAGCTCTCACACACCGTCTACTGAGAATAAGTCCAGGCATCCGCCGTCTGTGTCTGTCCACTCTGGCACCAGATAGTAGATGAACGCAATTCGCCGTCCCTCCAGTTCGTCATCATGACACAGCAGAGTATCTGCAGCATCAGTTACACATGAATAGAACACAGAACACAATACATGCATACCAAAGCAGGGTGAGCAAAGAATTACCACCCTACGTACTAAGTCCACATGATCAGGTGAAAAATAAAATAAATGTCACTTATTAACACCGGCAATATTTTCTTTTTGAACACCCTGGTCCCGGGGCTATATCGGAGCAACTGAACGAGTCCCTATAGGAATCACCAGTACTAGTAGTTTGGTTGCTGCACGTGTACATGTTTCCCTCAAACCAACTTGCTATTTAACCCTTTTTAGCCAATCTCGTATGTACTTCTCCGACAATAAGTTGAATAACTCCAGCTTTTCTAGGTTGTATAAAGTGGTGCAGAGGAGACCTGCACTTTCCCAATCACACTGCAATCATCCAAACTCCTATTTATCGTATTCGAAGCCGGTGACCCCACTTAGAAATTATATTAGGAGTTTCTACTTTCCAGGGACACTTGCGAGCACACTTATCCACAAATCAAGGTTATGTTTGGAAAAAATTCCCCTTTCCCTATAGGTTGGAGCCTCCTTATACAGAGAAAATCCTTGTGTAGTCGCTCATGCACATCAGGAAGGTTACTTGCCTACAATTTTACGGTCGACTCCTGGTACATGTCACCTGGAGTCAAAGAGAGGAAAGCCAATGGTGTCCTGCTGGTATGCAGCAGAGGCTCTATGTACGCTGGACCACGCCTCTGAAAAGGGAACAGCCAGCTGGGCACCCGAGGGCAAGCGCCATGGACTTATGATTTACTGAGTACAATAATCGGAAAAAAGCCGCTCTCCTATGCTAATACTACTTCGAACATTAAAAGATAAAAGATGACATGTTAAGATAACACGTCGCATACTAACCTCCGTCTTCATATTTGGAGCAGGTGGCATCAACCCGATCTGACAGTTCAATACCGGTCACTTGACGAAGGAAGTTGAGCACTTTTGTACCAAGTAACTTCCTGTACAGTACATCCAGAAATGATAGAAAACAAGCAAACCTCTCAGCCTGGAAAACAGTTGAGCATCTTTAGGAGGACAAGATAGCACTGTGCAAACCGGAGACACCCATGGAAGTTTGGTGACGGGTTCCTTTCCCAGTGGCGAAATTGACTCTCATGTATCCATGTGTCATGTCATATCAGACCTGTGTGAAATCATGGAACGGCTAAGAGTTTTCCAAAACATTGCTCACCCCACCCCTCCCTAGTGCTTTGGATGGAGTTTGTTCGTCATTTTCTTCCCGTCTGCACGCCAGCATAGGAACTTAGGCACAACCTACCTAAACGCTTCCAGACACGGTCCTGGGCAGTTGCGAATATCATCAGTCTGCACGCCAAAAATACAACAATAACACACACAAGACCAGTGATGGAAGTACGTTAAATACCGTAGATTAAGATCAATAGGCACTGCTATCGCTGCCATAGCGTGTAGCAAGTTCTTCTAGCAATCGCATTGTAGCTATACGTACTGGTAGTATTAGTTTGGGTGTAGAAAACACCGGCACAACACATCACTCTGCTAGTGGGTGTAGTACTACTTGTAGTACGATGCTCCAGCGACTGGTCGGCCCTGTTTTCACACACGACTCACACAGCCTTATCTGCCAGTGCTTAATCCAAAACCCGCTTGCAACAGCAGTAGTCCACAAATTCAAGGAGAATGAGGGTGATTTACAATACTTAGACGAACGACAATACAAACTGACCTGTTGAAAGCTGTAGAGATCATTAATCTTGGCAACGAACGGCAGGTCTTCCACTTCTTTGCGCAGGTCCTTGATGAACGTGCCCTTGTCGGTGACAAAATCCCGCAATGAGCAGCAGATGAAAGGTGATGAGAACACCTTGGCATCTGCACACAAAGAAAAGAAGGCACACTGCTCTTGACGACCACCGTACACACAACTTTCCTGATTTCATTATACAGTACTCCGTACCAGTGTGAGCACAGAACATGTAACCAACTTCATACAGTACTCTGTACCAGTGTGAGCACAGAACATGCAACCAACTTCATACAGGACTCTGTACCAGTGTGAGCACAGAACATGCAACCAACTTCATACAGTACTCTGTACCAGTGTGAGCACAGAACATGCAACTAACTTCATACAGTACTCTGTACCAGTGTGAGAACAGAACATGCAACCAACTTCATACAGTACTCTGTACCAGTGTGAGCACAGAACATGCAACTAACTTCATACAGTACTCTGTACCAGTGTGAGCACAGAACATGCAACCAACTTCACTATAAGTTTAACCCAGCAACAGTGGAGATATGAGTCATGGCATGGGAACATAGGGCAATACTAGTACATGACATGAAGTACTAATTCAATTGAATGCTACGAAACCGGTAGGACTGATCAACCATGTTGGTAATGCCACGGCAGTGTCCAGATCACAGTCACTACGTCACAAGCTGCTCACAAGACCATAATAATACAGTCACTGTACATGATGTAATCTGGTATGCATATTTAAAGTTGTGGCAATCTTCCACCGCATCACAGGTGTACACCAAACCATTGCCATACTCATGACCATAGCCTACTCGCTGACAGTGTTCTAAACTACAGTCCACAGTACTTACTATCATTGCTCAGTGATTTACGTTTCCTGTACACACACACACACACACACACACACACACACACACACACACACACACACACACACACACACACACACATGCACACACGTACGACCACGCACTCACACACATACACACACGTGCACAGACAGAATGAGAAGACAATGTCAGCAAAATTCAGATACTGGGACATTCACCGGACAGCCAGCACCACTGTCTGCCAGTATGCTAGTGTCAGTGAGACACCCTTGTTCCATCCTAAGCGTTGAGAGCAGTAGGCCATCCACATATCTATACTCCAGGTGCACTAACACTATGCGATAAAGAGCATACCACCACTGAATGTCCAGGGGATCAGAGCTATGCCCTGGGCCGATCTTGTTTTTCATGGACTACACAGTCTCTGTGTATTTGGGTCACATAGCAGACTCAGCGGAGGACGTTCAGGTTGGTTGTAACTCTGAGTTTCATGCCGCTAGGCAATCATCAGACAACTGGCTGTGTAGTCCATGAAAAACAAGATCGGCCCAGGGCATAGCTCTGATCCCCTGGACATCCAGTGCCAGTTGTCTGATGATTGCCTAGCAACATGAAACTCAGAGTTACAACCAACCTGAACGTCCTCCGCTGAGTCTGCTATGTACTAAGCTCTGTCTCTGACATTGAGCACTCTCTGCAGCTCGGGGATCAACAGATTTGTAGTTGGGTCACCGTGTATACTGGGACACTGTACTTGGTGAAATCCTAGCATTTTCGTTCTTCTGTGCACTGTTCTTTGGCGTCCGACAGTGCCACACATGTAGTTCAAGAATGGTGCATCTTATGGTCGTATGACAAACACAATTTGACTCAAGTACTCTCCGAGTTATCTTCTGAGTCTAACGTTATAGTAATACTAGTTCTGTCCGCAGATTGAGTATTTCGCTCCTGCTCTTGTAGTAGTTGAGCACTCTCATGTGGGGTAGTGCCTTTGCAGTTTGCGGTATGCAGAGCTCACTGACTTGTCCGTCTGAGCACTCTGGCCTAGTAGTAGTACAGTCGGGTCTGGTTTAAATCTGGCTTTGGAAATTTTATTTTTCATTGCTATCAGGTTCAGCCTCATTTTCTCGGTGCTGCGCTGATGAGTCCACAAAGGACGAAACAGTTCTGTCCGCAGATTGAGTAATACTATGATTATAGACTATAGCGTGTTATTGAGGGCACCAGGGCGAACTCACTTCACCATCCTGAGTACTAGAGTGTTTGCAACCGTTGTACATGTCGTATCTAAAATCATAAGCTTGATGTATGAAGACTGAGTAGTCGGGGTGGGGACCATGTGTCAAATTCGGGAAATATTATTACTGTTCTCATAACATGCATCGTGCCTACAGTGCAACAAAATTTTTTTTTAACTGTTCACCTACCTAATTGATTTCTTCATTGAAGATAACAGCGTTTCTTCGAGGAAAGCATCGTTCATTTCCACGGCACGACCGGCTCTGCGTTTCTTTTTAGCAAGAGGTGCTGAGCTACCATCACTACCACTCTTTGACTTGCTCATATTCAATGTGAAAAGCACACAAGTCAAGCGGATTTGCTCAGGGTACTAGTGTGATAATCAGCTCCGAACAGCACTTCGGCAGATTATTCGATACACTGGATCAACATGGATATTCACTTTCAATGATAGAAGAAGTGATTATTTGAAAGAAATCTATGCAGCTATTGTTTGTAGCTCAGCTCAGCTAGCTCCGCGATCCGGAGCTCCATGTGTTTTCGAGGGTACTGTAGTAATTATTATTTTGCAGCTTTGAGTTGATTATTCCACGCGCACTTCCCTTCGCGCGTTCGCAGGTACGAAAATTCTTTTTGCAACAAAAACGGCACATGAATGATTGATTTCAACTTCTGCAGAGTGATCTTCTTGCAAGTGAATTTTCTGGTTCAGTTCCAGTGAATTGTTTGCTGTAAATGTAAAAGTACATGTAATTCGAATCTCCGCACTGCATACTTAGCCATGGATGGTCGTTGGGGAGATGGAGGTCCCCGGGATCGTGGTGAACGTCATGGCCGTAGAAGAGGCGGTGGGAATGATCGCTTTGACGACAGAGAAAGGTCTTTGCGCTCGATTTTTGGTGAGTAAATTGTATTCTCATTATTTGTATTCATTCGAAGGGTCAGGATAGCTCGTGAAACTTGACCAAAGTGTAGGTGAATATGCATGCAAGCATATTAGTCATTGAGTTTGCATGTACATGTACATTTGCACGTATTAAATGTTACCTGTCTCAGTTTCAAGGGATTTGAGCTGCGTAACATGAAAGCCAATTCACGACTCAGTCCGCCACCACACAGTGTCACCACACTAAGGGAATAACGCAGTGGAAGATTGTAGTATTCTCACTCCTCCAATCCAAAACAACAAGAACCTTGACTCAACTGATGCACAGCAACTAAAAACCGCCAAGTCCGTTACATACGCGAGCGGGAAATGGCACATGCTAGATGCAGAACATAACACAATGTACATCATGAATGTCTGGGGTGGCCAATTGCAGTTCTGAGTTACGAATAGTTCCTGTGTAATGTAATTCTGTACTGGGCTTGATGCTACGTATGCCATCGGGTAACGGGAGTGTTTGATTGCAAGTCTAGTGCATGGGCCGTGCATGATGTCTGAGTGGGGCCAACTCACTGACAGAGGTGCCGACGAAACTCATCTGCAAGCACACAATCACATGCATGCACCCACTCACACATTTTTGAATGAACAATGCGCGGATCAAACTAACTGTCGAGAAAAAGTGAATGGTCAGATCAAGTTGCGTATTTTCTCTTATTTTCGGGCCAGTTGTTCAGGGCTCCAAAAACACATGCATATATGCGAACTGTTTTCCTTTCTTTTCCCGTCTGTGCTGCAGTTGGTAACGTTCCCTATGATGCAACTGACGAGGACCTGATCACCTTGTTCAGCGAAGCAGGCCATGTCGTTAACTTACGGTAAGCAAGCGCTATGCACCAACTGTGATAGTCCAGGTACGCACCTTCATCCATGCACTTCGTTGAGTGTTTGCACACACTCTGGCGCATAATTCTGGCACCTATAATATGCTGTGTACGTGTGTGACTATTGCCGTTGCCCTTGCTTTCATGTTTTCAGTAACACCGTACGCGGCAATTCCCGTGCACTTGCCTCCGGCATAATTTCATACGCCAGGCCATCGAACTTCCTGCTGTTCCTGCGATGCACCTTCACACGGTGCAGCCAGGCCTTCACCTTCACCGTCACCTGCTGTGCTAAATTGCCACACGTGCTTTTCTCGCTCCTCTCCAACCCTATTACCCTAGGCACGGACCAATACCATCATCATTGTTGTCTGAAGGTTGGCAGAATTGCCATGGAACTCGGAGTAACAAGAATTATATAGCCTTCCTCTATTGCAAACTTGTGTATGAAAAATACATACAAGCTGTGTCTTTTCTACAAATCTATATTGCATTTACCTAACAGGGTAGCTGTGTTGGTGTATTATGTGTCCCTCCTAGGATGGTGAACGATCGTGAGAGTGGCAAGCCGAAGGGATTTGGATTCTGTGAATTTGAGAGTCCCGACATTGCGCTGTCTGCGATTCGCCTGCTGAATGGCCGGGAAATACATGGCCGCCAACTGAGACTGGACAGTGCAGCCAGCGAGCGAGACCGCGACCGGGAGGAACATACATTCACTCGTAACCAGCCACCCCCTGGTACTAGTGGTAGGTTGCCACCACAAGAATACTGTGTGTATGTGTGTTTGTGTGACTGTGTGTGTGTGTGAGAGAGAGAGAGAGAGAGAGAGAGAGAAAGTGTGTATGTGTGTGTATGTGTGTGTGTGCGCGCGCGCGTGTGTGTGTATGTGTGTGCGCGCGTGTGTGTGTGTGTGTGTGTGTGTGTGTGTGTGCGCGATGTTATGTGATGTGAATTCCAGGTTTGTTTTCAGTATGTGGCTTATTGAATGTATGGTGTGTGTGTGTGTGTTTGTGTTTGTGTCTGATAGTGGCCTCTGCTCCACAGCCAGTTCAGCAGCCTCCGTTTGTACCGCAGGTAAGCAGCACAGCCGGGTCTATTGTCCACTTACATACATGTAGGTAGTCTTCTTTTGCCAAGCTTCACAATACATGTTATTAGTGCTTTACTCTTGTTTTGCCTATTATTGCAAAACTCTGCCCACTTGCTTGCTGCGCATTCCTACATGCTATCTTTGCCTACTTGATGTTGTATTGCTCTGACAGGCACCACCCATGCACGGTGATGCTGTCTCGCCCGAAGATGCACCTGGTGCAATCACGAAAGCGGTGGCCAGTCTCCCTCCGGAGCAGATGTTTGAGCTGATGAAGCAGATGAAGGTAAGTCGAGGCATGTTGCCAACGATCCATGCTGGTCGAAGTTTGGTTGGCTCACATTATGGTATAAAGTAATGGTACACACCATACTAATCCATATAACGTTATACACTGAAACTCCAGCATAACGTACTCCCAAGGGCCTTAGATATCTGTGCTGTATAGCGATGGTACTGTACCCGAGGACACATGACTGGTGTTGTACAATGCAGGGCTGTCAAGAATCCTACATGTACTTTCCAGCACTTTCGAAAACTAATTCTGCTTTCCCCACCTGTACGCATGTTCACGCGTTGGATTCATGAGCTGAGACTAGTAGTAGCCACGTTTAGCTGCTCGGGGCCGTTCTCATATCTATGAACATTGCACGGTTAGCTTTGTGTTATGTGACACTGGGAGTGGGGGCATGCCTGGCCTTACACTCTTCGCTGTTCCTCATCTCGTCGTTGCCCGTTTTGTAGGTGTGCATAAAGAACAGTCCCGATCAGGCTAGGCAGATGCTGATTCAGAACCCACAGCTGGCGTACGCACTACTGCAGGCGCAGGTCGTCATGCACTTGGTCGACCCGCAAGTTGCCCAGGTACGGACTCAGATATTACGTGTAGTCGCCTTGTAGTAACCTTGGTGGCGATTGTGCTTGTCAGTGATTGCTTTTGACGAGGATCTGGAGCTTTGCTTTGTCAATGACAATGTCCTCCATAGTTGTGCATGGATGGTTCTTATAGTGTTAGCACTGACTGTGTATTGTGTGTTTGGGTACAGTGACTTGAATGTGCTTGACAGGCAGCTTACTTTCTTGGTGTCTCTCACATGGCGTGTGATTTCATGTTGATTTTGAATGTGTACTGTGAGTGTTGCATTGCACTATGCTGTGCTGCTCTGTTGGATGACCAATGTGACCTCCAACCCCCACCACCTTATCACCATAGAGATGACGATTCTTTTTTTATGATACTGACCTTCAAGGAGCGCAGTGTAGTGGAGTGGGTAGATTTATTTGAATGTCGCTACCACTATTCCATATGACTTGACGGGTTTGTCCATGTCGCATGTGTTTCTTGTCTGCAGTCTATCCTAGTTGACGATATGGCTCAGGTGCATACCGGCCGCGGGGATCCAATGGTATGTGTGCACCTTTTGCCGTGTGCTGGTGTATTGCTGCATTCTTTTCTTTTGCCTCCTTCAGTAACTGTTATCCTTGTTATATTGGTTGAGAGTGATAAGTACTGTTTGTTCGGGAAGCCTTTTAACCCCCTTATAACTACATGTACCTGTATTTGCCGTGAGTATGCACTGTTTCTCTCTACTGCCCAACACGTTCTTGAGGCTTTTCTGCTGAATCACCAGGCAGTGCATATTGTTTGCCAGGCAGTGCATATTGTTTGCCAGGCAGTGTATATTGTTTGCCAGGCAGTGCATATTGTTTGCCAGGCAGTGCATATTGTTTGCCAGGCAGTGCATGTTGTTTGCCAGGCAGTGCATATTGTTTGCCAGGCAGTGCATATTGTTTGCCAGGCAGTGCATATTGTTTGCCAGGCAGTTGCTCTGTGCAGGTCGTCCCTAGTTGTCTAAGCTGTTGCCTATCGCAATCCCATGGAGAGCAGCGGTGTTGTGTGTCAACAGCGGTCTATGTACAATGAGATGATATGGCATGTTGCTGGTGTACTGTTCCTACACACTCTCTCTCTGATGGTGTTTTCTTTCTCTGTTTGTTTCCGTGTGATGCGCTCCGTTCTCTGGCACCAGTCTCCGAAACGAGCCCCGCCGTCATCTGCGGCTGGGAATTTTCCGTCCGGCACTGGTGGTGGTCGCGTGGCGAAGCAGGACCCGATGGCAATGGATCATGGGCCACCACCCGCTCAGTTACCACCCTCCCATGGTTTACCCAGCTCCGGTGTAGGGCCATCATCTGATCATCGAGCAGCGGAGTCCAGATCTGGACCACCGCCATCGGGTAACACTAGGGATTTCAGAGGACCCACACCCATGGACACTCGAGGTCCTCCAATGGACAGCCGAGGTCCCCCAATGGACAGCCGAGGTCCCTCCATGGATAACCGTGGACCCCATCCCATGGATAGCCGGGGTCCCCATCCCATGGATAACCGTGGGACCCAGAAGGATAATCGTGGTCCGCCTATGGGTGGACCCCCTCCCATGGACAACCGTGGACCTCCTCCAATGGACAACCGTGGACCCCCTCCAATGGACAACCGTGGCCCTCCACCAATGGACAACCGTGCTCCTCCTCCAATGGACAACCGTGGCCCTCCTCCAATGGACAGCCGTGGTCCGCCTCCAATGGACAACCGTGGTCCCCCAATGGATAATCGCGGTCCCCCGATGGACAACCGTGGTCCTCCAATGGACAACCGTGGTCCCCCAATGGATAACCGTGGTCCTCCAATGGATAATCGCGGTCCACCGATGGATAGCCGTGGTCCTCCAATGGATAATCGTGGTCCTCCGATGGACAACCGTGGTCCTCCGATGGATAACCGTGGTCCCCCAATGGATAATCGTGGTCCCCCGATGGATAATCGTGGTCCTCCGATGGATAATCGCGGTCCACCGATGGATAGCCGTGGTCCTCCAATGGATAATCGTCGCCCATCAAGCGAAATGCATGGACCCCGTATGGAAATGCGAGGTCCTGGCAGCGACTCGCATGGTCCACGAGACCGAGACAGTCGCAGCAGTGTACCCATGGACAATCGTCCAAACACCGGCCCTGGTGTGCCGCATGACAAGCGTGGCCCTCCCGCGATGGACATGAGAGTACCACCACCCATGGACAGCCGTCCTCCGTCATATGGCACCACGCATCCGCCAATGGAAAGCCGGGGTCCGGCGTACGACAATCGGCAGCAGCAACAACAACGCCCGCCGCCCATGGACAACCCGTCGTCCATGGCACCTCGCAGCCAGTCCCGGGACGGCCGGGCTGGCCCCGCAGCGGCAGCGGAGAGTGCCGATCGAGCAGCAGCCATGCCCCGTCCAGGTCAGTATCCGTCAGGGCCCGAGTACCGTGGACCGTCGCGTGGCCCCCAGCGTCTGCAGGACGGCCCCCCGCTGCCGGTTAGCACCGTCAGCAACCCAGTGAGTAGTAGTAGTAGTGCTAACACTGGTCCACCGCCCGGTATGGACCGTGGTGGTGATCACAGAGCCCCACGTGCTGGTCCTGGTGCTCCTGGTGCGGGTCCTGGTGCTCCTGGTGCTGGTGGCGGTGGTGATCCACGTAATCAAGATCCTCGCTCCAATATGCGGCCCGGCGCTCCACCTGACTACCGAAAGGGCGACGGCCACGCACAGCAGGTACAACTTTGCAGTAATTTCCCTTTCTCTCTTACTCACCCTCTCTTCTCTCTCCTCCTCCTTTTTCTCCTCCTTCTTCTCTACTTTTTTCCTCCTTCTTCTCTTCTTCTTCCTTCTCCTTTTGAGATACAATTCTGGTACTTCAAAGTATTTTGTGACTTTTCCTAGAGTAATAGAATTCCCCGTTGAATCCGATAAATGCAATGAAAACACCCGGTTTGGGACACATGATTTTGTGCATGTAGGCAGCCTAGTAGAACAGACAGTGCCAAGGGTTCTAGGAGTAAGCTAATTTCAATCAGTCTGGGATGCGGAACCTAAAAACAGCTGTCCGATAGGACTGGGGTTTGGACTTTAGACTGTCACTTTTCCTTTGAGTCATGTTCCCTGTGGAGATGCTGAGTGCATATATTGAGATTATATTCCCTCTCTGAGGCCAGGATGCTGCCTTTGACAATACATCCATTCTCTTTCTTGTGCACCCGTCTGGCACAGTTGGAACTCGTTCATGGCATTTTGATATACACTGATACTAGTCATATGGCCGTCCCTAACCATTTACCCGCCATCTCTCTCTCTCTCTCTCTCTCTCTCTCTCTCTCTCTCTCTCTCTCTCTCTCTCTCTTCTCTCTCTTTCTCGCTCGCTCGCTTGCTCCCTCTCTCTCTCTCTCTCTCTCTCTCTCTCTCTCTCTCTCTCTCTCTCTCTCTCTCTCTCTCTCTCTCTCTCTCGCTCTCTCTCTCCTCTCTCCTCTCTGTGTTTCCTTTGTGGCTCTCCTTCCAATTGACTTGTTTCATCAGGCACCACCTCAGCTTGGCCCTCGGGGCGAAAGTCGCGGTCCACCGCCATCTAGTTCTGCGCCTGGTTCTGTACGTGGCCCTCCCGGACTCCAAGGTCCACCTCCTGTTACGTCCAGTGCTCCCCCTGCTGCAGCGCCAGGTGGTCAGGAAGGACCACGCGGGCCTCGTCGAGGTGGCGATAACTCTCGTCCGCCTGTGGCCCTGTCCGGTGCCTCTGCGGCGGTGGCGGCAGGTACGTGTGTGTGTGTGTGTCCCTGCCGTCAATTGCAGGTGTTCAGTTCTATAGCGTTTCACGAGGTGTTTCCGCTGCCTTTGAGCAATTTACAAGCCACTATCCTCCAACCCAGCCTCCTTGAAATCAAACTGTTGAGCCGAAATTTCAGCCTACGGGTATGGTAAACTTTCTATTTGCAATCGCCGTGCACTGCCACTGCGCCACAAAGCCAAACTGTTCACACGCACGTGCAATTCTCAACCACCAATGAAATGAAACATTTACGGATCATAACTGTTCGTCGCTTTTGTACCTGTTGGCGGGTGACAGTTTCGGCTTATGTTATTGCAGCCTGACACTCGTGATGTACAGGCATTCGTTGTTTGTTGTGAATGTAGTTTCGGGAGTGTCACGCTTGAACTGGCTGTTTGCTTCTTTCTGTTTACCTCTCTTGTGCTGGCTAGGTTTAACGGCAGGGGTAGGAGATGACCAAGAGAAGGTAAAGCTATCCTCCTAAATTCCGATTTAAGCAGCTTGCTTGATAAGGAACTGTTTTTTTTTAAAGCAAATATTGTATTCGAAAGGGCTTGCTCCCCACACTTTAACTCGCGCTTTTCCGCCTACTTGACTTGGCACTTGACTGACTCATGACTGCCGTCCAGAGCACACGAGAAGTCCACGAAACCTTCGACAATTTTTGCATTTCCGCGAAAATAATAAGACCGGTCTACTATTCATCCAGCCAGTGCCTATCCAGTCTTCTATTTGAGCATGGTCGTCTATATTTATCTTTTTAATGGCTCATGTTGAGCAAAGTAACGGGCAATTTAATGAGTCGTTACTCTGCAATATTATTGATGGTGACCAGCTACGTTTTTGGCCATTTCATCTCTACCTGGTACAATGAAGACAATGCATACCGTACAGCTGTGTATTATAGTATACAAACCGCCCTCGAATAGAAACCGCACTTTTGGGAACATCAAATCGAACATAAACCGCCCTTGTATAGTAGCCGCGGATTCAAATGCGACACTACGCACACACCTTGTCCTAGACCTAGATGAGTAGATCATATAGGCTACACTGCAGCCACTGCCGCATGTATAAGCCGCACGTGCATGTGAACTCTGTAGATCAGATACCAACAGAGGAACTGTGTAGAAATAGATGTGTAACAAACCTGATTGTGCTGAAATGGCTGTTATGCCGGTGATAGTGGTGATGCCAGTATTCGACAAGCCAGGATACTAATATTACAACTCACAAATAAGCCTGTCTTGTATAGAAGCCTGTGAAAGTTCCCAAAAAAGGTCGAATACGCCGCGGGTTTTATGCAAGACTTTGCCATACTTCACATCCAAACAATTTCGGGCCAACTTGAAAATCTGATTTAGTTTCCAGCTACCTTCAACTCATATTGTCCTCTAGTCTGTAATTGTTTTTGGTCTTTGTTCATTTGGTTTTTGTCTCCATTTACAGGCACAGTTGATAATGCAAGTCTTGAACTTGACCGACGAGCAAATTGCATTGCTATCCGCTGATCAGCGACAGAGCATTATGTTACTACGGGAACAGCTTTCGACTGCAAAGTAAGACACACTGCTCGTTCAGGGCTGGCTTCTGGGTGGAAAGTTGTGGCAAAGATTCACGTGGAGTTTGAGAATTTTATTCATACGCACTGCTGTCGACGTCAATGCCGGGACTTTTTTTGTGCGCATCTTGCTTATCTTCTGACGTCGTTCTCTCCTCCGTTGCACCGCGTTTTGATCTAGTGTGGCACTGTGACGCGCACGAAATGTGTCTCGTATCTAGAACTCTCTGTCGTTCTTGTGTTTTTTTCCCTTTTTCTCTTGTGTTTCCCGGTTCCCTTTTGCTGCATGTCGGGTGTATTTACTCTTACCCCTGTCTGCTTGCTTTGTAAATACTTCACTGTACAGCATTGGAAAAATCTGCGTTCAGATACTAATTATTGTTATTGTGTACTTCGAAAGAAGTACTCAGAAGCACACATGCACGCCAATCTTATGTTCTCTTCATTGTTTGTGTTTTGTGCTAGATGTAATACGTTGTAATCTCTCGCCCATTCTGAGTTTCAGTTCGACTGATTGTACTGTCGTGTTTTCCTCTTTTTTGTTTGTTTGTTGGTTTTGTTCGCAAGACCCAATGACTGCTGCTGCTGCTGCTGGTGGTTTCAATGCTATTCTACTGTAGATCATGTGTTCACTTACATAGTGTTTATATTCAATGTAACCAAGAGTACATAAGTTATTATTAACCCGGGGGGGGGGGGGGGGGGTTATGTACTCTTGATGTAACCTAGTCATACCTCACCGCTGCCTCTTTCCATCACATGCCTAGAAGGCAGAGGGCCAGTGGTTAGCTTACATGCAATACAGGCGATAGCAAGAGTACATCATGATTGTACTCTATTGCGCTGTGCTGTGTGTTTGACGACTACAACCAGGGAGTAGTACAATACGTATTGTACTACTCCTTGACTACAACAGTGCACTGAATACTGCCTTGTCTTCTGGTTTCCTGGTTCAGGGATGCATGCTTGGCGTCATCTGTGTCAGATATTGGTTGTCACGTGTGTGCCAGTGAGACTGACCATTGTGCTCGTTCGCATCGGCCACATCTCTATAGTTGTGTTCTCAACTTCTGTAGTTGTGTTCGTAGATTGGCTGCTATAGAAAACAACGATATCATCCTTGCGGGAATCGAGAGACCCGTAGACGGGTCAATTTTGCACTAAGTTGCTACAGCAACGATCCTCTCGGTCTTGGATTGAAAGTCGAGGCGTGCAAACCAGAGATAAGACTGGTACATGTATAGCCTACAAACAATTTCACAAACAATTTTGCAACAGAGAACCCTACACCATGCACACTTAATAATTAGGGCGCGTTTGGTTGGTACGAACTAGAACAGGATTCACCAGAACAGCGCGTTTGGTTGGGACTGCACCTGTTCTGGGTCGGCCAGAACATGTTCTGCTTGCTCCGCCCTCGAGGCCGGAGCAGACCGAGCAGTTTCACTTTTTCACAGTGAAACCTGGCGAGAACATCGATTTTGGTCCCAAATGATCACGTGCATACGCTTTTGGGTTGGACTCGTTGTACCGTACAAAGTGACCATGGTGACCCATACACATTTTCAAGTTTCACACATTTTTGTTGCAAAAGAAGGATCCACGAGCGGGATTCGAACCCAGCACCCCTGTCTTTCCGGGACAGTGCCCTACCGATTAGGCTACCGGGGATCACACACACTCATGGGTCCTTCTTGCTACATTTTTCCACGAAAATGTGCTCTGTTTCTGGAGTACCGTTTGGTTGGCATGAGGCTGCTCCATGTGCACCAGCTGTTCGATCCTGTTCTAGATCGTGCCAACCAAACGCACCCTTAGTACTTACCAGCTGCATTTTTCCAAGAGTACATAACCCCCCTTTTTAGGTTATGTACCCTTGATTTTACTAACCCCTGCCCTGGTTCCCCTGAAAGTCAGGTTTGGACCCCTGATCTACCCCGGTGCCACGAGTCCGGGATACAAGCCGGGATTCGAAATACGAATGACGTCAAAGCGCGATGTGACGTCGATCAAAGAGAAAGGGTGACGCGACGACGTCATGCAGTGACATAAATAATTATTATGGTAAAAAAAAAGGTAGAAAGGTCGTTGGAAAATATTCAGTTTCAAACACAAAGTTTCCCAATTATTACCTATTGGTATATCGCTTTTCAATCAGTTTGGTCTTCCTTCATATCGAGACACGGATTCACACACGTCTCTGAGAGTACTTTTTGGACCCAGCCGAAATGACATCGTCGGCAAGCGGAGCAAGCCAGCCAGATACAAGAGCTGAGCTTGCCGAGCTGATCAAGCAAAAGACAGAAATTGCTGTAAGCACACTGGCCGTTCTTTGTTCATCATGCATGCCATTCTTGCCTAAAGCACCGCATGGCTTCTTCTTTGCTGGTTCTCAGGACAGCTTGGCGAATCTAGAACGTCAAATCTACGCTTTCGAGGGTAGTTACCTGGAGGATACGCTAGCGTATGGTAACATCATACGTGGTTGGGATGGCTACTTATCTTCCAAGTACGTGTTCATATGCTGTGTTATAATTATTAATATGTACATTGTCTATTTTTGATCCAGAACGTTCAGATAATTATGCATGGTGTAGCAGTGCAGGAGTGTGTGTCCCATCACTTACTTAAAATAATGTGCATGGTATGTCATGTCCAGCTAGTGCAGTAGTGGCTGTTGGAGTGTTGTGAAGCCCATTCCCGTGTCGTCCTGTGTACAAACCGTGCTTGCAGAAGCAATCAGAAAGGCGAGCGGCGCAATCGGAAGTTCAAGGATGCGGAGCGGCTCTTCTCCAAATCTTCTATCACATCTCATGCTGTAAGGAGGATGCGTATTGTGTTCCGTGTTTTACCAGTAATAAGTCGACCCCCCTTGTACTTGGGGCCTCGATTTTCGGTTCAGTGGCGATTAAACACCGGTTGTAAGTGACTAATCCTTCTGTAGTTCAGTTTTTAGGTCATAAAAGATCGACTCATAACCAGGTAAAATACAGTACCGGTATATCGTGTCGTGCAACAAAAACAATCCCCCCCCCCCCATTGTTTTTGGTAGGTTTGGACTGTGAGTTAGTCGCACATGAGCTATTATCTAGTCACCAGGTATTCCGAAAAGGTCATGCTATCAATTGACACACATACTCAATGCAAAGATGCGCAGGTTTTAGCCCTTTAGGAGCTGCGCACAGGTGCGCCACTTTTTGACCAATGAAGGTGATGAGTGTGGTGGCATTCAACTGGTCGTAAAAGTCGAACCACAACCAAGTTGAACATTCAAAGAGTTTAGTAAATGGAAAGAGAACTCCGCTGTAGGTCAAGCTGGCACTGAAGCACTGCAACCATTTCTCATGGTACTGGATGGTTGTTAATTTTCATACGGAATTCTATTCGTACACCACACCAAGCCCAGTGCCCACAATTATTTGCTTACGAAATGTTCACACCATACAGCACCGATCCATGCACATCTACACCGTGTGAAAGTCTGTGTATGCCAGTGACAGTGTGTGGAAGCCCTTATGCGGTAGATCACATGGAAGTTTGGTCATGACAAGTGGTGACTGAATAGCGTGCAGCATGACATGGGGTTTCAGGGCTTTCATCATGCATATTATGCTGACCGACCTCCAAGTGTACAGCTGTATAGTATGCTGTGATACAGAGAATTTTTTAAAGCCCAGTGGTCACGGTCTAGGACATGGCTAAAGCAGATGAAATCGACTGCAGTAGGAGCATTTGCTTGCAGCCTGCAGCTGATCTCCGGAGGTGAGGATGTGCGTCCAGAGTTGCTTGTCTACGTCGTGCACATTCATGTGTGTTTGCAGGCGGTGAATCAGCAGGACTCCAGCGCGGCACAACGACACGGTTACGCCGTCAGCGCCAGCGGCAGCAGCACCAGTGACATGCCACCGCCCATGGCGGCCACCTCGGAGGGCACCGCTACGTCGGCCACGTCGAGCAGCACGCCGATGTCTGAGCTACGCGACGACACGCTGGTCATGATGGCCTCCGGGGCAGACCCACTGCTGGCCGCCTCTACGGCGGCTGGCGAGGGCCTGCCACCCGGGGCAATGTCACTGTCCGGCGACGCTCTAGCGGCGGCCTCCGGTGAGCTTTCGGCACAAATGATGGCACATTCGCACAAAGGTAAGCGAAGTGGATCGCATCTGCTGTTCCCTCTGTGGTAGCATGTATGTTGTGTTTGATACGTTGTGTCCTACATTGCTAAGTTACCGTATTTCCCCTAATAAACGTACACGTCTTCAATACTAGTATGCCTCCAATAGTAGTACACGCCAGAATGTTGTGCTGGGCATTATCGGGGTACATGTACTGTAAAAGCAGTAATTCCCGATGGTGCTTTATTTTCGGTAACTTCGGTGCCGACAATTTTTACCGAAAATAAAACGCACTGAAAATTTCGGTTCTACCGGTGCTGTATACATGTAGTACAAGTACACTTACCTGGAAAACAGGTTTTACCGAAAATTTCCCTCCACCGAACCGCTGATTTTGGAGAACACCGAAAATATTACACAACCGAAAATTTCTGCTTTTACAGTACGTGGATTCGCCTAACTTCGTTTTTCTTGCCCACTTATCTTTGTGCCTTTCTACACGGCTTCAACCTTGCCAGAAACAATAAAAGAACAGTTTCCAATACTAGTACAGCCTCCTTTAGTAGTACAAGGCTGGCTACCTTTGAACAAATAAAAGTACTGTACATTTTTTGGGGATAATACGGTATCAGAAATGTCACCAGTAAGACGGTCTTCACCCAATCCCAATGGCAGCCTATTGTACTATCGTCAAACCAAACCAGAACGATATTCATGATGCTTTCATGATGACGACCCATCCAGTGAGTTGATGTGTGGGTGGGGTGGGTGTCTGGCTGTCGTCTGTCTGTATGTCTGTCTGTATGTCTGTCTGTGTGTGCATTTGTGTGTGTGTGTGTGTGTGTGTGTGTGTGTGTGTGTGTGGACTGCCGTTGCTCGTCGTTCCATATTGTCCCCCCCCCCCCCCCCCGCAAGGGGACACGTGACCGTAATGGCAGTGTTTACCAGGACCAGGTGTTTGTATGTGTGCATTCCGTCTGTGCGAATTTGCATCCTGTGTTTGACATGTCCCCCCCCCCCCCGGCTTCATTGCATTGTGCTCCAGGTTCTCACAAGAAGAAGAAGAGCAAGAAGCACAAGTAGGTGTTTCTTCCGTTACGTTTGCTATGTTATTGACCATGCTGAGTGAATTTCTAGCTAGGGGCATGCGTTCACAGTCAGATATGAAACTCCGAATCTTCCCGCTCCCATGGTATTTAGAAAAGCGATCCTGTCAGCTTTTCTATTATTGTGTTCACATGTCAATGTGTTCAGTAGTCCGGCTTGTTGTTAGCCGGAGTATGATCCCGTTCAGGTTGAAGGCCGTTAACTAGAGCTTGTGACCGTGGTAGTTCAGAGCCTGTCAGCTGCGATCTTCCTATTTGGATGGTTTCGTGGCCGGAGAAGCTGGCAACCACCTTGAACTTGCCCATTGGCAAAGGCAATGATAGCGAAAAGAACTAATTCGGCGGCAACCGGCAGAAAGGTTCGTGGCGCTTGAGATCGCCGGGGCAGCGACACGTCTTCCCGCATGCATAACGATATTCTGGCTTGGCGGAGACATCACGAGGCTGAGGGCGACGGTGGCTAACCTCCCTCCACTCCGAGCGGTTCTGGACAGTGTCGAGCCATTCCTTCTCCGGGACAGTTGGATGGATGCGGTTGAAATTGTCCACAACCACATCCCGCCAACACTTGCGTGGTCCGTGCTGAGGTCAAGTTGCGGAGAGCTCCATAAACAGGGTACACTTGGGCAGACGGTCATCGTCCATGCGGCCAATATAACCGAGCCATCGTAGCCGACGCTCGCGGATTATATCGTCGATGTCCGAGTCGATTCCAAGGGTGTTCGCTAATGTTGTACTTCTACAAAGTAGAAGTGACCCGATCGTCCCATTGCTGGTGTCTCAAGATGCCGACAATAGCCCACACGCACGGATGGTGGAATGCATTAAGACGGCGCAGATCAGGAGCCTTGGTCGTCCAGGTCTCTGCTCCATACAGCAGGGTCGTAAGAATGAGAGCCATGTAGACACGACGTCGGCATCGGAGGGGCAAGGAGTGGTTTCCGAAGGCAGATTCCCGCAAGCAGCCAAACACCCGCACGCACAACACACACACACACACACACACACACACACACACACACACACACACACACACACACACACGTAACCGCAGACTTGCTATCTAGGCAGATCAACAGTGTGCTGTTGCTACAGTAGACCAACTCTGTATCTTAATGTACTGAACACCTTTATCCCAACAGTATTGCCAGTGGACTGTGTGTCTAGTATTGCCAGTGGACTGTGTGTCTAGTATGGACAGTGGACTGTGTGTCTAGTATTGCCAGTGGACTGTGTGTCTAGTATGGACAGTGGACTGTGTGTCTAGTATTGCCAGTGGACTGTGTGTCTAGTGTGGACAGTGGACTGTGTGTCTAGTATTGCCAGTGGACTGTGTGTCTAGTATGGACAGTGGACTGTGTGTCTAGTATGGACAGTGGACTGTGCATCCTGTACTGTCTCATATAAGCCTAATTTGAATATGTGTAGAAACTTCTTACCCATAAGGACGTGAATCAGGGACCTTTGCTATGTCCAGCGATGCTCTACCGCTACGAAAAAGCTATGGTGTATCCGAAAGTGACCCTGTCTCCTGTTTTTCTCTATGTTCAGAACGGAGTCGAAGAACGGGAAGAGTCATAAATCTAAGCATTCCAAGGTTGGTACTGTGGACATTACTGGTCGTTGGTGGTACAGCGTTATACACGTGCGAGTACAACATTATGTGAATGTAGGTGTACTGAGCCAATACCAACGGTTTAGTGTCAACCTTTCATCGGCAGATGATGATTACACTACATGGTTCATATTGGATGGTGTGAATGTGCATGCGTGTGTGTGTGTGTGTGTGTGTGTGTGTGTGTGTGTGTGTGTGTGTGTGTGTGTGTGTGTGTGTGTGTGTCAATGCGTGTGTGCATGTGTACTGGCAACACATGGCAACGCGTGATGATCGTCCTCTCTGTTTGTCTTGTTCTACAGGGAATGTCATACCCAAGCGCGGTGCAGTAACGTTAGGGTTTCTGACCGCCCCTTGGCTGATGCTCTGGTCTGTACCTCTACTTTCTCACCGGCCGTCCAGTTTTGGGTGATCACATCCCGCTATACTAGTGATGTTGCCTTTTCGGTGTCCTGTTGAGAAGATACACGTTTACTGTGATGCTTGGGAAAACTACAGCCTTCCAGCTCAGTACATGTACGGTGTGTGTACTGCTGTTGCGCGGTTTACACAATCTTGTTACATACAATGTCTGCTGGCTTGGAATTACCCACTGTCGCCGTGCTTGCCAGGCGCTACATTCATGGTCTGGTCAAGCAGCAGCGGCAGCGTGCTCAAGTCTGCACTATGAGCGCTGATTGGAGATCTTCTGGTGATATTTGGACGCGGTGCTGTAGCCGCACGCTCGTGCCTGTGCAACCACGCGCGTGCTCTGCAAGCCGTGATCATGTTGATGCGGTGTAGTACCGTAGGGCATAGCCAGCCGACCGACCAGCAACTTCCACCGCAGGTCTTTCTGCTTGTCCGTGCTGGAAGCCATGCCAGCCGCTGTACACTGTGCTGTATTACCCTATACTGGCCTCCCTGGGTAGCTGCTACCGACCGTGTGCTACGGACGCCTCTGACATTAGCTTATTGCCAGCTAGACTGTGCTGTTGTGGGTACCATCGAGTGCACTTGTTGTTCCGTGCTCTCTCGCTTTGCTCAGCTGTCTGCGTGCAGTGCAACGTAAACAGCGAGCTGCTGCGAGTCGCTTGCTTGTTACGCCACGGGGACTTAATACTGTACAGTGCTTTGCTTATACCGGTAATAATGTTCTTTTCAATGTTTAGTCTGTGCCTGGCGTGAGCACGGCTGTACATAGCTCGTGTGTCACGTTGAAACCATCCTCTTTTTTGCTCGTGTCGCATTAGCAATCGTGTAAAAACATAAAATATTGGAATTTTTAAATACTTTTTTCCATTGCCTGTACAGCATGTGTCTACAATTACACAAAGTCATGTAAGTCGTTAGCTTCATGAACTACATGTCTCATTGTCCATATTTCATGTACGTATCGAGTTAGTGGACCAAATGTCCACCATGATTTGTACAGTGCACCATGCCAAGAATTCGTAAACAATCTCTTTTCGTTCGTCCCTCTTTATATTTGTACTTTGTACTGTTGAGGCCACGAACTGAAACGATAAAAACCAAACCAAACCAATGCCACGGCAATGGTTTTGTACTCTTGATGATACCACTTGACAAGATTAGCATTGCTGTAGGTACTACCGTATTTTCCGGAGTATAAGCCGTACCCGGATTTTTTTGTCACGGAATACTGACCTCTGCCCAATGTTATCACCATGGATGAATTATTGGTGTTTGAAGTGCCGCTTATACTCCGGAAAATACGGTACTGTATGTCTGTTGGTCGCGGATATCAACACAATTAGTGTAATCAAGAGTCCATGAACATTAATTTTATGGACTCTTATTCTCACGATAGCCAGTACTGCAGTGGCCAATAAGAAAAATAACAGTTCTCCTGACTACTAGTATCGTTACAATCAGAGGGTATACATTCAACAAGTACTCTGTACTGGTACCTGAAACCGGTCGATGGGCGTGACATTGGTCTTGCGGTCAAGTGCCGACCGCGTACCGGTCTGTGGTGCCAGCCTGCAGGAGCAAATGATTTTTTAAATACGTGTAGATCTACAGTATCTCAGAATGTCCTACATGTGACCTTGTGATATGATCAGATTGCACTGTCCCTATCATCACGAATGCAATCATGTACATGTACAGTGTACTTCGAAGTACATGTAAGGCTATTTCTACTAGAGACTAGAGTATGTGGGTGTGGTGTGGGTACCGCTACACTGTCACACCAGCCAGTCTCCGCCTGCCTCCTCAACCATTGTCTCCGAAATCACCAACATTCTTCCAAGGGAAGTGCTCAGTCATTCTGGACATACTGCAGCGGTGCCAACCAGGGATACTGACTCCCTGGTGACCTGCGGATACGGCGAGTAGATAGAAGAAATGTTCTGTCTACTCATCGGGAGTACAGGGCCCACGGCCACGTGACCCCTATCGAGGTGGCTACAGTACAGCTTCTGTCCACATGTCTGTCCTCCCTTGAAATAGTTGGAATGCGTCGATCATCAAAGCAGGGAGTTGTCGGGTCTATACAGTATGCAACTCCCGATCCCTGCTTCGAACCCATCAGTATTTCCAAGAGAGAACGTTTGAAAAATCCATGATTATCCGGAGAAATGGTGATAGTGATTATGAATCGAGATAATAAGTGGTAGCGACCCCCCTCCCCTCCTGTCTCATGAGTGTTTCACCAGACACGAAACTCTGAGTAACGGCAAGGAAGGACTTGGTTGCACTGTTGCTGTTTGTGAATTGAATTACATGTACATGTTACCGCTACTAGTACTGTGTAGGATGGTCTACATTACTGGTCACTGATGATTATTGTCAACTATCCTGGACATGTGTTGTTATGAGTATGAGGTCGGAGTATCGAGCCCTTTCGTTCTGTGACCATGCATGCCGGAGATAAAGGCTGCAACCAAGAATACAGTATGCCGGGGCTAATGGTCGTTATTGTACTCTTGCTGAAACCTGAGGATGTCTGACATGCAAGAGATGCTACTACAGTACATGACAAACTAACAGTGACTGCATGTTGTCTCTACGTAACGTCGTTGTGCTCAGGGAGTAGTACAATACCGGTATTGTACTACTCCCTGGTTGTGCTCAGGGAATCGTAAAATAACACTTCCTGCGGCCTGGTTGTACTCGAAAGAGAGCGGCCAGGTTGAATCTCCGGGATTTTGTCCTTGGTCTGGAACTGGAGCCTACACGTGTGACCCCCGGGGGAGGGGGGCTCCTCCACCATCAATTGATCTGACCACTGTGAGGGGCAGGGTGTGCGAGACCTCTTGACCTTGCCTCAAAAAGCTCCACATAGCGAGGACGAGTTCATTTTCCTCTTCTCCATCGCTTTTGCGTACATACATGTACATGACTTGTTGTATTCATGTGATGTGACTTTCTCGACGTAACACAGAAAATATTGGTAGCAATCCCGAGATGCCAGCTAGTCCTGCGGGTGGAAATACTCTTCGCTCAAACGTGCCGAATAGAAAAGGCACAGGGAGTCAGAGATAGGCAATGTAAATCGGTCGCTATTCCATGATGTTCATCCGAGGGAGTCATGACAACCTTCAGTCCCTGGCTCATCCTAACCGAACACGGTTGATCAGAGTGTAGGATGTAGAACCTTTAGAAGTACTAGTAGTTAGTTTAGTAGCGGAGAATTTGCGCAAGCCTAGACGTGGAACACTCCACCATGATGTGCATCTGCATTGCGCTTTTCGTACTTGTAAGTAGTTAGTTATAGCGCTGTCCGTGCTGTGTCACTCAAGGTCTGCCACTGCTAGCCTCACTGTTAGTGTTGTAGACTGTTGTGCTATTTTGTAGGCTGGGTATCCACTAAGATTTCATCGCCCGGACGGGTGGTGCATGAAGGACCAATGACGAAGGTTCAAGGTTGACGTCTGCCAGCACGCCAATGCCTCAAGAAGAATTCACACCTTGGGCTGCTTGGCTGTTCTCACCCGCCAAATGCCCATTGCCTTGCGCCCAAGTATGAGTCGCATTAGTTAGCCTGCGCGGCCAGTTCACAATGTTTTGACAGACTTCAAGGAGTCACAGGTCTGCAGCTTCGCCCGCGGAGAGATTTCCAATTCCAGTCTTATCTCAGGTCCGCAGCACTGTCAGCTCACTTCACTTGCTCGCATGCATGGTGTTAGCGATGCACTCTGTAGCTGTTCTTGTTCGCTAATTTACTTGCGCAGTTGAATGAGCTCAGGATTAGTTCTTGGCACATGTTGATCACATGTGCATTGTCTCTAAGCTTCTTATATTATAAATGAACATTCCTACATTTGAAGCACAACATCTGCCTGTGCTGTCTAGGCTGTATGGGAAAAAGAATAGCACAATGACCAGACTCCAGCCGGGGCCCAGGTGAGCTTTGCCCAAGCCCGCCCCATAGGACATGAGTGGACGTCATCCAGTGTCAATTTCATGGTAGAGAGCAGTTCGGCGGATCCCAAACTTTCCCCAGGCAAAGGCCTGAAAGGATAAGGTTCCGATCGGACGAATCCAGTGTGCTTTATCCACAATTACCTGGTCCCTGGTTTACGTTTCTGAGCTCTCAAGCCTCTACGAGTGTTGGCCATCATCTCGTCAGTCGTCTGCCCTGCCTCCCCGGTCCCCGAAATCTCTTCTCTTCCAAATTCAATAGCCTAAGGGCGCTGATGTATTGACTGGAAGCATTAGCGGAACTAAGAATTGTTAGCACAGCTAGTCGCACACAAGGCATCGTCAACAGAAACGATTTTCCCTGGTAGCACTAGCACGCGATGTGCACGCGAGGAACCATAAATATGCGGCTTTGTGACCTCTCCATAGAGTCTGGTCATTTCTGTGGTTATTGTTAGACACAGGCAATACACGATCAACATGTGTTCAGCACATTGCTGCGATTGGCGAGAAGCCAGCGTTTTGTCAAGCGGAGTATACCATGGTATACATCTGAACTGAGAAGCTGTGTTCGTTGGTGTTCCATGAACGATGTGCAGGTGTCAGATGTCAAGAATCCAAGTGACAAAGTAATAACAATGTTGCACAGCAGGTGATACTGCTGAAACTGGCTGATCTCTGGTCGATGGTCGGTCACTATAAATGCAGCATCCGTTGACAAGAACGGTCTGGACAACTCCGAGTTACATTGTACAGTAGGTATCGGTTATAGCGTGGGTGTTTGAAAAACGACATTTGATTCTTATTGCCGATATTTCTTACACACGATAAATCACGTGTGACATATCATATGCACGTGTGACATCATGCATATACATGTACATATGCACGCACGTTTGGCATGTGGACACGTACACATGATACACGTACACACGGATCAATCAGACTCGCGGTCGTGCTAGGCGACTGCGGAGCAGCGGATACGAGAGAAGTCGGAAGAAAGAGTCCGACTGGACAGAAAAAGTGATTCTCCAATGCTCCCTTGGATATAACTCTCTTTTTGTGTTGAATATGATTGTATTGAGTATGCACAGAGCACAGATGTTATTACTACAGGCGATATACTTTGCACTAATCTGGCATATTTTGCTACACAAAATCCATTCTTAGGGCCGATATATTCTACTATGCGATAATACTGCTTGTAAGAATAAATATACACATAAAATATGTGTTATGATTATGAAAAAATGAGTGTTCATTCTTGTAAGCAGTATATTCTTGTATACGACCACACTATAACCGATACGCACTGTACTCTGCTGTTCTTCGCCTAGAGAAGGAGCACTGTGCATTCTTTAGCTGCGCAGAACGTTACTTTACCGGCGGAGTCCGAGTGAAGTAAGGCGAATCCATTGCCCATGCAGAAAGCGTACAGTCATTGCAAGTAACACGTTAGTTTGAATTCAAAACTCCTTCAGCCAGGATCTAGGCCTTGTATAGTACTTCGGCCAGGATCTAGGCCTTGTTGTACAGTACTTAGTGGTAGGCTACATGTAGATCGTAGATGGCGCCGGCGGTTTTACTAGATTCTGTCACTTGCCTTAGAGCGACACGTGTTCAGCGTGCCGGCAGGTGTCCGTGTTGTCAAACGGTGTCATCTGGTCATGTCGGAGACTCCGCGACCCGGCGAACCCACCACTGCACTGCACAGTTCGAGTGTGGTACATGGTGTGGAGTAGCAAGTCTCTCAAGTCTCCCACGCCATCGCCGCAGTCCGACGTGTGTACGTGTGTGCTTCAATTCAGCCGAGTCACCAGGGACACGTGCAATCAGCATCGCCGAAGCCCAACTAACTACTGGGCCACGATAATGTTCCCAGATACCACAGAGAGGTCACCCGGACTCGACGACATGCACATATCGACACGGTGTTTGGTCCGCCACCGACAATACAGTTATGTAGGCTACGATCAGTGTCTTCTTGCAGTAATGGCGGACAGAGACGCTTCCTCCTGAGCTGAGGTGCTAGCTAAGCGGCTGCCGGCCATGTCTCTCTAGGCTAGCATAGCATGGGTATACCATCATAGTATACTTGAATAGGACACCATCGTGAGCGTAACTAACACTTATCCGGAATCTTATCGACAAAACATTCGTGTTCATTCACCTTGCAGCTTGGTCC